ATAAAGATTCAATGTCAAAAGATATTAGCCATAGGTTGTCTGCTGCTCTCCCGACTTTCGTTTTTACTTCTTCAAGGATCTGCAAAAAATGGGTGGTGTCCTTCAGCCTGTCTGGTAATAGTTTCAGTAGTGGCATCAGGACTGCAGTCATCATCTTGTCGACCGGTCTAGTCGGGGCTGCGCAGCCCGACAGTACCAGCCTTGTCTTGAATATCCCCAGTTCCTCGTCCAAGCTTTTGTGTGCTTTGGGTAGGAAGTACATGCTGGGGATCTTTGACTGAAAAGTAAGAAGTGAATCTTTTAATATTACATTCATAAAACCCTTCTGTCCCTCATTATTGCATAACCTGTATAACTTGTATAACCTCATTATTGTATGGCCTGTACATTGCAGAGCCACTTGTTTGCACAGAACTGCTTAATGCCTCAAATGATGTAGTGGAAGTTTTAGCAGTAAAGGTCGAGAACCAAAACCTAGTCATTGTGGTAGTCTACAAGACTCCGGATGCAACATCCCAGCAATTCCAGGAACAGCTGTTAAAAATTGACCACTGTCTGGAAAATCTTCCAGCTCCTGCACCCAACATCTTGCTCCTGGGGGATTTCAACTTAAGGCACCTAAAATGGAGGAATATAGCAAATAATATTGTTGCAGTAATAACACCAGGAGGCAGCTCTGATGCAAACTCACACTCACACGAGCTTTTAAATCTCTGCACAAAATTCAATTTAAACCAGCAAATAATAGAGCCTACTAGACTGGAGAATACACTAGACCTCATCTTCACTAACAATGATGATCTGATAAGAAATGTCACCATATCAAAAACAATATACTCAGATCACAACATAACTGAGGTTCAGACATGTATGCGTGGAGCCCCAGACCGACATAATGAGATTAGTCACGAGGGAGCATTCACCAAATTCAACTTCAATAACAAATACATAAAGTGGGACCAAGTAAACCAAGTCCTAACCGATATAAGCTGGGAAGATATACTAAGCAACACAGACCCCAACTTATGCCTAGAACAGATTAACTAGGTGGCACTCGATGTATGCACAAGGCTTATTCCTCTAAGAAAAAGGAGGAGTAGATGTAAAATAGAAAGAGACAGGCGCTCCCTTTACAGGCGACGGAAAAGAATAACAGAGCGGCTAAAAGAGGTCAATATATCTGAAATGCGTAGGGAGACACTGGTCAGAGAAATAGCAAGCATCGAACTTAAGCTAAAAGAATCCTTTAGGAGTCAGGAATCGCGGGAAGAACTAAAAGCCATAAATGAAATCGAAAGAAACCCAAAGTATTTCTTCTCCTATGCCAAATCAAAATCGAGAACAACGTCCAGTATTGGGCCCCTACTTAAACAAGATGGGTCCTACACAGATGACAGCAAGGAAATGAGTGAGCTACTCAAGTCCCAATATGACTCAGTTTTTAGCAAGCCGCTAACCAGACTGAGAGTCGAAGATCAAAATGAATTTTTTATGAGAGAGCCACAAAATTTGATTAACACAAGCCTATCCGATGTTATCCTGACGCCAAATGACTTCGAACAGGCGATAAATGACATGCCCATGCACTCTGCCCCAGAGCCAGACTCATGGAACTCTGTGTTCATCAAGAACTGCAAGAAGCCCCTATCACGAGCCTTTTCCATCCTATGGAGAGGGAGCATGGACACGGGGGTCGTCCCACAGTTACTAAAAACAACAGACATAGCCCCACTCCACAAAGGGGGCAGTAAAGCAACAGCAAAGAACTACAGACCAATAGCACTAACATCCCATATCATAAAAATCTTTGAAAGGGTCCTAAGAAGCAAGATCACCACCCATCTAGAAACCCATCAGTTACACAACCCAGGGCAACATGGGTTTAGAACAGGTCGCTCCTGTCTGTCTCAACTATTGGATCACTACGACAAGGTCTAAATGCACTAGAAGACAAAAAGAATGCAGATGTATATATATACAGACTTTGCAAAAGCCTTCGACAAGTGTGACCATGGCGTAATAGCGCACAAAATGCGTGCTAAAGGAATAACAGGAAAAGTTGGTCGATGGATCTAAAATTTCCTCACTAACAGAACACAGAGAGTAGTCGTCAACAGAGTAAAGTCCGAGGCAGCTACGGTGAAAAGCTCTGTTCCACAAGGCACAGTACTCGCTCCCATCTTGTTCCTCATCCTCATATCCGACATAGACAGGATGTCAGCCACAGCACCGTGTCTTCCTTGCAGATGACACCCGAATCTGCTAGACAGTGTCTTCCATTGCAGACACTGCAAGGCTCCAGGCGGACATCAACCAAATCTCTCAGTGGGCTGCAGAAAACAATGTGAAGTTCAACGATGAGAAATTTCAATTACTCAGATATGGTAAACATGAGGAAATTAAATCTTCATCAGAGTACAAAACAAATTCTGGCCACAAAATAGAGCGAAACACCAACGGCAAAGACCTGGGAGTGATCATGTCGGAGGATCTCACCTTCAAGGACCATAACATTGCATCAATCGCATCTGCTAGAAAAATGACAGGATGGATAATCAGAACCTTCAAAACTAGGAGGCCAAGCCCATGATGACACTCTTCAGGTCACTTGTTCTATCTAGGCTGGAATATTGCTGCACACTAACAGCACCTTTCAAGGCAGGTGAAATTGCTGACCTAGAAAATGTACAGAGAACTTTCACGGCGCACATAACGGAGATAAAACACCTCAATTACTGGGTGCTTGAGGTTCCTAAACCTGTATTCCCTGGAACGCAGGAGGGAGAGATACATGATTATATACACCTGGAAAATCCTAGAGGGACTAGTACCGAACTTGCACACGAAAATCACTCACTACGAAAGCAAAAGACTTGGCAGACGATGCACCATCCCCCCAATGAAAAGCAGGGGTGTCACTAGCACGTTAAGAGACCATACAATAAGTGTCAGGGGCCCGAGACTGTTCAACTGCCTCCCAGCACACATAAGGGGGATTACCAACAGACCCCTGGCAGTCTTCAAGCTGGCACTGGACAAGCACCTAAAGTCAGTTCAAATTCAAATTCAAATACAGAAATTTGGTTATTGTTTGGTTTACATGTAGTAAAATTGTGATTACAGAGTGTACCACTAGAACGCTTAGCATGGCTAGGCATTTCGGGCAGACTTAGTTTTATTCTTAATTGTAAGTTGGTATTATGGCTAAGTGACTAAATACTAGTTTGTGAGTTTAGCAATGTGAATGCTTTTGTTTTGGCACAGTACATAGTTTCAGTATTGGAGTATCACAGGATTCATTATTTTAAGACTGAGATTAATATTTCTGTTTATGGTCAAATGGGTGAGTGAGTGTAAGTGTGAACCACCAGGTGGTATTCGTGTAGTTAGTTGACGGGGTGTATCAGGGAGATAAGATGTTTTCTAATGGTAGTTTTGAAGGTGATGAATGTGTCTGCAGTTCTAGAGTTCTCAGGTAGGGTATTCCAGATTTTAGGGCCTTTGATCAGCCGGGCTGTGGCTCGTACGTTGGTTTGCGTGCAGCCAGCAGCAACAGCCTGGTTGATCAGGCTCTGATCCACCAGGAGGCCTGGTCACAGACCGGGCCGCGGGGGCGTTGACCCCCGGAACTCCAGGTAAACTCCAGGTAAACCTGAGGATTAGGTTGCTGCTTGTGTTTTTGATTTCAGCAAATGTCTCCTCTGGGTTATCTAGTTTCTAATGTTTCTGTATTAGCTACGTGTTTCAGGCCTGCCCGTCTATAGTTTTCAGCCTTAAACACCACAATTTCAGACCCTTTATCTGCGTCAGAGACTACTATATCTTTTCTCTGTTTCAGGTTTTTCAAGCTCACCCTCTTCTTCAGGTTCGGGCGGTAGTGCTTAGGTCTGCTCTTTAACAAGTTGTCTTCTATTTCATTAATCTTGTTGTGTAGGCCTGGGAGCTTCCTCGCAGGTGCCGATTGCGGAATCGGCACTTTCATGTATTTTTGCGTCGTCGAAGCTTGCTCTCTTCTAACGTTCTTGCTCGGTCTCCCATCCATATCCTGTTGAAATGCTTGTTCAAATTCCTCATTCATTAGTTTCTCAAGTTGGTTACATGTCTTTTTAATATGTTTTTTCCCTGGTCTGTTTGTTTAGTGGCCCCGGTACAAAGGACAGTCCTTTACTAAGGACTCTTTCCTCTTCCCTAGTGAGCTCTACTTCTGAGATTACCAGCCGTTTGGGTTTGGGTAGTGCTGGTTCGGGTACCTTCAATTTTGATTCATGTCGTACCTGTACCTGTATGCCCCCCCCCCCATTCCAGTTTCCGTAAAAAAATTCCCATATAGTTATTTCTGTTTCTATTATTATAAAAGTTTTTTTTTTTTTGTACGTCTTCTGGGGCCCAGTGTCATTCTTAGATCGACACCATGCCCAGCCCTTCTAGGGTAGGGTAGGTGCCTGAGCCCGAGCCTTTAGCTCATAAGACTGTCATTCCCATTTGACCCCTTGGGGCGGGGATGGCAGACCAAAGAGGCCTAGCTTGTGGCTAGGCCTGGGGACAGTTGGTCCCAAAGATGAGGAGGTACTTGTGCCTCCTCCCATGGGAGACTTAGGTCTCAGACACTCCCTAAAGAGGGAGTCAAGGCCGGGCCACCACTTGGACAAGGCCCGGGCCGGGAGAATACCGGCTAATATTTAACTAACTAACTAATGTCATTCTTATTCTTATTGTTATCCTCTGTATTAATTTTTATGTTAGATTGAGTCTCTTTCTTCCTTTCCTTATTATTATTATTATCATTTCTAGTCTCATTCTTATTCTCTGACCTTATACTGTAAGGTTAAGTTATGACGAAACGTATTTAGGCAACATTTCGCTACTTGTGGCGAAAGGTTCCCCATAATTTTTATGCTGGTCATCGCTACGGGAAAAAATAATTCGCATGTTAATCTAATTAATAACAAAAAGAATTGAAAGATTATTTTGTTGTGTTGTTGATCAGCTGATGACAACAACAACAACATGGCGGCCACCTGGGTGATGTTTGTCTCACATATTTAGCCTCAGCCTGGGCTCTACAGCCCAGCTACAACATGAATAGAGGTTTATGTTATAGTATATGTGGTCGGTTTATCTTTTTTCGTGGTTTAAATTTGGTTTATTGGTGATTTTGGGAGGGTTTCTTGCTTCCTCGGAGGGGGGTCTTCGCCCCCCCTTTGTGTAGGCCTGGGGGCCTATTTTATAATTGTGCTTTTGTATGCCTTAGTTGTGCATGTTTTATAGGCCTACTTGTGGTTTTTGGGTGTTTTGGGGAGGCTTTTGATACCTCGGGGGGTCAGTGCCCCCCTGGGGTGTGTAGGCCTTGTTTTCTTGTAATTGTGGTTTTATAGGCCTTAGTTGTGGGTATTTATAGGCCTGCTTGGTCATTTGGTGTTTTTGGGAGGCCTCATGTAATACTTTTATAGGCCTTAGCTGTGGATATTTTATATGCCTATTTGGGATTTGTGGTTTATGGGATGTTTTGGGAGGCCTTATTTACCTAGGGGGGGTCTACCCCTCTCTGGGGTGTGTAGGCTGTACTTTCTGGCCTCTGTCAGCAGATTTAAGTATCAATTCCACAACAGTATAATTGCAAATTACTAATTAGGCCTATAAAAATACAACTAAGGCCTATACAAATATAAAAAAAGAGCCCAGTGCCTACACAGAGGAGCATTATGGGAGGGAAGCTAAAAAAAACTATAAAGCACAAATAAATCCCAAGTAGGCCTATAAAATATCCACAACTATATGAGCATCATTACAAAAAATTGGATTACCAATCATTTCTCAGGTGCCATTTGGTCCATGTGAGTTTTGAGCTTCTTGTGAATCTGTTACTGGTAGAAACTATACATAGATATTTTTATGATAACTTAACCTAGAGTATCACTAATTTCTCAAAAGTTAAATTGAATTGTAAAATCTGGTACGTTTTCTGGAAATGACATAATAAGTAATTTTGAATTGTACTTTTGGTCTTGTGATTCCAGTTTATTTTTTGGGGGCGTGAATAGTTTTATGTAATTTATTTTGGAGATTTAATGTCTCTTATTTTGTATTATATCATCAGATTCTCTAGGTAGTGAGCGTTTTCTATTTAAAGAGGAGTATAAAACCAGCTAACAAATGCTCGGGTAGTGTAATAATGTAATAATAATATCTATTTCTACCAGTACATGTACAAGGTATACAGGCCTTAGTTGACATCAATGACATACTACTATATAGAAAGTCCTTTTTTATGCTGAACATTTCCCGCAAATTAAGTCAGTTTTGTCCCAGGATGCGACCCACACCAGTCCACTAACACCCAGGATGTGACCCACACTAGTCCACTAACACCCAGGATGCGACCCACACCAGTCCACTAACACCCAGGATGTGACCCACACTAGTCCACTAACACCCAGGATGCGACCCACACCAGTCCACTAACACCCAGGATGTGACCCACACTAGTCCACTAACACCCAGGATGTGACCCACACCAGTCCACTAACACCCAGGAAAGCGACCCACACCAGTCCACTAACACCCAGGATGTGACCCACACTAGTCCACTAACACCCAGGATGTGACCCACACCCGTCCACTAACACCCAGGATGTGACCCACACTAGTCCACTAACACCCAGGATGTGACCCACATCAGTCCACTAACACCCAGGATGCGACCCACACCAGTCCACTAACACCCAGGATGTGACCCACACTAGTCCACTAACACCCAGATGCGACCCACACCAGTCCACTAACACCCAGGATGCGACCCACACCAGTCCACTAACACCCAGGATGTGACCCACACAGTCCACTAACACCCAGGATGTGACCCACACCAGTCCACTAACACCCAGGATGTGACCCACACTAGTCCACTAACACCCAGGATGTGACCCACACCAGTCCACTAACACCCAGGATGTGACCCACACCAGTCCACTAACACCAGGATGTGACCCACACCAGTCCACTAACACCCAGGATGCGGGCCCACACCAGTCCACTAACACCCAGGATGTGACCCACACCAGTCCACTAACACCCAGGATGCGACCCACACCAGTCCACTAACACCCAGGATGCGACCCACACCAGTCCACTAACACCCAGGATGTGACCCACACTAGTCCACTAACACCCAGGATGCGACCCACACCAGTCCACTAACACCCAGGATGCGACCCACACCAGTCCCCTAACACCCAGGATGCGACCCACACTAGTCCACTAACACCCAGGTACCCATTTTACTGATGGGTGAACATAGACAACCAGTGTAAAGAAACACACAATGGTATGGTTTGTTTGCAATCGTGTCATTATGATTTCATGAGACACCCAATGTTTCTACCCTCGCTGGGAATCAAACTCAGACCATGTGAAGTGAGCTTTTTCCACCAGGCCACAAGACTATTTGTGGTTTATGGGATGTTTTGGGAGGCCTTATTTACCTCGGGGGGGAGGGGTCCTCTCTCTGAGGTGTGTAGGCTGTACTTTCTGGCCTCTGTCAGCAGATTTATGTATCAATTCTACAAGTATAATTGGAAATTACTAAATAGGCCTATAAAAATGCAACTAAGGCCTATACAAATATATAAAAAGAGCCCAATGCCTACACATACCAGAGGAGCATTACGAGAGGGAAACTAAAAAAAAAAATTATAAAGCACAAATAAATCCCAATTAGGCCTATAAATTATCCACAACTAAGGCCTATATGAGCATCATTACAAAAAATTGGACACTGTGGGAGACACTGGACCTGTTTCTTGACAAGGGAAATACATACCACCACTTTGTAAAGGAAATACTTCAGTGGATGAGAGTTGCAGCTTTCGTAAGTTACAGTCTTTAGAGTGCATGGACAGAGCAGTTTAGGGATGATCCACTCTTTTCTCTTCAGTGCGTGATTGTACAAGTATTTTTGAAATACTTGTACAATACGCAGATAACTGCATAAGTTGAACCAAAGCATCGTCGTGAAATTTCTGTCTCCCATGTGTGGGTTATTAAATATTTGCTTTAAGTTTTGGTTAGGTTAATGTATAACTTATTAACCTTGGATTTTGCTGCATGCAATCCCCTCTAGGGAGGTTCCTTGATGCTGGTGAGGGGCTCTTGATCAACGGATTTATTAGTTCTTTTCTTTGTTTGCCATCATCAGAATTTAAAATTCAAGCCTTTTCACACCTCTTTTTTATGTAGTAAGGTCTCCAGGTATTGTACTGTCCATGGCCATTCTTACTGGTAATCTTAACAACTTTAAGATACCTTTCATTTAGATAATGATATAACCATTGTTGTGCTTACTGGCCTTATCTATCATGTTATCAAAGGTAATCTGTTGTATAGGCATTTGTCAATTAGAATTTATAAAGGTAATCTGCTGTATAGACATTTGCTGCTTAGAATTTATAGAGATAATCTGTTGTATTGGCACTTGTCACTTAGGAATGTTCACATTTTGCAGTCCCTATGTTATTTGTTAGAATGGAAGTTAATTAAACCTATTCAAATTTGATGGTTTATCTTTGGTTAAATGATCATCACTTACCATAACATTGTATCAATCGCAGCTGCTAGAAAAATGACAGGATGGATAATGAGAACCTTCAAAACTAGGGATGCCAAGCCCATGATGACACTCTTCAGGTCACTTGTTCTATCTAGGCTGGAATATTGCTGCACACTAACAACACCTTTCAAGGCAGGTGAAATTGCTGACCTAGAAAATGTACAGAGAACCTTCACGGCGCGCATAACGGAGATAAAACACCTCAATTACTGGGAGCGCTTGAGGTTCCTGAACCTGTATTCCCTGGAACGCAGGCGGGAGAGATACATGATTATATACACCTGGAAAATCTTAGAGGGACTAGTACTGAACTTGCACACGAAAATCACTCGCTACGAAAGCAAAAGACTTGGCAGACGATGCAACATCTCCCCAATGAAAAGCAGGGGTGTCACTAGCACGTTAAGAGACCATACAATAAGTGTCAGGGGCCCGGGACTGTTCAACTGCCTCCCAGCATACATAAGGGGGATTACCAATAGACCCCTGGCAGTCTTCAAGCTGGCACTGGACAAGCACCTAAAGTTGGTACCTGACCAGCTGGGCTGTGGATCGTACGTTGGTTTGCGTGCAGCCAGCAGTAACAGCCTGGTTGATCAGGCTCTGATCCACCAGGAGGCCTGGTCACAGACCGGGCCGTGGGGGCATTGACCCCCGGAACTCTCTCCAGGTAAACTCCAGGTACCACTTATGCCTAATTTAATTGTGGCTGAAAAATGAAATATCTGTTTAGCTTATAGCCTATGTTTTACAATGCATACCTAGAGTATACCAGGAGAGGGTTTCAGGGGTCAGTGCCCCCACAGCTCGGTCTGCGACCAGGCCTCGTGATGGATATCAACATTAACTTAAATATTTTTTTTATTTAGAAGCATCAAGATCTTCATATTGTATGAAACTAGGCAAGAGGATAAGGTTTTACAGACAAAAATACTACAGCCATATTAGCTATGGAAGACATATACGTGTATTTAGAAACTTGTGTAACACTGAAAACGATAGTGTTAAAGCATTAAAAACTGTGGTTTGAGGTGCTCCTATAGCTGTGCTCTGAATAACATATCAGGTACACTCAGGCTGTGTGGAGACGTATAGGGTTACGGAGGAAGGAGTCGCCTTGCAACTCACGTGAGCAGAGACTCAGGAAACAGATAAGGGATGACAGGTTGTTTCGTCTATCAAGGACTCATCTGAGTAGTGATTAATGTGTATCTCTAGGTGTTTGGCCTGTCTGAGAATGTTAGTGCATATCTAATTTTATCTGTTATCTAAACTAAGTGTTCTTTATGTTAAAGAGGGTAGTATGCTTCAGGTCAGTTGTGGTTTAGTCTTCATCCTGTAAGGATGTGCTAGGATGTGATTTTGCAATGTTAGCACAAACTGATCCCGTGGTGACAAAATTGTGGGTTTGGACTGTTTTCATTATGCATTGGTTTATATTGGGTGCTTTTTTGCATGCATGATTAAAGTAAATTAGTGATTTTTATAACAAAATTCACCTTAAAATATGTACTTTCCTGTAGTTGACTGCTGAAATTCTAGGTTCGTGTATTGTAGCAACGAGGAATGCTTGTTCTGTTGTCTTCTAAATTATTATACTGTGTCATTAGCATTAATTTTCAACTTTTGGCTCTTGTAAGTGGTTGTTTTTTACCTGATTTTGTAAATAAAATTCTGTATGAACGTTAAGTACTTATGTAGTTTTATCTTTGCAGGCAGATGCGAGGGAGAACGAGAGAAGGATGAGATTCCACACAGAAGTAGCATATTGGTAGAGCAGAAAACAGAGAAACAGTGTTGTCTTTATCACAGAAAATTCAGTATACACACTGCCAAATACTGTACTGAAAAGCTGCAATACGTAAAGGATTTGCTAAAACGAAATCATCTTCATGATAAGAATTATTGCTGAAGAATAGTCTGTTGATACAGCATTCCAACACCAGTGGGTGGCACGACTCTGTAATCTGAATACAAAATACAAGCGCTTCAAAATCTAGTCACCATGGATCCTGCCTCTTTCAACATGACAGCCTTTTGTGGCACTTCAGATTTTAATCCCTGGGATAAGAAGAGACTCAACTTTGGTGTGTGCTTCCAGAAAGCTGTGATTATTGTGCCAGTTTTTGCTTTTCTGGCAGTCGTCTCGGCTTTCTTTATGGGCAGAGAGTCTGCATGGGTGGTCCGCAGACGCAAGCAGATCCTGATAATTTACATGAGGATGGCAATAAGTGTTCTCTCCCTTCTGATGGTTATTTTGGAGCCCATTCTGCTCTTCTATGTTGGCCACACCAACATATACTGGGTCGATGGCCTCGTTATTGGAGTCCAGGTAATTTTGAATTTATTTTTGTTTGAAGGACAGCACCTATATCAATCATAATTTTAAAATACTTGTGCTATTATGTTCAGTCATATAGTGTAGGATTTTTTTGCATGTCTGCCCATCCAGACATGATATGTTCCCATTTTGTAATTTGAGATATGCTCATGATGTCCCATCTTTAATAATTTATTAATCCAGTTTTTTTTTTTTAAATTCAAATAATTTAATGTGTGTTTCAAAATGATGTCACACATTAGTGTTTCAGTTATTATAAATGGATCATAAGTAAGGGATGAGTATATTTCAGTCTCATTGAAAAATTAAACAGGTAACATCTGCTGTTACCTGTTTAATGGTTCAATATAAGTAGTTTTGACCTAAAATTGTTCACTGTAAGTGAACTATTCATGACACTATTATCCAGGCATTTCGGACTGTTTCATTGTACTGTATGAATTTTTAGAAAAATTATTGCATTCTCATGATTGGTTTAACCCTTAAACTGTCCAAGCAGATCTACATTCACATGCGTAGTGCTCCAAAAGTAGATCTACGTTTTTTTATGTATTTTCAAATACATACAGTGGACCCCCGGTTTACGATATTATTTCATTCCAGAAGTATGTTCAGGTGCCATTACTGAATGAATTTGTTCCCATAAGGAATATTCTGAATTAGATTAGTCCATTTCAGACCCCCAAACATACATGTACAAACACACTTACATAAATACACTTACATAATTGGTCGCATTGGGAGCTGATCGTAAAGCGGGGGTCCACTGTATAACAAAAAAAAAGTAGATCAAAGTTTTTTACATGTTTTCAAATGTACAAAAAAAAAGATCTACTTTTTTTACATACTTTCAAATGTTGAAAAAACATTTATATACGTTTGGACCGTTTGCGGGTTAAAGACACATGAAAAATTTTCAGGACATAGTTGGAAGCAATCATGGTCCCAGGGCCAGAATATTTTCTAAATACGTATGTCCCAGTGGACTTAGATTAAGTTGTAATAAACAACTGTCAATGGACACAGGGCACAGATCACTCTTTGATGTTCCTCGAGTCCATCTCACACTATGTAAAAACTCAATGCACATAAAAGGCCCAAAAATCAGGAATTCATTATCTGTGAATATAAAAGAAACAGTCTTTTTATCAATTCAAGACATCTTAAAAACCACTTACTCACCCACAATTAAATAAATACTGATAACTGTAGCTCATAAATGTATAACCTGTGACCCTATCAAACTGTTTTTTTTTTTTTCTTGTAATTACATTACCTAATAGAATACTCCATTCTCTTGAATGCTCTTTAACTCATCAAAGGTGCTACAAATCTGTACAACTATAAAGCCTCTTATTTGAAATACTTATTTGTACTTCATGTTGTAATTTGTCTACTGTAATTTTTACCACTGAATATATCATTGCTTAATTAATCTTAAGTTAATTTTAAACCTGCCCACAGTGCTCTGCATACAAGGGGCTTTTGGCATGTACACTCAACCACTGTATTTCTTTTGTACAACTATGTATCATATCCAAATAATAATAATAATAAATAGAAGGGCGAACGAGGGGCTTGAAATGCATCAGACTGTCAATTTACAGACCACGGTTTGAACCCCTTGTCCACCCTTCTGTCTATTCATGTGTCCCAGTGTTTGCTGTCTTTTGAAATGTCAATTTCCAAGATTTATATTCTTTTTTTATGATTCTCAGACAGTGTCATGGCTGGTTCATCTGGGTTACCTCAATTCATTGCTGAGTCGGCTAAGTATTGGCACCCGTGGCCCCACGATTGTCATCATTGCCTGGCTGCTTACCTTCCTCTGTGCCATTAACTTAGCAAGAACTGCTTGGTATGACATAAATGGCATGTCAAAAGTCACCGAAAATATTTCAAGATACATGGCTTTAACTCAGCTATGTTTGCAGGTAAGTGTCGTCTTTTGCAGGTAAATTGCAGCAATTTTTTTCTTTTGCATGCTGTCCGAGGCCTGATGATCTGAAAAAGAAATGCTTTCACCATCATTCACACTGTCACTGTCCTGCCAGAGGTATACAGATACAATAGTTTAGATGTCCTTCTAAACAGCAGATATCCCAAACCCCTCCTGTACTTCCCACCTCCAGGACTCCGGTCAGGCTAACCAGTTTCCCTGAATCCTTTCACAAAACATTAACCGGTTCACACTCCAACAACTCATGAAATCCCCAAAACCATATCGCCACTCACTCCAATCAAACACGCTTACACGTATCTGCTGTATATCCAAGCCCTTTGCCAATTTTTTTTTTTTTTTCAACAAGTCGGCCGTCTCCCACCGAGGCAGGGTGACCCAAAAAAAAGAAAGAAAATCCCCAAAAAGAAAATACTTTCATCATCATTCAACACTTTCACCACACTCGCACATTATCACTGTTTTTGCAGAGGTGCTCAGAATACAACAGTTTAGAAGCATACACATATAAAGATACACAACATATCCCTCCAAACTGCCAATATCCCAAACCCCTCCTTTAAAGTGCAGGCATTGTACTTCCCATTTCCAGGACTCAAGTCCGACTATATGAAAATAACCGGTTTCCCTGAATCCCTTCACTAAATATTACCCTGCTCACACTCCAACAGATCGTCAGGTCCCAAGTACCATTCGTCTCCATTCACTCCTATCTAACACGCTCACGCACGCTTGCTGGAAGTCCAAGCCCCTTGCCCACAAAACCTCCTTTACCCCCTCTCTCCAACCCTTTTGAGGACGACCCCTACCCTGCCTCCCTACCCCTATAGATTTATATGCTTTCCATGTCATTCTACTTTGATCCATTCTCTCTAAATGACCAAACCACCTCAACAACCCTTCTTCTGCCCTCTGACTAATACTTTTATTAACTCCACACCTTTTCCTAATTTCCACACTCCGAATTTTCTGCATAATATTTACATCACACATTGCTCTTAAATAGGACATCTCCACTGCCTCCAACCGTCTCCTCGCTGCTGCATTTACCACCCAAGCTTCACACCCATATAAGAGTGTTGGTACTACTATACTTTCATACATTCCCTTCTTTGCCTCCATAGATAACGCTTTTTGACTCCACATATACCTCAATGCATCACTCACCTTTTTTCCCTCATCAATTCTATGATTAACCTCATCCTTCATAAATCCATCCGCCAACACGTCAACTCCCAAGTATCTGAAAACATTCACTTCTTCCATACTCCTCCTCCCCAATTTGATATCCAATTTTTCTTTATCTAAATCATTTGACACCCTCATCACCTTACTCTTTTCTATGTTCACTTTCAACTTTCTACCTTTACTCACATTCCCAAACTCATCCACTAACCTTTGCAATTTTTCTTTAGAATCTCCCATAAGCACAGTATCATCAGCAAAAAGTAACTGTGTCAATTCCCATTTGAATTTGATTCCCCATAATTTAATCCCACCCCTCTCCCGAACACCCTAGCATTTACTTCCTTTACAACCCCATCTATAAATATAATTAAACAACCATGGTGACATTACACATCCCTGTCTAAGACCTACTTTTACCGGGAAGTAGTCTCCCTCTCTTCTACACACCCTAACCTGAGCCTCACTATCCTCATAAAAACTCTTTACAGCATTTAATAACTTACCACCTATTCCATATACTTGCAACATCTGCCACATTGCTCCTCTATCCACTCTATCATATGCCTTTTCTAAATCCATAAATGCAATAAAAACTTCCCTACCTTTATCTAAATACTGTTCACATATATGCTTCAATGTAAACACTTGATCTACACATCCCCTACCCACTCTGAAACCTCCTTGCTCATCCGCAATCCTACATTCTGTCTTACCTCTAATTCTTTCAATTATAACCCTACCGTACACTTTTCCTGGTATACTCAGTAAACTTATTCCTCTATAATTTTTACAGTCTCTTTTGTCCCCTTTCCCTTTATATAAAGGGACTTATTATTGTTGGTAATTCCTTGGGTAGCTTTATTATTATTATTAATGATAATAATAATTAATAGTAATAATCAAAGATTGATGATAATAACCAAAGATAGATGATAGTAATATCAGTAATAATTAAAAACAGGAATGTCTGCATTGTTCATTCTGGACCTTATTTTGAAATTGTCATATTTTTTATTTTTTGTGAAATTGGCCAAATTGCAAATATCTGACCATGTTATTGGGTAGTTGAAATTGGTAAATGGGCAGTTTCTTGTACTCAATTGATAGAAAAAATGGATTGCTAAAGAAATAGCTATGAATTTGGTCAACTGGAACAATGGAATTAGCCAAAAATAGGGCTCAAAGTGGGTGAAATTGCTGATTTGTAAATATTGCCGAGGTCGCTAACTTCGCGAGAGCGTAATTCTGTCAGTTTTCCATCAAATTTCGTTTTTTGGTGTCATTACAGGATTGGGGTTGTAACAGTCAAGGGGTTAATGCTCAAGATGTCATTTTGAAGAAGATAAAGACAACGTTAGAGGTTTATAAATGGTCACTAATGCAAATTCTTCATTTTTTTTTTTTCAGATTTTGTATCTGTTTACACTGTTCCCAAAAGGGAGTGCAGGAGTGTCCCATTACCAAGAGTTGTACAATGAAGCCACTGAGACCACCCCACTTATGGATACATCTTATAATGACTACAGTCGGTGTGTATTTTATCCTATTACATTATATTCTAAGCAGTAGAAAATTGGGAGGGGATGCAGAGGAAGTCAAAATATACAATATTTTTCCTAATTTTCTTAGTTTTTTAATGTTTCACTTATTTTTAAAAAATACAAATATTCAACAGTAATATACATTTTTACTGACTTGTGATTTATTTAAAATATATTCAGAATTTCAGTCTGGGGAAGATAGTTCTAAGGCATTATTTTAATCTTAGGGTTTATAGATCATAATAGTATTAGTGAAGGAAGGGTACAGAAGGAGGTTTTGAACATCCTACAGTCTTGTGTAAGAGCATTAGATTGCAGTGAGTGGAGACAGGTTGTTCTTGTGACTTAATGTGTTGTTGGAGTGTGTGCAAGATCATGCATATGAAAGGATTCAGGGCAAACTGGTTAGCCTAATCGGGTTGTCATATCAGCAAACGTGGAATAGACGGTGATCGAGGGAATGATGGTGAGTGTTTTCTTCTTTGGGTCACCCTGCCTTTGCAGATGGCTATCAAATTAAAAAAAAAATATATAAAATGCATGGCTTTATGAAAATATTAATACTGTACGTAGACTACATTAAGATTTCTTTTTATAATCTACATAATACTGTATGTAGATTACATTAGGATTTCTTTTGTACAATTATGTTTTTTTTTTCTGTCCAGTTTTCACGAAGCCGCTGACCCTTTCAACCTGGGTATAGCGGAAGAGAGAGTCAACATGCTGTCATACATAACCTTCCATTGGGTAAATGCCCTCATGCAGAAGGGCAGCCTGGGTAACCTCCGCACCCAAGACGATCTTCACGACCTTCCTGTACAAATGCGTACAGATGTTATAGCCCAGAAGGTACTTATAAATTTTTTCAAATATTTTTAGAAGTCTCATAACCTTTCTTTTGGTTTTTTGAAGTTATATGTTACGTATCCAAGCATTATGGAGTGGAGAGTTTCTAAAGTGTATTAAACAGTGATCATTGCAACATCATAAAAAAACTGATCCTTTAATTGTTTTCATCAGATTCACAAAACTATGATGATCAGCCAGCCATTACCAAGTTATGAATCAGAGAGACCTCCTCAACAGAAGCACTTCTTCCTCAAAGCTCTCCACAAGTGTTTTGGCGTGCAGTTCTACAGTATTGGTCTGGTGAAGCTGGCTGGTGATTCTTTGAGCTTCTCAGGGCCTCTTCTGTTGCATGAACTAGTCACCTTCATCGAAAACAAGGACGAAGACATCTTGAAAGGTTATGCATATGCAGGAGGGCTGTGTGTGGTAGCCCTTATAGGTGAGAGTTTGAATTTTTTGGATGGTTCTTAATGATTTTTCCCTTGCACCTTTCGCTGTGAAAAATATCAAACATACTTTACTTTTTTTACACAATCATTACTGTACACAAATACCCTGCACACAGGAAAGAGCTTAGGACTGTTTTGGTACAACACAATATCATACTATACTTTGTCTACACAAATAACTTGCACATAGGAGAGAGAAGCTTATGATATTTTGGTCCAGCTTGGACCACATTAACACATGACAATGAGGGAGCCATTATATATATAGAGAGACAGGGATGGGACAGAAATAGCAAGAAAGGACATGCAGTAGTGGTAGAGATAATGCTGGTAGTGGTAAAACTTACATTTCTTTTCATATTAGCTAAATATCATCTCCTTGTGTAAAATAGGGGTCAGTTAGTACAGGACTAAATACACCTCTCTTATATAAGAATACAACACCATCACTACTTGCTACAAGGTTCATATTTTGAAGTTTGCCTAAAAGTACTCTTGGTAAATGTGATTTGATAGTAAGTCAATTAATGTTAAATATGGAGGGATAAATTGTAAGATTGAGTGGGGCAGTGTGAAATTGAGTGAAGAATTGTGTGATTGAGAGAAAATGTGAGATGTTGATTGAGAAAGGGATATATTAAGTGGGAGAGGAAAGAATCGAGTGGGAGCATGAGACTGAGTAGGATAGTGTGACGGACTCAATATATATGACTGTTGGCTTTTATTAATTTTTTTTTTTTCAGCCACTTTCTGCAGTATTCACTTCAACTACTTGCTGGCTAAGGTTAGCTTGCGTGTCCGCGCTGCTGTAATATCACTGTTTATCGAAAGGTTCTTCAGGTGAGACACAGGATTAACTAAAAATGCATTTTCCATTACTTAAATGTAATGTAGGATTAATTTTGCATGCTTTGGCGGCCGACTTGTTGAAAAAAAAAAAAATTTGATTTGTGTGTTTTGTGTTTGTTTGCTAGATGAGTGAATGGAGACAACTGTTCATACATGTACAGTATATGTTTTTGTATTTTTTGTTTTTGTGTATGTTTGCATTTGTTTGCTAGATGGAGTGAATGGAGACAGTGTTTTTATTAATGGATGTGCTGGTAGAGTGAGTAAGGCAAGCCAGTTACCGAGACTTGAGTGCTGGAGTAAGGAAGTGCTGTGCCTGCACTCTGAAGAATGATCGTGATTGTGATGTAAAGACAGTGATTGAATGAACAGTGAGTGGATTTTCTCCTTTGGATTACTCCTGCCTTGGCAGGAGATAACCATTGAGTTACATGAGCAAACATTAGAATATATTTATTAGAAATTTTTCTTTCCTGGGACTGTGATCAGGGTCCCTGCACCACAACATTTTCTAAAATGTCCTAGTGTTTGCTTACATGTCTTTCTAAACCAATTTGTCCGTTTATACCAAAAAAAGCACGTGTTTGTCCAACTTGTGTATATTTGCATGCATCTGATTATGTTGACCAGTTTCATTTTTGTTTAACTATACTTTCTTGTTTTAGGTCAACGCTGCTAACCTGAGCAAATTTTCAACTGGCGAGGTGGTCAATTTAATGAGCACAGATACAGACAGAATCGTAAATTTCTGCCAGTCTTTCCATGCCTTATGGAGTCTGCCTCTGCAGGTGAGCTGAAAAAGAAACAGTTTCACTATCATTCACATTATCACTGTCTTGCCAGAGGCACACAGATACGACAGTTGAGACGTTCCTCTAAACAGCAAATAGCCTGAACCCCATTTGCAAATGCGATTGGAAAAGTGGATATAAAATTGAATCACGTACTGTGAAGTCCTTTCTTGCACGTTATTCAATTTTGGATGTACCTTTTCAATAACATTTACAAAAACAAGAATTGCTCTCTAGATGAGCTATATAAAAGAACCGACTGTATAGTATTATTGATTGAGTGGGTGAGGTGCTAGTACTTCCCAGTGCTAATACTTTCCAGTGCTAATACTTTCCAGTGCTAGTACTTCCCAGTGCTAATACTGGGATTGCTTAACTGCGAATATATACATTACTTATACAAATTGCATAGCTTAATAATTAGCACCGTAATTTCCTCGAGTAGAGTTAGTTTCATGCTTTATAATGTTGAAATTGACCAGATATAATTTCTACTTTAAATTTCACCTTTGTTAAGTTGGTCAGAAGTAAATGATTGAATAAGAAATAGGAACATGAATAAGAATAAGAAATAGGAACATGAATAAGAAAAAGAAATAGGAACTTTAATAAGAATGAGAAATAATGAATAGAAATAAGAAATAAGAACAAGAGATTACATAAGGAACTGTGTCTTGATAGTTGTTACAGAGATTTACACTGTTCTCATATAATTTCATATTTTTTATTGCAAAGGCCCTTTTTAAATTGACAAGTTGCTTCCTCACACTCACGCAACTCAATCTTGCAGCTTGCCGTGACACTCTACCTGCTCTACCAGGAAATTGGAATTGCCTTCATATCGGGTGTCGCAGTGATTATTATCCTAATTCCCATCAATAAATGGCTTGCCTCAAAAATAGGTACAGTGTATGTATTTTTTTGAGACAAAACCTAGATGATTAATTGGTCTGTATATTTTGATCCTCTTCTGGGATCGTCTTCAGCAGATCTGAAGAAGATCCCAAAAAGGGATCAAAATAGACAGACCATTTAATCATCAGGGTTTCTGTCTCCATGTGGGTTATTAATGAGTACTGACAAATGTTCATTACACTTTAGTTATCCATATATTTTTTTTAGTATAAAGGGTGGAATGCTAAAATGTACAATTGATACATAAGAGTAATGACCACTGGTTAATGGCACAATTGAACTGATGCAGAGATAATAAAACAAATTGATTGCTATAATATTTTGAAAAGTTTCTCTGCAGGCTTACTGAAGATGTTCATATTATAGTTTGGCCTCTGTTGTTCTGCCTGGCATGAATCCCAAATATGCATTATTCATCTCATATTTTCTCTTCATATGGGTTCATTTATTCCAAATAGTAGATTTTTTTTTTTCAGTACACTGGTCATCTTCCACTGAAGCAGAATGACCAAAAAAAAAGAAAAAAAAAGTTTTTAATTTTGCATGTAGTAATTTATACAGAAGGTAAATTAGCTTTTGCATGATTTAACAATCCAATATTTTGCTGATGGTGAGTGATTGGTGGAATGATGAAGTAAAGGGTGTGATAAAAGAGAAAGAGTTAGCTAATGAGAGGTTTTTACAAAGCAGAAGTGTTATAAGAAGAGCAGAGTATATGGAGAGTAAAAGAAAGGTGAAGAGAGTGGTGAGAGAGTGCAAAAGGAGAGCAGATGATAGAGTGGGAGAGGCACTGTCAAGAAATTTTAATGAAAATAAGAAAAAATTTTGGAGTGAGTTAAACAAGTTAAGAAAGCCTAGGGAAAGTATGGATTTGTCAGTTAAAAACAGAGGAGGGGAGTTAGTAGATGGGGAGAGGGGGGTATTAGGTAGATGGCGAGAATATTTTGAGGAACTTTTAAATGTTGAGGAAGAAAGGGAGGCGGTAATTTCATGCACTGGTCAGGGAGGTATACCATCTTTTAGGAGTGAAGAAGAGCAGAATGTAAGTGTGGGGGAGGTACGCGAGGCATTACGTAGAATGAAAAGGGGTAAAGCAGTTGGAACTGATGGGATCATGACAGAAATGTTAAAAGCAGGGAGATATAGTGTTGGAGTGGTTGGTACTTTTGTTTAATAAATGTATGAAAGAGGGGAAGGTACCTAGGGATTGGCAGAGAGCATGTATAGTCCCTTTATATAAAGGGAAAGGGGACAAAAGAGATTGTAAAAATTATAGAGGAATAAGTTTATTGAGTATACCAGGAAAAGTGTACGGTAGGGTTATAATTGAAAGAATTAGAGGTAAGACAGAATGTAGGATTGCGGATGAGCAAGGAGGTTTCAGAGTGGGTAGGGGATGTGTAGATCAAGTGTTTACATTGAAGCATATATGTGAACAGTATTTAGACAAAGGTAGGGAAGTTTATATTGCATTTATGGATTTAGAAAAGGCATATGATAGAGTGGATAGGGGAGCAATGTGGCAGATGTTGCAAGTATATGGAATAGGTGGTAAGTTACTAAATGCTGTAAAGAGTTTTTATGAGGATAGTGAGGCTCAGGTTAGGGTGTGTAGAAGAGAGGGAGACTACTTCCCGGTAAAAGTAGGTCTTAGACAGGGATGTGTAATGTCACCATGGTTGTTTAATATATTTATAGATGGGGTTGTAAAAGAATAAATGCTAGGGTGTTCGGGAGAGGGGTGGGATTAAATTATGGGGAATCAAATTCAAAATGGGAATTAACACAGTTACTTTTTGCTGATGATACTGTGCTTATGAGAGATTCTAAAGAAAAATTGCAAAGGTTAGTGGATGAGTTTGGGAATGTGTGTAAAGGTAGAAAGTTGAAAGTGAACATAGAAAAGAGTAAGGTGATGAGGGTATCAAATGATTTAGATAAAGAAAAATTGGATATCAAATTGGGGAGGAGGAGTATGGAAGAAGTGAATGTTTTCAGATACTTGGGAGTTGACGTGTCGGCGGATGGATTTATGAAGGATGAGGTTAATCATAGAATTGATAGGGAAAAAAGGTGAGTGGTGCATTGAGGTATATGTTGAGTCAAAAAACGTTATCTATAGGCAGGCAATAAGAAGTGTATAATGGGTATGAAAGATATAGAGTAACCAACACTCTTATATGGGTATGAAGCTTGGGTGGTAAATGCAGCAGCGAGGAGACGGTTGGAGGCAGTGGAGATGTCCTGTCTAAGGGCAATGTGTGGTGTAAATATTATGCAGAAAATTCAGAGTGTAGAAATTAGGAAAAGGTGTGGAGTTAATAAAAGTATTAGTCAGAGGGCAGAAGAGGGGTTGTTGAGGTGGTTTGGTCATTTAGAGAGAATGGATCAAAGTAGAATGACATGGAAATGCATATAAATCTATAGGGGAAGGAAGGCGAGGTAGGGGTCGTCCTCGAAAGGGTTGGAGAGAGGGGGTAAAGGAAGTTTTGTGGGCAAGGGGCTTGGACTTCCAGCAAGCGTGCATGAGCGTGTTAGATAGGAGTGAATGGAGACGAATGGTACTTGGGACCTGACAATCTGTTGGAGTGTGAGCAGGGTAATATTTAGTGAAGGGATTCAGGGAAACCAGTTATTTTCATATAGTCGGACTTGAGTCCTGGAAATGGGAAGTACAATGCCTGCACATTAAAGGAGGGGTTTGGGATATTGGCAGTTTGGAGGGATATGTTGTGTATCTTTATATGTGTATGCTTCTAAACTGTTGTATTCTGAGCACCTCTGCAAAAACAGTGATTATGTGTGAGTGTGGTGAAAGTGTTGAATGATGATGAAAGCATTTTCTTTTTGGGGATTTTCTTTCTTTTTTGGGTCACCCTGCCTCGGTGGGAGACGGCCAGACTTGTTGAAAAAAAAAAAAGTATAATTCGGATGCTGTCTTAAATATATGCTTAATAATTTTAATAATTTTAACCATTTATTGTTTGTGTAGGTAAATTAAGTGTGGAAATGATGGCATTCAAGGACCGCCGTGTTGGCCTCATGTCCGAGATCCTGAGCATGATCAGGATGGTGAAACTCAATGCCTGGGAAGGAACATTTAAACACCGTATAAATGGCAAGTACACAATTTACGGGCAATATTTTGTTCCTTGTATTTCTTATGACAATACAGCATTTACACATTACATGATCATACAACAACCATATTGGTCATATCTGCACACTCAGAATGTTTTCGGAAATATTTGCTAATCTTCAGAAATGTCAAACAGTTTCCTGATTCCTCTCACCATACATTATATCACCTAAATTCCTACTACACTTCTTCACATTTTTTATTCATTCTTGTTGTTTCACTGCCCTTGAAAATATTTTTTTTATATGTACTCATTTTTTTCCCAAACTTTTCAATCAGATCAAGTTTGTATCCAGCAGTACAAAGATCACCCCATCACATTTATTCTATTCTTTTCAGTCATAGTGCTCACAAATGTGCATTTGCAGTGCCATATTTCAACTTTATACAATTTTGCACTATTGCAGATGAGCGTTACGGTGAGGTGAAGGCTTTGGCCGGCCGCAAGTACCTGGATGCTGCATGTGTATACTTTTGGGCTGCCACACCAGTCCTCATACCCATTGTTACCTTCACAGTGTACATTGCTCTGGGTAATTATTTGTGACTTTTTTTCATTGTTTGAAATATTTGAATCTGTTGTTGTCTTGCTGTCCTGAGATTGCCAGTCAATCTATATGCTTTCCCTATAGCTCCCACTTAATTAACAGGCATTTTACATAATCTTTCTTTGCTTTAATTATTAATTCCCGCCATCTACCCAATTGTGACGAAACAGGCCTGTTTTGGAGGAAAATGCCAAACAGGACCTACATTACTCAGAAGGAAAAGGCACTGCCAGGACACAAGCCTATGAAAGACAGGCTAACTCTCATGTTTTGTAGTAATGCTAGTGAGGATTGCAAAGTGAAGCCTTTGCTCATGTATCAGTCTGAAACTGCCAGTGTTCAAGAAAAACAGTGTCATCAAGACTAAATTGTGTGTGATGTGGAGAGCAAACAGTAAGGCATGGGTCACTTGGGACATTTTCCTCGATTGGTTCTATGACGTGTTTGGCCCCAGTGTGAAAAAATACCTCCTGGAAAATAAATTGCCACTCCAATGCCTCCTGTTAATGGACAATGCTCCTGCTCATCCTCAAGACTTGGAAGAGCGAATTGTGGGGGAGTTTAGTTTTTGCCTCCTAACAGCACTCCTCTCCTCCAGCTCATGGACCAGCAGGTTATTTCCAACTTCAAAAAACAACTGTACACCAAAGCAGTGTTTTAAAAGTGCTTTGAAGTAACCTCAGACACTGAATTGACCCTAAGAGAGTTCTGGAAAGATCACTTCAGTATCCTCAGTTGCATAAACCTTATAGGTAAGGCTTGGGAGGGAGTGACTTCCAGGACTTTGAACTCTACTTGGAGAAAATTATGGCCAGAATGTGTACAAGAGAAGGATTTTGAAGGGTTTGGGGCTAACCCTGAGGAGCCTATGCCAGTTGTGGAATCTATTATGACATTGGGGAAGTCCATGGGGTTGGAGGTTAGTGGCGAGGATGTGGAAGAGTTGGTGGAGGATAACGATGAAGAGCTAGCCACTACAGAGCTGCAAGAGCTTGAGGTTCAACAGCAACAGACCACAGCTCAGGAATTTCCTACAGAGGAGGAGGAAGAGAGATGGAGGAAGTTGCCTTCGTCAAAGATTAAGGACGTTTGTACAATGTGGACAAAGGTGCAAGCATTTACCTTGACACATAGGAGGGAAAAACTTGACTTTGATAAAACTAAACTCCCCCACAATTCGCTCTTCCAAGTCTTGAGGATGAGCAGGAGCATTGTCTAATAACAGTAGGCACTGGAGTGGCAATTCATTTTTTGGGGGCCAAACACGTCATAGAACCAATCGAGGAAAATGCCCCAAGTGACCCATGCCTTACTGTTTGCTCTCCACATCACACACAATTTAGTCTTGACAGCACGGTTTTTCTTGAACACTCTGAGTTAGCCTGTCTTTCATAGGCTTGTGTCCTGGGAGTGGCATTTTCTTCCAAAACAGGACTGTTTTGTCACAATTGAACACTTGAGCTGCTGCTGTTTAGGACTTGTATACATGTATAGGGTTTGCTACTGTTCATGGTTTCAGTATCCACAGCAGGTACTTGGACCGTATTGCTACTGAATAACCAGCATTTAATTTATACCACGTATTGCCCGAATTATTAATTAATGCCATTTTAATTCATCATTGATAAATATCTTAAGGGTAAAATAACTGTCTGGGTTTATATGTGGTAAGTATCGACACACTGAGAAATTGCTGCAGTGAACAAATTATTTATAGCCTCTTCTTAAAATATGTACCATGTTTTTTAAAAATTTCAGGCAACCCCTTAGAACCAGCACGTGTGTTCACAGCTGTGGCACTATTCAACATGCTAATAATGCCACTGAATTCATTCCCATGGGTGATCAATGGGATAGTAGAGGCCTGGGTCTCCCTCAAGCGTGTGGAGCGCCTCATGCAGGTATGTCAAAAGAAATTGAAAATAGATAATACAGTTTTATTGAAGGCTATATTAAAATATTTAAAGCAAAACTAAAGATAAAAAGCAATATTAAAGAAAATTTGGGAAATACTATGAAGGCTGTGAAACATTTTTTCAGTACATATCAAAATCCACTCAGTAAGTGGGTGATATATGCACCACCTCCTAGTATTTCACCCACATGTATATTCAGCAACCAACCATATCCCACTGAGGCAGTGGGCTAATAACAGGGGTTACTAGCCCCTTGCTAGTCACCTTTAAATATTTTTATGATACTTTAATGATACTATTGTTAATTGGCTTTTACATTTCAGCTTCAAGAATTAGATTTGATGAACTACTATACAGTAGTGCCAGAGATGGGCCACAAGGACTCGGAACTGCAAGTTCTCATTAAAAACGGAGCCTTCACTTGGAATGGTTCTGTTAACCATGAGAACCAGGAATACAGGTACTACCAGACATCGGATGGAGCCTACAGGAGTTCACCCACAGAATCTGATGAGTCTCTTATTGAATCTCACAGCGGGAGTGATGATCAAGACCAAGCAATGCTACCTATACTTAAAGCAGTCAACATACAGCTCTCTAAGGTCAGATTAAAGTACTTAAATCTTGTGTGTTTGTATGAAAACTACATGCTGAATAACCCACATGGGTTATTATTGACAGGTGTTTATTGCACTTTTGTTACTTATTCATAAAAACACATCTTGTGTTTATAAAATTGTACATTTTTTTTTTCAACAAGTCGGCCGTCTCCCACCGAGGCAGGGTGACCCAAAAAGAAAGAAAATCCCCAAAAAGAAAATACTTTCATCATTCAACACTTTCACCTCACTCATACATAATCACTGTTTTTGCAGAGGCACCCAGATAAAACAGTATAAAGATATACATGTATAACATATCCCTCCATACTGCCAATATCCCAAATACCTTCACTAAATATTACCCTGCTCTCACACTAATAGCTCGTCAGGTCCTAAAAACCATTCGTCTCTATTCACTCCTATCTAACACGCTCACGCACGCTTGCTGGAAGTCCAAACCCCTCGCCCACAAAACCTCCTTTACCCCCTCCCTCCAACCTTTTTGAGGATGACCCCTACCCCTCTTTCCTTCCCCTACAGATTTATATGCTCCCCATGTCATTCTACTTTGATCCATTCTCTCTAAATGACCAGACCACCTCAACAACCCCTCTTCAGCCCTCTGACTAATACTTTTATTAATTCCACACCTTCTAATTTCCACACTCCGAATTCTCTGCATAATATTTACACCACACATTGCCCAAGCTTCACACCCATATAAAAGTGTTGGTACCAGTACAGTGGACCCCCGCATAATGGTCACCTCCCAATGCGACCAATTATGTAAGTGTATTTATGTAAGTGCATTTGTACGTGTATGTTTGGGGGTCTGAAATGGACTAATCTACTTCACAATATTCCTTATGGGAACAAATTCGGTCAGTACTGGCACCTGAACATACTTCTGGAATGAAAAAATATCGTTAACCGGGGGTCCGCTGTATACTTTCATACATTCCCTTCTTTACCTCCATTGAGAATGTTTTTTGTCTCCTCATATACCTTAATTATAGGTAGTAGGTTGGTAGACAGCAACCACCCAGGGAGGTACTACTGTCCTGCCAAGTGGGTGTAAAACGAAAGCCTGTAATTGTTTTAGATGATGGTAGGATTGCTGGTGTATTTTGTCTGTCTCATAAATATGCAAGATTTCAGGTACGTCTTGCTACTTCTACTTACACTTAGGTCACACTACACATACATGTACAAGAACAGATATACCTTATTTTATGGTGAACAAGACACTGGTGTCAAGGAATATCCCCCCCCAGATGCTGAGTAAATATATGAGACTTATTTTGGGAAACAAAATAGCATCTGAAAGAGAGGTGTTAGTGTTGCCTCTCGCAAGACAGTGATGGAGTGAATGATAATGAAAGTTTTTCTTTTTTGGGCCACCCTACCTTGGTGGGAAATGGCTGATGTGAAAAAAAAGGTGTGAAAAAAAACCTCTCCCATGCAATAAAATACAATATATCTCATATAAATATGAGTTTAGCATCACCTTAGCTCTGAAATATTTTGTTTATTGTAGACCATTTTTAATATTTACTATACTATTTATTATACTATTTATTTATTATACTTTAATGGTTATATTGGTAATGTGGTTAAAACTGTTTAATTCTGTGGTGATCCTGTATTGTTTTTTATTATTCAGGGCCAAGTGGTGGCTATTGTGGGTCGCGTTGGGTCAGGAAAGACGTCCATCATCAATGCATTACTGGCAGAAATGGCCAAATCTCATGGAGTTGTGGCAGTGGCAGCACTTCACAATGGTTAGTGTTTCTGTTATCCTGTTATCTGATATTTACATTGAGATGTTGCTAGGCAAAAAAGAATAAGAGTCAGCCAAATCCAAGCAATAGCAATAAATATAGAAATAGGGGAGATCCGAGCTGTGAAGCTCAGGTTACTGTATTCTAGTATGGGGCTCTGAGCCTAACTTGTGGATGTGGTGGCAGTCATCGGCAGTCATTATAAATGAGGCACTGCACTGTTGTGCAGTGCCTCATTTATAAAGAGATTCAGGTAAACCACTTTATCAGTCCTTAGTTCTGGAGGTGGAAGAGTAAGGATGTTAGAGCTCGGAGGGTCTGTAGTAGTGTACAGGTGCTTCTCGAATTACGATGGGGTTCCACTGAACCCAATATAAGTTGAAAATATTGTAAATAAATAACTACTTGCCACCTGGAGGTGGGAAGTACAGTGCTGTTTAGAGTTACATCTAAACTGTCATATCTGTGCACCTCTGGTAAGTCAGTGATAGTGTGAATGATGGTGAAATTTTTTTTTTTTTTGAGTCATCCTGCCTAGTTGGGAGGCAGGGTGACTCAAAAATGTACAGTACTGAATGGACAATGCTGTTGCACCATCGTAAAGTCAAAATATCATAAGTCGCACCATCGTAAAGTGAGAAGCATCTTTACGATTCCTTCACAGGGACACCCCATCTTGGTGGGTAAACTTAATGCATGTATATTTCTTAGTATCAGTTACTCTTTGACTGGATGTAACAGCTCAAATCATTTATTGTAGTTGCAAAAGACACTTGAGTTTAATGCGGATTAGTTTCTTTCAGGTTTTGGCCTTGCAACACAACGTCCGTGGATTCAAAATGGATCAATCAAAGATAATATTCTTTTTGGCAGCAGTTTAGACATCAGTCGATATAGGTAATTGGATTTGAATGTTTGTACAATTTGCATATTTGTGATAATCGTGGTCAGGTTTACAGTATAAAACATATGAAATGCAGTTTTGAATAAAAGGTAATTTTTTTCAGCAATTTTCATGTCCTGTTACAGCATGGATTTCATTGTAGCATCAATAGTGAACCTTAACTAATGTCAACACCTCTTTTACAGAACTGTGCTGTCAGTCTGTGCTTTGGATGAGGATCTCTGTGGTCTTCCTCTAAGAGACAACACACTCTGTGGTGAAAATGGATCATCATTAAGTGGTGGCCAGAAAGCTCGCGTTGCTTTGGCTCGTGCAGTCTACCAGGTAGGGTGTCCTTTACATTTTGTGTGGTTTATCTGGAGGTGGGAAGTACAGTGCTTGCACACAGGAAGGGTTGGAACCCATGGCAAGTGAATCATAAAACTCCAGGCCAGCGCATAAACCACTACTGGTGTGTTGAGCTGCTGGAGGGACATTGGAATTGTCATATCTGTGTGCTTCTGGCAAGACATTGATTGTATGAGTGATGGTGAAGTGTTTCATTTTCAGATCACCCTTCCTCAGTGGGAGACAGCATGTTTATGGAGCGTGTCTAAACAGTAATCTTTTGTTTTGCTTTGTACAGTTAGTCTTTTATTAATTTAAAGTGTGCACAAGATGCCAGAAATGCTTATTAACGATAACTTTTTTCACTTACAGAACAAAAGCATTTACCTGCTTGATGATGTTTTGTCTGCCGTTGATGGTCCAGTAGCCCAGCACATCATGCGACACTGTATCCATGGGTTCTTGGCAGGCAAAACAGTGTTGCTTGCCACTAACAATGTCAATCTCCTTACCAAGACTGACTGGATCATTAATGTACAGAATGGCACTGTTGAATCTCAAGGTAAGACTATTATTAAATAAAGGTGGGCCCCACTTTTAACCCCACAGTGGGTTAAATTTTGGGCTACTGTAGGGCCCCACTTATACAGCAGGTTAGGTTCTTGGCTATTGCTGTGAAACATGGCCTTTTTAACTTTCAAATGAATGTTTACACTTTCATATATTAAATGAGCAATATAGCTAGGCCTAAAAATTCATAGACAGTGCACATATTACTTACCTTAAAATATTTTTTGTCCTTAGCTTTTACTGAGTAGTGAATATATTTATTGTAGGAAGTCTGAATAAATGAAGAATGTGCATAATTGAAAACTGCTTCATTAGCGAAATGCTGTAAAGCGGGGCCCCTCCTGTACAGGTTTTAAATATGCACAAATTTTAATCATTGCAGTGAAATCAGTATACACCTACCATCCGACTTACGACCGCTCGACTTACGACCATGTTTTTTATGCCAAATTTCTGGGAAATAAACAACTGTTTGTGTTATGCACAGTGCTTATCCTAAACCCTACAGTATAAAATACAGTACTAACAGCATAAAAAGTAAAATAAAAAATGAAATACCAAAATAAAGCAATAAAATAAAATCATTACAAAAGTGTGATGTTGATATTCAGTAGTAAAGTTCGACTTAAGTTCATTTTGACTTACGACCGGTTGGTCGGAACCAAGCTTGGTCGTAAGTCGGATGGTACCTGTACAAGTTTGGAAGTAATAATTTTATAAGTTGGGAAGTAAAAATATCAGTTGGTTCAATTTTTTATCCTAGATAGGAAATGGCAAATGTGTTGAAAATTCTAACCACATTCCTTCAAACCAATTTCAATACTATTATTTGTTGCAGGACCTCCAGCAGTTATTTTACCAAAGCTGCTGTCAGGCGAGGAACTGTCAGATGACTGGTGGGACGAGGCAACAGATCCTAAGTTATCTGGAGCCATCAATCGCAGACTCTCGGTGGATATATTTGCTACAGGATATGGAAGGAGCACCGAATCATCACATAGGGTATGACAAATGATGTGTTCAGCATATTACGTACAATCATGATAGATAAGATAGACTCAAAGTAAAGCCATTGATCTTAGTTTTTCAAAATTGAATATGACAAACATTTTTTAGGTATTTCCTGTCAGTATTGTTTTCTGTTATATTATTTTTTTAAGCTCTAGGGTCACAATTACATTGGTATCAGTCAGCCCTCACAAGGAGAGGTGAGGATGTTACAGTTTAGAGAGTCATCTGAATTGTGATTTTAGCACTACTGGCAAGACAGCAATTGAATAAATAATGGTAGATGTTTCCTTTTTTTTGTCACTCTACCTATCTACCATCAGAAGAACAAACACAAATACAAGTTTATTTCAGCATGGGTGATGATTGTATGTTGAAAGCCCATAGTTATGCAGAACATTTCAGACAAGCTGAAGGGCATACCATTAAGCAAAATAATAATAACAAGTAGCATAATAGCAAGTAGTCACAGATAAATAATAATGCAACTAAGCATACCAGTACTCACAGAACATAAAATAAGCATTGTAATATACTTTACCAGAGTGATACTGAAGAAGAACGTGACTTTGGCGAGCTGAGCGGTGCAGTCTACTGGACTTACATTTCAGCAGTGGGTGGATTACTCGCGGTTGCAATCTTTATTGCCATTATACTAATGCAGACCTCCCGCAACCTCACTGACATGTGGCTGGCACACTGGGTGTCACATGCCACTGCTGGAAATAAGTACGTATGTAGTGTGTGTGTAAGCGGTGTGTATCATAAGATTTTTTATTTCTTTTTTATTAACACATTAGCCATTTCATAAAACTGCAACATCCCCACTCCTCCACCAGAGCGCCAGCACTGTACTTCCCTTCTCCGGGAATCAAATCTGGCCTGCCAGTTTCCCATTTGTCTCTATTTGCTCACAAACACTTGCTGGAAGTCCAAGCCCCTAGCACACTAAACATCCTTCACCCCCTCCCACCAACCTTTCCTAGGCCGACCCCTACCCCACCTCCCCTCCACTAGTCATTCTATTTTGTTCCATCCTCTCTATATGTCCAAACAATCTCAATAACCCCTCCTCAGCCCTTTGGATACGAGTTTTGGTAATCCCACACCTCCTCCTAGTCTTCAAACTACGGATTTTCTGCATTATATTCACACCACACATTGCGCTCAGACATGACATCTCCACTGACTTCAGCCTTCTCCTTGTTGCAACATTCACAACCCATGTCTCATATATAATTATACTCTCATATATTCCTCTCTTTGCTTTCATGGATAAAGTTCTTTGTCTCCACAGACTCCCCAGTGCACCACTCACCTTTTTCCCCCTCATCAGTTCTATGATTCACCTCATCCTTCATTGACCCATCTGCTGACATGTCCACTCCCAAATATCTGAACACATTCACCTCCTCCATATGAATATTTATGAGAATATTTAGATATAAATTAAGAAGACCTACCAGCCAAGTTATTATATGGTCACTGAAATTCAATTTGTATATGGAATAGGTAGTAAGTTACTAAATACTGTAAAGATTTTTATAGGTAGTAGGTTTGTAGACAGCAACCACCCAGGGAAGTACTACTGTCCTGCCAGATGACTGTGAAACAGAAACCTGTAACTGTTTTGCATGATGGTAGGATTGCTGGTTTCTTTTTCTGTCTCATAAACACGCTAGATAACAGGGATATCTTGCTACTCCTACACTTTGGTCACACTTCACAGACACGCACATGCATATATATATAAATACATCTAGGTTTTTCTCCTTTTTCTAAATAGCTCTTGTTCTTCTTTATTTCTTCTATTGTCCATGGGGAAGTGGAAAAGAATCTTTCCTCCGTAAGCCATGCGTGTCGTATGAGGCGACTAAAATGCCGGGAACAATGGGCTAGTAACCCCTTCTCCTGTAGACATTTACTAAAAAAGAGAAGAAGAAAAACTTTATAAAACTGGGATGCTTAAATGTGCGTGGATGTAGTGCGGATGACAAGAAACAGATGATTGCTGATGTTATGAATGAAAAGAAGTTGGATGTCCTGGCCCTAAGCGAAACAAAGCTGAAGGGGGTAAGGGAGTTTCAGTGGGGGGAAATAAATGGGATTAAATCTGGAGTATCTGAGAGAGTTAGAGCAAAGGAAGGGGTAGCAGTAATGTTAAATGATCAGTTATGGAAGGAGAAAAGAGAATATTAATGTGTAAATTCAAGAATTATGTGGATTAAAGTAAAGGTTGGATGCGAAAAGTGGGTCATAATAAGCGTGTATGCACCTGGAGAAGAGAGGAATGTAGAGGAGAGAGAGAGATTTTGGGAGATGTTAAGTGAATGTATAGGAGCCTTTGAACCAAGTGAGAGAGTAATTGTGGTAGGGGACCTGAATGCTAAAGTAGGAGAAACTTTTAGAGAGGGTGTGGTAGGTAAGTTTGGGGTGCCAGGTGTAAATGATAATGGGAGCCCTTTGATTGAACTTTGTATAGAAAGGGGTTTAGTTATAGGTAATACATATTTTAAGAAAAAGAGGATGAATAAGTATACAAGATATGATGTAGGGCGAAATGACAGTAGTTTGTTGGATTATGTATTGGTAGATAAAAGACTGTTGAGTAGACTTCAGGATGTACATGTTTATAGAGGGGCCACAGATATATCAGATCACTTTCTAGTTGTAGCTACACTGAGAGTAAAAGGTAGATGGGATACAAGGAGAATAGAAGCATCAGGGAAGAGAGGGGTGAAGGTTTATAAACTAAAAGAGGAGGCAGTTAGGGTAAGATATAAACAGCTATTGGAGGATAGATGGGCTAATGAGAGCATAGGCAATGGGGTCGAAGAGGTATGGGATAGGTTTAAAAATGCAGTGATAGAGTGTTCAGCAGAAGTTTGTGGTTACAGGAAAGTGGGTGCGGGAGGGAAGAGGAGCGATTGGTGAAATGATGATGTAAAGAGAGTAGTAAGGGAGAAAAAGTTAGCATATGAGAAGTTTTTACAAAGTAGAAGTGATGCAAGGAGGGAAGAGTATATGGAGAAAAAGAGAGAGGTTAAGAGAGTGGTGAAGCAATGTAAAAAGAGAGCAAATGAGAGAGTGGGTGAGATGTTATCAACAAATTTTGTTGAAAATAAGAAAAAGTTTTGGAGTGAGATTAACAAGTTAAGAAAGCCTAGAGAACAAATGGATTTGTCAGTTAAAAATAGGAGAGGAGAGTTATTAAATGGAGAGTTAGAGGTATTGGGAAGATGGAGGGAATATTTTGAGGAATTGTTAAATGTTGATGAAGATAGGGAAGCTGTGATTTCGTGTATAGGACAAGGAGGAATAACATCTTGTAGGAGTGAGGAAGAGCCAGTTGTGAGTGTGGGGAAGTTCGTGAGGCAGTAGGTAAAATGAAAGGGGTAAGGCAGCCAGGATTGATGGGATAAAGATAGAAATGTTAAAAGCAGGTGGGGATATAGTTTTGGAGTGGTTGGTGCAATTATTTAATAAATGTATGGAAGAGGGTAAGGTACCTAGGGATTGGCAGAGAGCATGCATAGTTCCTTTGTATAAAGGCAAAGGGGATAAAAGAGAGTGCAAAAATTATAGGGGGATAAGTCTTCTGAGTATACCTGGTAAAGTGTATGGTAGAGTTATAATTGAAAGAATTAAGAGTAAGACGGAGAATAGGATAGCAGATGAACAAGGAGGCTTTAGGAAAGGTAGGGGGTGTGTGGACCAGGTGTTTACAGTGAAACATATAAGTGAACAGTATTTAGATAAGGCTAAAGAGGTCTTTGTGGCATTTATGGATTTGGAAAAGGCGTATGACAGGGTGGATAGGGGGGCAATGTGGCAGATGTTGCAAGTGTATGGTGTAGGAGGTAGGTTACTGAAAGCAGTGAAGAGTTTTTTACGAGGATAGTGAGGCTCAAGTTAGAGTATGTAGGAAAGAGGGAAATTTTTTCCCAGTAAAAGTAGGCCTTAGACAAGGATGTGTGATGTCACCGTGGTTGTTTAATATATTTATAGATGGGGTTGTAAGAGAAGTAAATGCGAGGGTCTTGGCAAGAGGCGTGGAGTTAAAAGATAAAGAATCACACACAAAGTGGGAGTTGTCACAGCTGCTCTTTGCTGATGACACTGTGCTCTTGGGAGATTCTGAAGAGAAGTTGCAGAGATTGGTGGATGAATTTGGTAGGGTGTGCAAAAGAAGAAAATTAAAGGTGAATACAGGAAAGAGTAAGGTTATGAGGATACAAAAAGATTAGGTGATGAAAGATTGAATATCAGATTGGAGGGAGAGAGTATGGAGGAGGTGAACGTATCAGATATTTGGGAGTGGACGTGTCAGCGGATGGGTCTATGAAAGATGAGGTGAATCATAGAATTGATGAGGGAAAAAGAGTGAGTGGTGCACTTAGGAGTCTGTGGAGACAAAGAACTTTGTCCTTGGAGGCAAAGAGGGGAATGTATGAGAGTATAGTTTTACCAACGCTCTTATATGGGTGTGAAGCGTGGGTGATGAATGTTGCAGCGAGGAGAAGGCTGGAGGCAGTGGAGATGTCATGTCTGAGGGCAATGTGTGGTGTGAATATAATGCAGAGAATTCGTAGTTTGGAAGTTAGGAGGAGGTGCGGGATTACCAAAACTGTTGTCCAGAGGGCTGAGGAAGGGTTGTTGAGGTGGTTCGGACATGTAGAGAAGAATGGAGCGAAACAGAATGACTTCAAGAGTGTATCAGTCTGTAGTGGAAGGAAGGCGGGGTAGGGGTCGCCCTAGGAAAGGTTGGAGGGAGGGGGTAAAGGAGGTTTTGTGTGCGAGGGGCTTGGACTTCCAGCAGGCATGCATGAGCGTGTTTGATAGGAGTGATGGAGACAAATGGTTTTTAATACTTGACATGCTGTTGGAGTGTGAGCAAAGTAACATTTATGAAGGGATTCAGGGAAACCGGCAGGCCGGACTTGAGTCCTGGAGATGGGAAGTACAGTGCCTGCACTCTGAAGGAGGGGTGTTAATGTTGCAGTTTAAAAACTGTAGTGTAAAGCACCCTTCTGGCAAGACAGTGGAGTGAATGATGGTGAAAGTTTTTCTTTTTCGGGCCACCCTGCCTTGGTGGGAATCGGCCAGTGTGATAATAAAAAATATAATAATAATAAAATAATATAATTATAATAATAGATGACTTCAAAAGCCTGTCACTAGATGGCAGTGTTTACCACAACAAAGCAGGAGTGGGTGTGGCTGCCTCCACCTGTTACATAATGACATATTTTATTCATTTTAGAGTATATATCAGGTTTCTGTGTTATTTATATTGTTTATTATGTCATATTAGATGAATTTTGATAGAGAAATAAGTTGTATAGATGATAAGTTGTATAGATTATTGAAGCATTTTCTCGTGCCTGGAATTCCACTGGAATGGATTAATTGCATTTCAGTTATTTTAAATGAGGAAAACTGACTCTGCAAACAAGCAAGTCCAGATGCGAGCAAGGTCACGGGACGGACTAAACTCCTGAGTGGAGGTTCCACTGTATTACCATGGGGTAGTGAAAAAGAATCCTTCCCCTGTAAGCCATGCATTTTATAAAATCTTTCTAAAATGCTGGGAGCAAGGGGCTAGTAACCCTGGCTCAGTGGGAGACAGCTGGTGTGTCAACCCTTTGACTGTCACAACCCCAAATCCTGAGGTGTCCCCTGGAGTCACAAAATATTTGAAAAAAATTATTTTTTTCTTATGAAATGATAGATAATCTTTTCCCAATGGTAATGACATCAGAAGTACGAAATTTGGCGGAAAACTCACGAAATTACGCTCTCGTAAAGTTAGCGACCTCAGCGATATTTTCAAATCGACGATTTCCCCCACTTTGAGCCCTATTTTCAGCTAATTCCATTGTTCCAGCCGATCAAACTCTTTTAGAACTCCATTTGTTCTATTGATTGAGTAGAAGAAACTGCCCATTTACCGATTGCAACTACCCAATAAAGCGGTCAGAAATTGGCAATTTAGCCATTTTCACGCAAATTAAAAAATATGCCAATTTCAAAATAGGTCCAGAATGAACAATGCAGACATTCTTGGCTCTAAAATAACATTTTCTTTGTTCATCAGTCATGTCTCCAGGCCCCTCTGATATTACTTTTGCTTTCTATTTTGAATTTTTATTCAAACAAAAAATAGAAGATTTACTGTTATGCAGACTACTGCAATATTGTAATAATTGTTTGAATAATGTCAACCCATTCATGACTGCATATTAGAATGGCTAGTTGGACATTTATTGGACAATGACGTCATTTGTTTACTTTTGAACATCGGCAAAAATCAAACATTTCCCCTAATTTGAGTTCCACTTCAAGGTCGTTTTTATAGTAAAACCAATCAAAGTCACCTCCATTTCTATAATATGTTCTTCATTCTATCAAATGTGACTATGAAAACAAGAATATAACCATAAAATCTATACGAAAATACACCTCAAATTCGGTGTTTTCTCATTATGCACTGCTTGCTGCAGGATTTTTTTTTATACTGCACACATTGACCATGCAGACCCATTCTCTCATTCTCTACATACAAGTGAATAATAGTGATGGATTCGCATTGTGCCATATACAGTTTATTGTTAATTTGCTACTTTATCATATGTGAATCATTCAGGGTATCACCACTGAGGCAGGGTGGCCCATAAAGAAAAACGAAAGTTTCTCTTTTTAAATTTAGTAATATATACAGGAGAAGAGGTTACTAGCCCCTTGCTCTTGGCATTTTAATAACCTCATATGACACCCATGGTATCACCTTTTCATTTTCGTAAATTTTTTAAATTTTATAAATTCATAGGGAAGTGCTAAACCTGTAAGGGTTATAGTGTGCATAGGGCATGCTTCAGGTTATGTCTGAGGAGGGGTTGCACAAGTTTAACATTGCTATTTCTTTGCAGCTCTGGTTTGTCTTTGTTCGCTGATGGTAGTATAACTTCATGGACAGATACAGGAACTAAACCTCTTCCCTCAAAATTAGCCGGGTCGATTACGGATAATATACACTGGTTTACTTCCATCAACCCCATGAATCAGGTATTGATCATGACATTTGCAATTACAGACAAGATTATTAAATGAGTGAAATTTCAGTTTGTGTTTGGAACAATTCACAACAAAATTACTAACTTGACAAATAATTTTTTCTACTAAAATTGATATATTTTTCTCTGAGAAGCATGAATTAGGAGTAAAAGTGCTTATCATGTACATTTTAATAACTTTTAAATATATAACTTTAAAAATTTTTATAAAAGGACAAGAGAATACTAGTTTGACCATTTTCAAAAATTTTACCATTGATTACTTGTGAGTTTGTATAATGACTTGGGCCCCTCAAGTTAAAGTCTATATCACAAACTTAGCAACACATTTGTGTTCCACACTGCATATTCATTTTGCTCCTTTGAACTGATAAGAATATGCTTGCCAACAGTTTCTGGCCGCACAAGGATTATCCAAGTCTGATCCTTCCTCGAATGTAGATCCCAGCACCAAGTTCTACCTTACCGTTTATGGTATTTTGGCGGCTTCCAACTCTATCTTTACATTGATGAGAGCTTTCCTCTTTGCCTATGGGGGTATCTGCGCTGCTAAATTCCTCCACAGACAACTTCTGGATGCTGTTCTTTATGTAAGTGTTTGATGTGTTTATGTGATGAAACTATCTTATGGTGGTTATAGTTGAGGATTTCAAATTTAAAATTATGGTATGTAATATTAATGCTTAACCCTTTCAGGGTCCGTGCCGTAGATCTACGGCTTTACGTTCAGGGTGCAAACCGTAGATCTACGCCGTGAGCTCAGCTCACTCTCATAAGCTGTGAGCAGTAAATTTTGGCCTTGATATGAGAGAATACATCCATGTGGTATGTGTAAACATTAAAATGGTATAAAATACCGACAGGTTGTTAGGTAAGACACATATGCAACAGTTAGGTATCTTTATTTCGAATCGTTTCGCCTACACAGTAGGCTTCTTTAGTCGAGTACAGAAAAGTTGATAGAAGCAGAAGATACTTGAAGACGATGTAATCAGTCCATCACTCTTGAAGTTTTGAGGTGGTCAGTCCCTCAGTCTGGTGAAGAGTATTGTTCCATAGTCTGAAACAATATGGAGTTGAAGTGACAGGATGGAGCCTATATACCGCCAGGAGGTGAGATGTAGGCCACTAGTAGAGGTAAGAATGTTGTCGTTGGAAGGTCAGGTCCCTCTCAAATCCAGCCATTCTCACTGAGGGACTGACCACCTCAAAACTTCAAGGGTGATGGACTGATTACATCGTCTTCAAGTATCTTCTGCTTCTATCAACTTTTCTGTACTCGACTGAAGAAGCCTACTGTGTAGGCGAAACGTTTCGAAATAAAGATACCTAACTGTTGCATATGTGTCTTACCTAACATGTGGTATGTGTGCACCACATAAAACAAATCCTGGAGCACACAGTGCATAATGAGAGAAAATAAACTGAGACAGTAATTTTCGATTAAAACATCAACTTTACAGTGTTTTTTCGTATGTTTTTTATAGTTGTATTTGCAATTTCTTGGTCTCATTTGATAGAATGGAAGATATGTTACAGAAACAGAGATGATTTTGATTGGTTTTAGTACTGGAAATGGCTTGAAACTGAACTCAAACTAGCAGAAATGTGAAATTTTTGCCAGTGTTCAAGAGTAAACAAATGACTTCACACGTCTAATACATGACAGTTGATGGGTCTAATATATGTTCACAAATGTGGTGATATTATTTATACAATTATTACAATATTACATAACAGTAAATATTCTATTTTTTGGTTTGAATAAAAATTCATTATGTGATTAAAAAATCAAAATGGAATTTATTTGTAAAGCCTGAAAACATAACTAATGAACAGAGGAAATGTTAGTTTAGTGCCAGGAATACCTGCATTGTTTATTCTGAACCCTATTTTGAAATTGGAATATTTTGAACTTTGCATTAAATTGGCCAAATTACAAATTTCCGGTCACTTTATTTTGTTGTTGAAACAGTTGACTTGGTGATTTCTTGTGCTCAATCGATAGAATAGAAGTAATACTAATGAAATAGCTAAGAATTTGGTTGACTGGAATAATGTAATTGGCCTAAAATGAGAGTCAAAGTCGGCAAAATTGCCGATGCGTAAATATTGCCGACACATCAAAATTCGCAAGAGCATAATTTCGTCAGTTTTCCATCAAATTTCATACTTTTTCTTTTATTACCTTCAGAAAAAGATTCTCTACCATTTCATAAGAAAAAATAACAAAATTATTTTTTGAAAATTCTTGGACCCTGGTGCACACTTTGAAATTTGGCCTCTGGACCCTGAAAGGGTTAATGATGGTGGCCTGAAGCAAGCCTTCGTTACGAAGGACTTAGGAGTATGTCTGTAGATTGTATGTTATTTAAACACTTTGGTTACTGAATCAGCAGTTTTAGCTGCGATAGGTACTGACTTGCTTCATGTGTAATGGTCTATGATCACACACACACTAATTGATCAACCAGACTGTTGTTACTTGCAGGGCTACAGAGCTGTCACAGCTTGGCACTTTAAGCATCTCCTGCAAGGACTTGCATAATTTCTTTTTCAAAAAATATTCTAGAGATATTTTTTATCTTTATAAATAGAAGTTCAGTAAGGTATTTCAGTGTGCACATTAGGGATCTGACTCTCATCTCTTCCATGGAGAACAAGTGGTTTGTGGTGGTCCTAGTCATTATGATAATTGAATTCTAAATGTTAGTAAGATAATTGAAGTTTCTAACATTGAGTTTTAAATTTCTTTTCATTTTTCTACAGGCCAAGATTTCATTCTTCGATAACAACCCAATGGGTCGCATCCTCAACCGATTTTCGTCTGATCTCTACACAGTAGATGACTCTCTACCCTTCCAGATGAACATATTCTTTTCCCAGGTTTTTGGATTAATAGGTAAACATGAATATTGCTTATTGATATTAAGGATTTATATTTAAGTAATTACTGTATTACTCTTTCTTTATTGCAGATTAGAAAATGTGGGTATTATATCATGTTAGTGTTGCATATAGAAAAATAAAGAAGACGACATTGCGTGAGGGGTGTTAGATAGGTGTAAGTGGAAACAAATGGTTTTTATGGCTTGATGTGCTGTTGGAGTGTGAGTGAAGTAACATTTATGAAGGGATTCAGGGAAACCAGAGGGGTGGAGGTATGTTGCAGTTTTTGAACTGCAGTGTAGGTACACCTCTGGCAAGATGGTGTTGGAGTGAGTGATGATGAAAGTGTTTCTTCTTTTTCGAGTCACCCTGCCTCAGTGGGAAGTGGCTTATATGTTAACAATAATATAAAACATTGCTCTAGTTGATAATTAGAAAATTAGCATGATGTTGACAATTTAATTTTTTCTAATACAGTGGACCCTCCCTTTTCATCGATCTCCGTTACCGCCGATTTCCTTTTTCGCCGACTTTTTTCATCAAAATATTGGTTCCGTTTTCATTGATGGTAGGGAACTTGTCCAGTGCCCAGAGCACACACAAAGCCGCCTCCCAGACATATTCTCAGGCAGTGTCGTGTTGTTTCTCAGTGAGTGAACATATCCTGCGAAATCATACAAAACATTTCGTAATAATCCATTGTTTTTGACACTTGTTTATTGTGTGTGACTGCTAAATAAGTCACCATGGGCCCAAGGAAAGCTTCTAGTGTCGCCCTTTGGTAAAGAATGTGAGAAAGACGATATAATTCAAGAAAAGTTCAAAAGTGGTGGTGGTAGAGGGTGGTAGTGGTTGTGATGGCAGTAGAGCGTGGTTGTGATGGTGGTAGAGGGTGGTAGTGATGGTGGTAGAGGTGGTAGTGAGCGGTAGAGCGTGGTTGTGGTTGTGATGGTGGTAGAGGGTGGTAGTGATGGTGGTAGAGGGAGGTAGTGGTTGTGATGGTGGTAGAGGGTGGTAGTGTGGTGGTTGAGAGTGGTAGGGGTTGTGATGGTGGAAGAGGGTGATAGTGGTTGTGATGGTGGTAGAGAGTGGAAGTAATGGAGATATGTGCAATGTGGAATACGATGGAAAGGTTTGTGGCATTAAAAAACAAAGAAGGGAAGTGACCTCAGATAAGGACTTGGTACCTAGAGTCCTTATGGAGGGGGATTCTCCTTCAAAAGAATAACCTCCCATCCCTCTCCCCTCCTCCCTGTCTTCCATCCACCAACAACAGTCTTCATATTGAATGTTCATTCTTTTGTGCATGTAAATCTATCTTTAAGCTAAAAAAAATTTTTTTTGTTAATACTTTTGGGTGTTTGGAACGAATTAATTGGATTTACATTATATCTTATGGGGAAAATGGTCTCCATTTTCGTCGATCTCTTGGGAACGGATTAAACACGAAAACTGAGGGTCCACATTATGTATAAGAGATGAATCAGTTAATTGATAACTATAAATTGTTGAAACTGAGCTTATAGATTGTAAAATTTATTGGAATAATTTAGTAATAAGGATTTTATTTAAATAATTCAAGCTGCATTTTTAGTTCCAGAATATAATTTCATATTTTTTATCTGCATAGGTTCCGTAGTGGTGACTATATATGGTATGCCATGGATTACATTGTTGTACATTCCACTGGCCTTTCTGTATTACACCATCCAAAACTATTACCGTCATACTTCTCGGGATCTGAAGAGGCTTCATGCCGTTTCCCTCTCACCCTTGTATGCACACTTCACTGAAACACTGCAGGGTCTTCCTGTAATTCGTGCCATGAGAGCTGTGCATAGGCAAGTATTGTATACATTATTATTATTATTATTATTATTATTATTATAATTAATATTATAATTATTATTATTATAATTATTATTATTATAATTATTATTATTATTATTATTATTATTATTATTATTTCAGAGGGCTGAGGGAGGGTTGTTAAGGTGGGTTGATCATTTAGAAAGGATGGAACAAGAGGGTGTATAAATCTGGGGTTCAGTGAAGGAGGGGTAGGGGTCTTTTCACTAGGGCAGATACGTGGTTTTTATAGCTTGACATGCTGTTAGTGTGGGAGCAAGGTAAAATTTATGAAGTACAGTGTACAGTGTCTTCACTGAAGGAGGGATGGGAATGTCTGTGCACTTATGACAAGACTGTTAAAAAAATTGTGGGAAACAATGAACCCATATTTGTATATGTGAAAATCCTAGGCTTACAAGGACTATCCTTTATACTTTTCGTACTTTGCATATATTCTCAGACTACGTAGATTGCCCTAATGAGCTTGATGTTGTATGCAGATTCAGCGTAAGAGCAGATAATCTTCTGGAGGTGAGCCAGCGTGCGCAGTTTGATATCCAGATTGCCTCACAGTGGCTGAACTTAAGACTACAGCTGATTGGACTCTCCATGTTGGCAGGGGTGTCAGTTCTTGCCCTCCTTCAGCACAACTTTGGAGTTGTTGATGCAAGTGTGTAATATTCATGCTTATACTCTTTGTTCATTCATGCATGTACAAACATAGGCTACTCATTACATTATTAGTTTGATCATGTAGAAAGAAGTGTGTGGGTTGCTTTAACCCTTAAACTGTCCAAACGTAGATCTACGTTTTTTCAACATTTGAAAATATGTAAAAAAAGTAGATCTATTTTTTTTACATTTGAAAAAGTGTAAAAAAAACTTTGATCTACTTTTTTTTTTTGGTTGTATTTGAAAATATATTTTGGAGCACTACACATGTGAACGTAGATCTGCTTGGACAGTTTAACCCTTTCAGGGTCCAAGGCCAAAATCTGAAGTGGTGCCCCAGTGTCCAAGAATTTTCAAAAAAATTTTTTTTATTTTTTTCTTATGAAATGGTAGAAAATCTTTTTGTGAATGTAATAAAACAAAAAGTACGAAATTTGATGGGAAATTGACGAAATTATGCTCTCGTGAATTTTGATGTGTCAGCGATATTTACGAATCAGCGATTTTGCCGACTTTGACTCCCATTTTAGGCCAATTACATTATTCCAGTCGACCAAATTCTTAGCTATTTCACTAGGATTACTTCTATTCTATCGATTGAGCACAAGAAATCGCCAAGTCAACTGTTTCAACTACAAAATAAAGTGACCGGAAATTGGTAATTTGGCCAATTTAACACAAAGTTCAAAATATTCCAATTTCAAAATAGGATCCAGAATAAACAATGTAGGTATTCCTGGCACTAAACTAACATTTCCTCTGTTCATTAGTTACGTTTTGAGGCTTTACAAATAAATTCCATTTTGATTTTTTATTCACATAATGAATTTTTATTCACACCAAAAAATAGAAGATTTACTGTTATGCAATACTGTAATAATTGTATAAATATCATCACCACATTTATGAATGTATATTAGACCCCACCAGCTGGCGTGTATTAGACGTGTGAGGTCGTTTGTTTACTCTTGAACATCGGCAAAAATTTAACATTTCCGCCACTTTGAGCTCAGTTTCAAGCCATTTCCAGTGCTAAAACCAATCAAAATTATCTTTATTTCTGTAATATGTCTTCTATTCTATCAAATGAGACCAAGAAATCACAAATACAACTATAAAAAACATACGAAAAAACACTGCAAAGTCGCTGTTTTAATCGAAAATCACGGTCTCAGTTTTTTTCCTCTCATTATACACAGTGTGCTGCAGGATTTGTTTTATGTGGTGCACACATACCACATAGATGTATTCTCTCATATCTAGGCCCAAATTTACCACTCACAGTTTATCAGAGTGAGCTGAGCTCATGACGTAGATCTACGGTTTGGACACTGAACGTAAAGCCGTCGATCTACGGGACGGACCCTGAAAGGGTTAAGGGTTAAGGAACAATTGTAAGGAGATGTTAGAGATATCCAGAGAGGGCGGTACGGACGTATGGACATACAGTGGACCATCCCTTTTCATCTATCTCCGTTATCGCCAATTTCTGTTTTCGCCGAATTTTTTCGTCAAAATATTGGTTCTATTTTCGTCAATGGTACGGAGCCTATCCATTGCCCAGCGTGCACACAAAGCCGCCTCCCACACACATTCTCAGGCTGTGTCGCGTTGTTTCTCATTGAGTAAACACATCCTGCGAGATCACACGAAACATTTCATAATATGTAATCCATTATTTTTGGCACTTGTTTATTGTGTGTGACTGCTGAATGAGCCATCATGGTCCCAAAGAAAGTTCCTAGTGCCAGTCCTTTTGTAAAGAGAGTGAGAAACACCGTAGAAATGAAATAAGAAATCGTTCAAAAATATGATATTATTGCCGACCTCGGCAGGATGTACAGGAAGGCGCCATCAACCATCAGTTCCATTGTGGTGAAGAGAAAAGAAATCATGGAAGCTGATGCTGCGAAAGGGGTTAATGCGATAACGAAACAGAGATTCCAAACAGTTGAAGATGTGGAGAAATTGTTGTTTGTGTGGATCAAAGAGAAACAGTTAGCAGGAGATGGTGTTGTGCAGTTGATAATTTGTGAAAAGGCCTGGCAGTTGCATGACGATCTCATATAGAAACTGCCTGGAACGAGTGCTGATATGAATTTAAGGCCAGCAAAGGCTGGTTCGAAAAATTCAAGAAACGAAGTGGCATACACAGTGTTATAAGGCATCGTAAGGGTGCCGGTTCAAACAAACTTGCAGCTGAAAAATTGGTGTGGGAATTCAAAGACTATGTAGAGACTGAAACAATTCCAACCCCAACAAGTATTCAATTGTGATGAAACAGGCTTGTTTTGGAAGAAAATGCCAAAGAGGACCTACATCACGCAGGAGGAAAAGGCGCTCCCAGGACACAAGCCTATGAAAGACAGGCTAACTCTCATGTTGTGTGGTAATGCTAGTGGGGATTTTAGAGCGTTCAAGAAAAACAGTGTTGTCAAGAGTAAATTGTGTGTAATATGGAAGGCTAACAGTAGGGCATGTGTCACGAGGGAAATTTTCCTGGAATGGTTCAATGAAGTGTTTGGCCCGAGTGTGAAGAAATACCCCCTGGATAATAAATTGCCACTTCAGGAGGAAATCAACGAAAACAGAACCAATATTTTGATGAAAAAACTCAGTGAAAATGGAAATCGGCTAATAATTACATGTACATTAGCATGTAATTAACAATTATATCTGTTTCAGGCCTGGTTGGTTTGGTGATATCTTATGCCCTGACGGTGAGCAGCTTTCTTAATAACGTTGTCGGGTCACTCACTGAAACAGAACGAGAACTGGTTAGTGTAGAGCGAGTCCACCAATATCTGAAGGGTACGGAACCAGAGCGACGGGAAGGCACCATCCTTCCACCACTTGGTTGGCCGAGTCATGGCTTGATCAGGTTCCACAACGTCTACTTGAGATATCAGTTAGTATAGTATCTTCATTGACGTACATGATAAAAAACGAGAAGGGAAGAAAATAAAAAATAAAAAAAAATAATAATTTTAAAATTTTCATAATGTTATAAAATATGATGAAATGAAGTGAAAATAAACACATTTTACTTTTTTAAACGTTCATAATTGTTATAAAATTAAGAGACTTTTATTTCATGCATATTCAAAAGCTTCTGGTTCAAGTTTCATTATTTGATTATTAAATGTAATTATTAAATATAATTATTATTTTATGGTAACAAAACTCCATACTGCTGTTGTGAATAGAAAATTAAACCCAAATTTAAAGAAACTTTCTCCTTTCAGGTCCCATAACCCATATGCACTCAAAAAAGTGAACTTTGAAATTGGTACATCAGAGAAGGTTGGAATAATAGGTCGAACTGGAGCTGGGAAGAGCTCCATATTTGTGGCATTATTCCGTTTGGTGGAGCTGAGCCGGGGACACATCTTCGTGGATAATGTGGACATCTCAAAATTGAGCCTTAAAAAATTAAGGTATTACAACTTGTCCTTGGAGGCAAAGAGGGGAATGTATGAGAGTATAGTTTTACCAACGCTCTTATATGGGTGTGAAGCATGGGTGATGAATGTTGCAGCGAGGAGAAGGCTGGAGGCAGTGGAGATGTCATGTCTGAGGGCAATGTGTGGTGTGAATATAATGCAGAGAATTCGTAGTTTGGAAGTTAGGAGGAGGTGCGGGATTACCAAAACTGTTGTCCAGAGGGCTGAGGAAGGGTTGTTGAGGTGGTTCGGACATGTAGAGAGAATGGAGCGAAACAGAATGACTTCAAGAGTGTATCAGTCTGTAGTGGAAGGAAGGCGGGGTAGGGTCGGCCTAGGAAAGGTTGGAGAGAGGGGGTAAAGGAGGTTTTGTGTGCGAGGGGCTTGGACTTCCAGCAGGTATGCATGAGCGTGTTTGATAGGAGTGAATGGAGACAAATGGTTTTTAATACTTGACGTGCTGTTGGAGTGTGAGCAAAGTAACATTTATGAAGGGGTTCAGGGAAACCGGCAGGCCGGACTTGAGTCCTGGAGATGGGAAGTACAGTGCCTGCACTCTGAAGGAGGGGTGTTAATGTTACAGTTTAAAAACTGTAGTGTAAAGCACCCTTCTGGCAAGACAGTGATGGAGTGAATGATGGTGAAAGTTTTTCTTTTTCGGGCCACCCTGCCTTGGTGGGAATCGGCCAGTGTGATAATAATAAAAAAAAAAACTTGTTTTATGTATCTGATATAATATCATGAATAATATTCAGTAGTTACTTAAGCAGGTTGTAGAAACTAATACACAGGTTCATCATCACTTGGTTATGCAGTCATAAAGAATGTGAGAAAGACAATATAATTCAAGAAAAGTTTGTAGAAAAATACGAAAGTGGTGGTGGTAGAGGGTGGTAGTGATGGTGGTAGAGGGTGGTAGTGATGGTGGTAGAGGGTGGTAGTGATGGTGGTAGAGGGTGGTAGTGATGGTGGTAGAGGGTGGTAGTGATGGTGGCAGAGGGTGGTAGTGATGGTGGTAGAGAGTGGTAGTGATGGTGGTAGAGGGTGGTAGTGATGGTGGTAGAGGGTGGTAGTGATGGTGGTAGTGATGGTGGTAGAGGGTGGTAGTGATGGTGGTAGAGAGTGGTAGTGATGGTGGTAGAGGGTGGTAGTGATGGTGGTAGAGGGTGGTAGTGATGGTGGTAGTGATGGTGGTAGAGGGTGGTAGTGATGGTGGTAGAGGGTGGTAGTGATGGTGGTAGAGGGTGGTAGTGATGGTGGTAGAGGGTGGTAGTGATGGTGGTAGAGGGTTTCCCACCAAGGTAGGGTGGCCCAAAAAAGAAAAGCTTTCATCATCATTCACTCCATCACTGTCTTGCCAGAGGCATGCTAACACTACAGATATAAAACTAACATTAACACCCCTCCTTCAGAGTGCAGACACTGTACTTCCCATCTCCATGATTCAAGTCCGGCCTGCCGGTTTCCCTGAATATTAGTAATTAATATTAATAGTAAATCTCCATGGGAAAGTGTAACAGAATTCTTCTTCTAAGAGGTGACTAAAATGCTGGGAGAAAGGGACTAGTAACCCTGTCTCCTGTATGAATTATTAAATTTAGTTTTTCTATTTAGGTCACCTGCCTTGGTGGGATACAGCCAGTTCATTAAAAAAAAAGTTGTATTAATGAGCACATGTGCATTTAACATTATATGAAGTCAGTATTGTCCTGTTGCTGTGATTTTTTTGTTGTACTAATACTTTTTGTACTAATGTCTCTCAGATCCATCATGGCCATAGTAACCCAAGACTCATTCCTGTTTAGCGGAACCGTCCGAGAGAATTTAGATCCCTGTGGGGATTCCTTAGATACTCAGATATGGCATGCCATACAGTTGTGTCATCTAACAACGCTGGTGCAAAACATGGGTGGATTAGAGGCTCGCATAGAAGAAGCAGGACGAGCAATGTCATCAGGGGAGAGACAGCTGTTCTGCCTGGCCCGGGCGCTACTCTGCCGCACCAAGGTACTACCACGGAATGACCACTGTTTGTGAACTTTACTTCAATTTGTCGTATATTTAACTTGTTATTTTTTGACGCTGTATTTGGAAGAAAGGGGTAAAAGAGATTTTAGGGGCTTGAGCATCCAGCAGGTTTGTGAGAGTATCTTAGGAGTGAATGTAGACAAGTGGTTTTAAATGGACAAGCTGTTCAAGCATGAGCAAGGTAACTTCAGTGAAACTGGTTAATCAGACTTGAAGGTGGGGTAGGTACATCAGCATACTTCTGAAAAGACAGCAGTAGAGTGAATGATGGTTAATATATTTTCTGTGGATTACTGTGCAGTGGTGAGAGATACCCGCGGACTTAAAAAAAATATGGGTTGAAACAAGCTTAGAGTGTAGGGCCTTGAACATCCATTTAGCATAGAAGAGTATTAGATCAGGCTGAGTTGAGATGAGTGGTCTTTTTTTATTTGATATGCTGCTAAGTGTGTTACCTAATTAATTTGGTGCTTTGGCTCCAATTCCTTGGAGCCAAGGGCATCAACCTTGAATGGTTGGGTGGAGATGTGGTGGCTTAGTGGATGAAAATCAGATGTCTGTACACTTCTAGAATGTTAAGTAGAGAGCAGTATTTTTCAATCACTTGGGTATTTATTAATTGAAATTTTCATCTATCTACTCTGCACAGATTGTTTGTATAGATGAAGGGACCTCACAGCTGGACAATGAAACTGATGAGCAGATTCAACAAACTATCCGTAGTGCCTTCCGTAACAAGACAGTTTTGATCATTGCTCATCGTGTACACACTGTCCGTGACTGTGATACGTGAGTTCAGCCAATTTTTTTTTTTTTAACAAGTCGGCCATCTCCCACCGAGGCAGGGTGACCCAAAAAGAAAGAAAATCCCCAAAAAGAAAATACTTTCATCATCATTCAACACTTTCACCTCACTCACACATAATCACTGTTTTTGCAGAGGTGCTCAGAACACAACAGTTTAGAAGCATATACGTATAAAGAGACAACATATCCCTCCAAACTGCTAATATCCCGAAACCCCTCCTTTAGAGTGCAGGCATTGTACTTCCCATTTCCAGGACTCAAGTCCGGCTATATAAAATAACTGGTTTCCTTGAATCCCTTCACTAAATATTACCCTGCTCACACTCCAACAGATCGTCAGGTCCCAAATACCATTCGTCTCCATTCACTCCTATCGAACACGCTCATGCACGCCTGCTGGAAGTCCAAGCCCCTCGCCCACAAAACCTCCCTTACCAGTTCCTTCCAACCTTTTTTGAGGACGACCCCTACCCCGCCTTCCTTCCCCTACAGATTTAAATGCTCTCCATGTCATTCTACTTTGATCCATTCTCTCTAAATGACCAAACCACCTCAACAACCCCTCTTCAGCCCTCTGACTAATGATTTTATTAACTTCACACCTTCTCCTAATTGCCACACTCCGAATTTTCTGCATAATATTTACACCACACATTGCCCTTAGACAGGACATCTCCACTGCCTCCAACCGTCTCCTCGCTGCTGCATTTACCACCCAAGCTTCACACCCATATAAGAGTGTTGGTACTACTATACTTTCATACATTCCCTTCTTTGCCTCCATAGATAACATTTTTTGTCTCCACATATATCTCAACACACCACTCGCCTTTTTTCCCTCATCAATTCTATGATTAACCTCATTCTTCATAAATCCATCCGCTGACACGTCAACTCCCAAATATCTGAAAGCATTCACTTCTTCCATACTCCTCCCCAATTTGATATCCAATTTTTCTTTATCTAAATCATTTGATACCCTCATCACCTTACTCTTTTCTATGTTCACTTTCAACTTTCTACCTTTACACACACTCCCAAACTCATCCAATAACCTTAGTAATTTTTCTTTAGAATCTCCCATAAGCACAGTATCATCAACAAAAAGCAACTGTGTCAATTCCCATTTTGTATTTGATTCCCCATAATTTAATCCCACCCCTCTCCCGAACACCCTAGCATTTACTTCTTTAACAACCCCATCTATAAATATATTAAACAACCATGGTGACATTACACATCCCTGTCTAAGACCTACTTTTACTGGGAAGTATTCTCCCTCTCTTCTACACACCCTAACTGAGCCTCACTATCCTCATAAAACCTCTTTACAGCATTTAGTAACTTACTACCTATTCCATATGTACTTGCAACATCTACCACATTGCTCCCCTATCCACTCTATCATATGCCTTTTCTAAATCAATAAATGCAATAAAAACTTCCCTACCTTTATCTAAATACTGTTCACATATATACTTCAATGTAAACACTTGATCTACACATCCCCTACCCACTTTAAAACCTCCTTGCTCATCCGCAATCCTACATTCTATCTTACCTCTAATTCTTTCAATTATAACCCTACCATACAATTTTCCTGGTATACTTGGAAAACTTATTCCTCTATAATTTTTACAATCTCTTTTGTCCCCCTTTCCTTTATATAAAGGGACTATACATGCTCTCTGCCAATCCCTAGGTACCTTCCTCTCTTTCATACATTTATTAAAAAAAAATACCAACCACTCCAACACTATATCCCCCCTGCTTTTAACATTTCTGTCAACATTTCAGCCAATTGTAGTACTATATTTTAATAATGATTATCATTAACTTTTTGATTGAATTCAGTAGAAACACTGAGAAATTTGTGTTCTAGAATAACATCCAAAACATCCTTGTATTTACTTCCCTTTATTCTGGTAGATCTCATGTAAACTCTTCTAATAACTTTCCACCCACTTAATTTCTGAAAAATCTAACGAGTTTACTAGATTGATTTTGTTATGCAGTTATGTGCTTTCAAACCCATGTATACCTTATATACATTAAGTATACAGTAGGGCCCCTATATCCACGGTTTACTTTGGCCCAAGATAACCCTTAATTTTGCTTAATAATGGCCTCAAAGTGCAAAGTAAGAGAAGCTGACAGTTCTTCAAAGTCTAAGAGAAGCTATGAAATGTTTATCATGAGTGAAAAGGTGTTAATTGTTGACATTGTGCATAATTCATCAATTTTAATTTATCATAGGTATGTAAAGGAAAAATAACTTGTATATAGGGTTCACTACTATCTGTGGTTTCAGTTACCCACACATCCCCTGCGGATACGGGGGAACTTTGTACTGCAGGATAAAAATCGAGTCAGGTTTCAAAAATCTCCAAGTGAGCCCATCTAGCAGGGAAATTTAAAAACTAGGAATTTTTATAATCAATTATGAAAGGCATCATAAACCATTTGCACAATGGTCATGCTAAATGATCATTTACCCTATTTTGGACATGTTAAAAATTCTACATGTAATGATGTTCACTTTTTTAATATATATTTTTTTTTTATTACAGAATTTTAGTGATGAGTGATGGAGAGATAGTGGAATGTGGACCCCCAACAGAACTGCTGTCTGATAGAAGCTCGATGTTCTACTCAATCGTTCAGTCACAGTGAGACCTGCTAACTGAAAAATTAAATAAAATTTGTGCTTAAGTATAAGAGCAGACAAAATTTTAATAAATTTTGTATGAGGATACATATGTTACATTATCCTTTACAAAATTCATTGCAAAATAGGAGTGCCAAACCATCCTGAACACAAGCACGTGGTATGGGACTTTTGATGGTTTGGCAGTCAGATGTCTGAAGCAAGTCATTTACTGTGTGAAATGTAAGTGACATCAATCTCTTCACCTTGTGCTCAAGTGGGAATAATGAAAAACAAAATTATAAATAAAATTCAGAATTACAGTATATTCGTATGTAAAATAACATTGTATGGTAATTTACAGCCGACTTTTAATAAGTTTTCATTCTTTGAATGAACAACTTTGATCAGTAGGCTCTGCAATATTGAATATTTCTTGAGCCTCTGAATTCTTTTATGTTATTTTCAGTAAATATTGTTTTATGTTGCTATTAACAATTGTGACATTAATTACTCTAGTGTATTTATTGATGATAATTGCTTTTATTTATGGTTTATTATTTTCTGTTGATAGTTGCTTGTACTGTTTAATATTTCATGAGGACCCAGATATATTTGTTTAGATGAGTAAAGGTAACAACTAGACATATGGAAATCTCACACTGTTGTGAACATGGTGTTGTGTGGATACACTGCCACTGAACCACCAGCTGTTCAAACATTACCCTTATGGGTTTAGTGCTTGGTTATAATTATATATGGTGTCCAAACGTTCTGAATGCAGACTAATAAAAGATCTGGCTTGGATTTTTGGTGGTACAGTGGTAGCATCTCTGCCTCCCATGTGAGCACAGTACGTTACTTACCGTTCAGTTGCACATTCAGATTAAATTGAAGTGAATACTGCCAATGTATACACGCCAGGTCTTGAGTTACTCAATGATACACGATCAGGCCAAAATTGTGGGCCTCATTAATAAAAGTGCATAAAGTTAGCCATTGCCCTTGAGCAAGCTAATTTTGGGGGGGTTTTCTACAAAAATATGTAAGCTATTATTTATTTTATTTATAGATATGAGTAAATCATATTTTTTTTATATTATCTATAGCATAGTGAAATATGCAAAACAGGTTCAGCTGCTTTGACTAAAAACCCATGACATTTCTAAGTTTGGGAGCAAGGGGCTAGTAACTCCTCCTGTATAAAGAAAAACTTTCGTTTTTCTTTTTAAATTTAAAAAGAATTTAGTGGGATACAGCTGTATAGCCCTTGTGGCTTAGCGCTTCTTTTTGATAATAATAATATTATTATTATTATATCAAAAAGAAGCGCTAAGCCACAAGGGCTATACAGCGCGATAATAATAATAATAGTGGGATACAGCTGGTTTATTAGAAAAAAATCTAAGTTTATCACCTTGTGACAAACTCATCATTATTATTATTATATTCATAACCATGTTGATGAATCTGCATCATTGGCAATACTGTAGCAATGTAAAAGAATTAAGCATTTTGAGAATTTTTTTCCCATTCCACCAAGCATTTGTGCCATGTGAAACTGTGTGTAACTATATCATAGCATATGCTACTCACATAAATTAAAAGTTTCACTGTTACTCAGTATTTATTTCATAACTGTATTAAGTAATAATTGCCTTGACCTGCCAGTGATAGTGTTACACTATATTATGCTTGTATTCTGTATAAAATACTGCATATATTAAATAATTTAAATTTATCCCAGAGTAAATGCGAGGAGCATTTGTGGATTTGGAAAATCTATTTAAGTGGATCAGGGACCAATGTGGCAGTGGTTGTATATATCTATATATATATATTATAGATTAGGTTATAAGTTGTTGAAAGCTGTAAATTTTTTTATTAAAGATTTAAAGTTTAATTTTTTTTTAAGGGAGGTTAACACTATATGACCCCTAAATACCAATGACTACTTGACTTCACTGATTGCTGGCCTCAAGGTGATCATAATCTTATCTGTAAATTGTATTAACTACACCACCACTTAAGCAAGTGTAGTGGTTCCCAACTAACATTTTTTGCACGACTCTTATTTTATTTAACATGTCAAAATAAAATTTAATTGTGGGCAGTGGCAGCACTGCAGCACCCCATATTTTAACGCAATATTATCAATAATATTGAATATAATGAGTCTTTTTCTCTTTAATTGTTTCTTTATACTTTTACATTATATAATCCTTAAGCTTAAAGTCAGTAGTTTCACTCTAAGTAAAGAAAAAATGTACAAACATCTTGTTCATGGAAACTGTGTGCCAGGGCCTCTTTTTTTTTTGGTTTGTGCATGAAAATGTCCAAGATAAAATGCTGCATCCTAGGTAGAGAGAGCACTGTCGACTGATGCAGTGGACTTTTGTGCAAGTGTAGCATTAGTAGTGTTATCCTTTTAACTCAGCGACGTGTGTTTGTGCTTAAAACCATTACCATATTCCTTAAATGCAAGCACGAGAAGAAGAATGGATTTCGTTGTTTAAATGAATGGTAAAGCTTGAACTAGCATTGCCCAAAAAACCTCAGGCCCCCATCTAACTTCAGCTCACAAAACCTTCAGCCCCACAGCAACCTTCAGGCCCACAGCAACCTTCAGGCCCACAGCAACCTTCAGCCCACAGCAACCTTCAGGCTCAGAGCAGCCTTCAGGACCACAGCAGCCTGCAGGCCCACAGCAGCCTTCAGGGCCAGAACAACCTTCAGGCCCACAGCAACCCTCAGGCTCACAGCAACCTTCAGGCCCACAGCAGCCTGCAGGCCCACAGAAACCTGTAAGCCCACATAAACCTGCAGGCCCACAGTAACCTGCAGGCCCACAGCAGGCTTCAAGCCCAGAGGAGCCTTCAGGCCCACAGCAACCTGCAGGTGAAGAGCAACCTTCAAGCCCACCAGAACCTGCAGACCCACAGCAACCTTCAACCAATTAAAATTTTTTTTTTTTTAACAAGTCGGCCGTCTCCCACCGAGGCAGGTGACCCAAAAAGAAAGAAAATCCCCAAAAAGAAAATGCTTTCATCATCATTCAACACTTTCACTCACTCACACATAATCAATGCTTTTTGCAGAGGTGCTTTAGAACACAACAGTTTAGAAGCATATACGTATAAAGAGACACAACATATCCCTCCAAACTGCTAATATCCTGAAACCCCTCCTTTAGAGTGCAGGCATTGTACTTCCCATTTCCAGGACTCAAGTCCAGCTATATATAATATATATTAAAATATACAATAATAAAAATATGTATACAGGAGGAAAAACTAAGAGAATCAGTTTTGACACAAATACTATTCTCAGTTGGAGATAGAGATATACACATAGTCCAAAGAATAAAATAACTAATTTATAGGGGTAGAATTAGGCTACTTTAAGAGTTTTAGTAATGAAAACATATACAATTCTATAATTAATGGACAGACTGGCATTTTATTTAACGAGACTACAACAAATTCAGTATTGACTGATATACATGATGGACATATAATTACGTAATTAGAAGCAAAAGTCAACCTGTAGGACATGCAAAGATGAGGATAGCTGCATATAAACAAGTGTATGTTTGGAAATATCTTAACAGATCAAATATTTCCTATATTTCAAGCAAAATCTCCAGTCATGTTATTCCACTATGGGCAAATCAAAATAATTTCTGGATTCATAGTATACCAAGCATTGCAAAATTGATAAAGCTTTCTTCGTATGCCATAAACATTCAAGATTCACCAAAGGGATTCAACTGAGAGTCATAATCATCTTTAGCAAAAGGGTTTTTCTCATCTGGACTCTTGCTATCAGGAGAGTCTTCAGCAAATGGGTTTTTAGATTCATCATATTCATCTGCAAAAGGATTGCCCTCCAACTGCTCTGTTTCAAACTCATTAGCAAAAGGATTACTACTACCCACATTCTCCTCCTGAAATGGGTTGTCAGTCAGAGTCTTTGGTCTTGAGAGGTGAGTGTTGGAAAGTGATGACGATATGCTCTCAACGGGGGAGCTTTTCGTGAAGTCTTTATCCATGCTGGGTGCCGGTGACCCAGTGATGTGATCTTGCAGGGATGGGCTACACTTACTGCTGCTTCCTCCCATTCTCACGGGCTCATTAGATATTAATTTTCTCTCAGCAACAGGAACAGCTATATTAGAAGTAACTCCCAGTCTCAGACGACCTTCTTGAGGACTCATTAAAATTGCACTTGGGGTTTCCTGACGGACTTTGTCATCTGCAGGAGGACTGGCAACTCTTGAGGTTCTATCTGGTGTAAATTGGGATAATCCACCACGGACCTCTGTTCGCAACCTGCTCTCTGGCTCAGATTCCATTACTCCCTGACCATGTCGCTCCCTCATCCTCAATCGTCCTTCCCCACCAACACCTGAAACAGAGTAACATGATATACTAAACAGTTCACAGAACAGGTGGGGCTCAAACTCATGGCAGAGCAAGTCACACTCCCAGGTTCTTTGGATAATAGATCAATAACTACACAATAAATATTCTAAGGTATCTTAACAAACTGACTGTATCCTTCCAAGGAAGGGTGACCTAAAAAGAAAAGCTTTTGTTTTTCTTTTTAAATTTAGAAATTTATACAGGAGAAGGGGTAACTAGCCCCTTGGTCCCAGCATTTTAGTCGCCTCTTATGACAGATAGCTTATGGAGGAAGGATTCTTCTCCACTTCCCCATGGAGTCTGAAGTATATGTGAGCAAAAAAGTAGAATATCATATCCTTCTTCATGCCATATTTTAAAATCTACCAGTCCAGCAGCTCTCCAGATTTACTTGATACAGTTCTAGCTACACATTGGCACCCCTCAAGGAAGGTTCCTTGATGTTGATGAGGGGCTCTTGATTTAGGGAATTGGATCTGTGCTCCAGTTCCCCGAATTAAGCCTGAATACCTTCCACATCCCCCCCCCAGGCGCTGTATAATCCTCCGGGTTTAGCGCTTCCCCTTGATTATAATAATAATAATACACATTGGCACAACTTATTATATTCAAGGAGAAGTATTAAACACTGGTAATACAGCACCATAAACTAAAGCAACCACACTATCTGTGTGATTATTATTTGGTAAGGAAACTTCAGATGATATTTTGGTCCATCCTGGATTATTATTATAAAGCAATCATAATAATCCTAGGTAGTAGGTTGGTAGACAGCAACCCCCCCAGCACACATAAGGGGGATTACCAACAGACCCCTGGCAGTCTTCAAGCTGGCACTGGACAAGCACCTAAAGTCAGTTCCGGATCAGCCGGGCTGTGGCTCGTACGTTGGTTTGCGTGCAGCCAGCAGCAACAGCCTGGTTGATCAGGCTCTGATCCACCAGGAGGCCTGGTCACAGACCGGGCCGCGGGGGCGTTGACCCCCGGAACTCTCTCCAGGTAAACCACCCAGGGAGGTACTACCGTCCTGTGGTAGTAGGATGGTAGACAGCAACCGCCCAGGGAGGTACTACCGTCCTGTGGTAGTAGGTTGGTAGACAGCAACCACCCAGGGAGGTACTACCGTCCTGTGGTAGTAGGTTGGTAGAAAGCAACCACCCAGGGAGGTACTACCGTCCTGTGGTAGTAGGTTGGTAGACAGCAACCACCCAGGGAGGTACTACCGTCCTGCCAAGTGAGTGTAAAACGAAAGCCTGTAATTGTTTTACATGATGGTAGGATTGCTGATGTCCATTTTTCTGTCTCATAAATATGCAAGGTTTCAGGTATGTCTTGCTACTTCTACTTACACTTAGGTCACACTACACATACATGTACAAGCATATACATGTATATACACACCCCTCTGGGTTTTCTTCTATTTTCTTACTAGTTCTTGTTCTTGTTTATTTCCTCTTATCTCCATGGGGAAGTGGAACAGAATTCTTCCTCCGTAAGCTATGCGTGTTGTAAGAGTTGACTAAAATGCTAGAAGCAAGGGGCTTGTAACCCCTTCTCCTGTATAAATTACTAAATTTAAAAAGAGAAACTTTTGTTTTTCTTTTTGGGCCACCCTGCCTCGGTGGGATACAGCCGGTTTGTTGAAAGAAGAAGAAGATTTACTTTTATGTAGGTAGTAGGTTGGTAGACAGCAACCGCCCAGAGAGGCACTACCGTCCTGCCAAGTGTGTGTAAAACGAAATTCTGTAATTGTTTTACATGATGTTAGGATTGCTGGTGTCCTTTTTTTTCTGTCTTAAACATGCAAAATTTCAGGTACGTCTGCTACTTCTACTTACACTTAGGTCACGCTACACATACATGTACAAGCACATATATACACACTTCTCAGGATTTTCTTCTGTTTTCTTTCTAGTTGTTGTTGCTGTATAGTCCTTGTGGCTTAGCGCTTCTTTTTGATTATAATAATAATAATCTAGTTCTTGTTCTTGTTTATTTCCTCTTATCTCCATGGGGAAGTGGAACAGAATTCTTCCTCTGTAAGCTATGCGTGTTGTAAGAGTTCACTAAAATGCCAGGAGCAAGGGGCTTGTAACCCCTTCTCCTGTATAAATTACTAAAGAGAAACTTTTGTTTTTCTTTTTGGGCCACCCTGCCTTGGTGGGATACAGCCGGTTTGATGAAAAAAAAAATCATGATAATGGATGAAACAATGTGCAGTATTTTTTGAGAGAATTATCATCATGCATGTTAAGCGCAAGATATGGGGGAGGCTTGATCCTCCACTGCTGAGTACCAGACAGACGTGCTTCCTATTCGTACTCACTTAGATGTACTATTTTCTGAGAGAGAGTGTTCAACTCACCCACTGGGCCTTGGCTGACCCTCTCCAGCACTCGCAGTCTGCCTTCAGGCTCCGGAACTGAAATGCATGAAACGTGGAACCTACAACAAACATTGATAATAAATTATTGAAATTTATTGTGACATAGTGTACTTATGCTATGCCATTTAGTTACAACTAAACCAGGAATGACAGGAAAATTAATGAAAATCTAGAATATTTCCTTGGCTATACAAAACAGTACAATAAAGCAAGTCTATAACAAAGCAGTATCTGACAGATACATTGATAAAACTATAGACTCATGAAATACTGATACAAAAGTTACAACAAATGTTAAGTATTTGAAGACAACTGCTATATTAATAAAAAACAGCCATATTAACAAAAAAACAGTTATATTAACTGAAAAAAAAGCCAAATGACAGAAAACAGTGATATTAACTAACAGACAACAGTGATAAAATAGAAAACCATTATATTAACCAATGGAAAACCAAGTTAATGGATGGCTCACCTTGGCTGCTCAATAATTGCCGAAGGAAACCGGTTTATCACTACAAATGATATAAATCCGGAAACAATTCAATTGCTATGTCTCATAAAATTACCAAATACACCTTTTACCTTTCAGTGCACGATTTAATTAATGATGGCCTAACTCCACTGAAACTGAAATCTAGCAGTGAGACTCACCAACCATCCCCTTGGCATGTTTGGGACGTATCTCAGTAGCCCTGATACGGGCCTCTGAGGCAAAGTCTTTCACATTCTGTTCTACATTTACTGCAACTGCATGCGGTGCAACTTTATTCTGATCTAGTAAAGTTAAAGAAAAGTAAATATCAAAATGATACATAATGCAAAAATAACATGGAGAAGTACGTACTACTGTTGCAGGGTACAGTACTGGTACTGTACAAAAATGTTACTTAGTAAAATCTCTACGATAAAATTAGTATTATGTGGTTCAAACATCTATACAAAATACTTTAAAATCACTTTACATAAAAAAACCTAAATAAAAATCTATTATTATTTAACAAAAGTGCTGCAATATTTTAAGGCAAATAAAAAAAAAATGAATATAGTAACTCGAAAATTAACAAAATATCTTTAAAAGAGAGTGAGAGAAAACCAGGGGTAACTATACAAAGGCAACTGCTTACTTTTAGTGGTATTAAGTGGAGGGTACATTGCAGCTAGGGAATGGAGATGGGTAAACACCCCTCGTCCTAAGTAGTCAGCCACCACTGAAAATGAATCTGCTGATCGCTCTAGCTGCTCGTGGAACTGATCATGTTGGCTGCGGTGCGTCTCCTAAGGAGTAACAATATAATCATAACTAAGTGCTAAACCCATAAGGATCTGGAGTTTACCTGGATCACCCTAAGGTGTAGCAAATTTTCATTCCAGAAATTTTAACATCCTTTGTCGACTTGTAAGTCTACCAATATACAAGGAAGGGTGACTGTGTTACATACCAGTTCTTGATACTTCATTTGGCAAGACAGTGATAACAGATAACTAGTTAACTACTTATGTTTAAGTACAAAAACACTTGTGCCACAATATGTATCAAAAGAGTTTACAAAGTAGTCATATTATCAAAGGAAGAGTAACATTCGTATCTTTAATCTTATATGAAGAGCCATACTTGTACTGCTTATTCAGCCCAAGGTATGTTAGAGGATCGATCCTCTGCCTACTAATTGTAAGATAGACATACTGCTGAACTGTGCTCACTTAAGTAGTAGGATGTGGGGTCCACGCTCACTGGTGTGGCAAACTGCGGTACAGTATCAGTCCTCTTTCTTAAAGATAGTAATACTGTAGCTGGAACAATTCAGAATTAACCTACACTTTAAAAAGGAAATTTTAATTCATATTCTGGTATATCCTGGACTATTACTTATTAAAAATGTGACTTGATTATGAAACAGAATGAACCAAAATAGTCTAAAATTTCCTCTCCAAAGCATAGGTTTTTTTTTTTTTCAACAAGTCGACCGTCTCCCACCGAGGCAGGGTGACCCAAAAAAGAAACAAAATCCCCAAAAAGAAAATACTTTCATCATCATTCAACACTTTCACCACACTCGCACATTATCACTGTTTTTGCAGAGGTGCTCAGAATACAACAGTTTAGAAGCATACACATATAAAGATACACAACATATCCCTCCAAACTGCCAATATCCCAAAACCCCTCCTTTAAAGTGCAGGCATTGTACTTCCCATTTCCAGGACTCAAGTCCAACTATATGAAAATAACCGGTTTCCCTGAATCCCTTCACTAAATATTACCCTGCTCACACTCCAACAGATCGTCAGGTCCCAAGTACCATTCGTCTCCATTCACTCCTATCTAACACGCTCACGCACGCTTGCTGGAAGTCCAAGCCCCTTGCACACAAAACCTCCTTTACCCCCTCTCTCCAACCCTTTCGAGGACGACCCCTACCCCGCCTTCCTTCCCCTAAGATTTATATGCTTTCCATGTCATTCTACTTTGATCCATTCTCTCTAAATGACCAAACCACCTCAACAACCCCTCTTCTGCCCTCTGACTAATACTTTTATTAACTCCACACCTTTTCCTAATTTCCACACTCTGAATTTTCTGCATAATATTTACACCACACATTGCCCTTAAACAGGACATCTCCACTGCCTCCAACCGTCTCCTCGCTGCTGCATTTACCACCCAAGCTTCACACCCATATAAGAGTGTTGGTACTACTATACTTTCATACATTCCCTTCTTTGCCTCCATAATAACGTTTTTTGACTCCACATATACCTCAACGCACCACTCGCCATTCTTCCCTCATCAATTCTATGATTAACCTCATCCTTCATAAATCCATCCGCCGACACGTCAACTCCCAAGTATCTGAAAACATTCACTTCTTCCATACTCCTCCTCCCCAATTTGATATCCAATTTTTCTTTATCTAAATCATTTGACACCCTCATCACCTTACTCTTTTCTATGTTCACTTTCAACTTTCTACCTTTACACACATTCCCAAACTCATCCACTAACCTTTGCAATTTTTCTTTAGAATCTCCCATAAGCACAGTATCATCAGCAAAAAGTAACTGTGTCAATTCCCATTTTGAATTTGATTCCCCAAAATTTAATCCCACCCCTCTCCCGAACACCCTAGCATTTACTTCCTTTACAACCCCATCTATAAATATATTAAACAACCATGGTGACATTACACATCCCTGTCTAAGACCTACTTTTACCGGGAAGTAGTCTCCCTCTCTTCTACACACCCTAACCTGAGCCTCACTATCCTCATAAAAACTCTTTACAGCATTTAATAACTTACCACCTATTCCATATACTTGCAACATCTGCCACATTGCTCCTCTATCCACTCTATCATATGCCTTTTCTAAATCCATAAATGCAATAAAAACTTCCCTACCTTTATCTAAATACTGTTCACATATATGCTTCAATGTAAACACTTGATCTACACATCCCCTACCCACTCTGAAACCTCCTTGCTCATCCGCAATCCTACATTCTGTCTTACCTCTAATTCTTTCAATTATAACCCTAACCGTACACTTTTCCTGGTATACTCAGTAAACTTATTCCTCTATAAGTTTTACAGTCTCTTTTGTCCCCTTTCCCTTTATATAAAGGGACTACACATGCTCTCCACCAATCCCTAGGTACCTTCCCCTCTTTCATACATTTATTAAACAAAAGTACCAACCACTCCAACACTATATCCCCCCCCTGCTTTTAACATTTCTGTCATGATCCCATCAGTTCCAGCTGCTTTACCCCCTTTCATTTTACGTAATGCCTCACGTATCTCCCCCACACTTACATTCTGCTCTTCTTCACTCCTAAAAGATGGTATACCTCCCTGACCAGTGCATGAAATTACTGCCTCTGTTTCTTCCTTAACATTTAAAAGTTCCTCAAAATATTCTCGCCATCTACCTAATACCTCCATCTCCCCATCTACTAACTCCCCTACTCTGTTTTTAACTGACAAATCCATACTTTCCCTAGGCTTTCTTAACTTGTTTAACTCACTCCAAAATTTTTTTCTTTTCATTAAAATTTCTTGACAGTGCCTCTCCCACTCTATCATCTGCTCTCCTTTTGCACTCTCTCACCACTCTCTTTACCTTTCTTTTACTCTCCATATACTCTGCTCTTCTTATAACACTTCTGCTTTGTAAAAACCTCTCATAAGCTACCTTTTTCTCTTTTATCACACCCTTTACTTCATCATTCCACCAATCACTCCTCTTTCCTCCTGCCCCCACCCTCCTATAACCACAAACTTCTGCCCCACATTCTAATACTGCATTTTTAAAACTATTCCAACCCTCTTCAACCCCCCCACTACTCATCTTTGCACTAGCCTACCTTTCTGCCAATAGTCGCTTATATCTCACCCGAACTTCCTCCTCCCTTAGTTTATATACACTTTCACCTCCCTCTTACTTGTTGTTGCCACCTTCCTCTTTTCCCATCTACCTCTTACTCTAACTAGCTACAACTAAATAATGATCCGATATATCAGTTGCCCCTCTATAAACATGTACATCCTGGAGCCTACCCATCAACCTTTTATCCACCAATACATAATCCAATGAACTACTTTCATTATGTGCTACATCATACCTTGTATATTTATTTATCCTCTTTTTCATAAAATATGTATTACTTATTACCAAATCTCTTTCTACACATAGCTCAATTAAAGGCTCCCCATTTACATTTACCCCTGGCACCCCAAATTTACCTACTACTCCCTCCATAACATTTTTACCCACTTTAGCATTGAAATCCCCAACCACCATTACTCTCACACTTGATTCAAAACTCCCCACACATTCACTCAACATTTCCCAAAAATCTCTCTCTCTCCTCTACACTTCTCTTTTCTCCAGGTGCATACACGCTTATTATAACCCACTTTTCACATCCAATCTTTATTTTACTCCACATAATCCTTGAATTAATACATTTATAGTCCCTCTTTTCCTGCCATAGCTTATCCTTCAACATTATTGCTACTCCTTCTTTAGCTCTAACTCTATTTGAAACCCCTGACCTAATCCCATTTATTCCTCTCCACTGAAACTCTCCCACCCCCTTTAGCTTTGTTTCACTTAAAGCAAGGACATCCAGCTTCTTCTCATTCATAACATCCACAATCATCTCTTTCTTGTCATCTGCACAACATCCACGCACATTCAGACTTCCCACTTTGACAATTTTCTTCTTATTCTTTTCAGTAATCTTTACAGGAAAAGGGGTTACTAGCCCATTGTTCCCGGCATTTTAGTTGACTTTTACAACACGCATGGCTTACGGAGGAAAGATTCTTATTCCACTTCCCCATGGATATAAAAGGAAAAGTAATAAGACCAAGAACTATTAAGATAAAATCAAAGAAAACTCAGATGAGTGTGTATAAATAAATGTGTACATGTGTAGTGTGACCTAAGTGTAAGTAGAAGTAGCAAGACATACCTGTAATCTTGCACATTTATGAGACAGACAAAAGACATCAGCAATCCTACCATCATGTAAAACAATCACAGGCTTTCGTTTTACACTCACTTGGCAGGACGGTAGTACCTCCCTGGGTGGTTGCTGTCTACCAACCTACTACCATAGGTATGTTGAGAATTCTTTCCTTGTCTCATTCCTAAAGCATGTGACCTCACTCAAAAATATGACACACCTGAGCCTTGATAACTTCCAACATCTTCTTGTTTTCAGGTAAGCAGACAGGGCAGTCAGAGTCACTCTCACTGTAGCTCTCAAAGCAACTGTGAAACAAATGAATACATTTTAACCAAGTGATCATAGTACATGTATATATATTAAAAATTTGTACTTATTGGGTAAATTCAGTAAACACTTATCTTTAATTCCTGTATGTTTCTTAAAAGCTCTTTTTTTTTTTTTTTTTTGTAGTATTTTTAATTTAGGAGGCCTGGTCAGAGACTGAGCTATTATGTCAATGATCCCTCTGACCATTAATACATACAGGCGGCCGAACTTTACAGTGCCTCGCTTTACAGTGCCTCGCTTTACAGTGCCTCGCTTTACAGTGCCTTGCTTTACAGTGTTTCGCTAATACAGCGGTTTTTAATTATACGCATTCTTCACTTATTTAGCCTTCCTACAATAAATATATTCACCACTCACTGTAAGTTAAGGATGAAAATATTTTAAGGTAAGCAATGTGTGTACTGTATATGCATTTTTTAGGCCTATCTATATTGCTCACTTAATATATGAAAGTGAAAAAACCCATGATTCACTTTACAGTGATTTTTGCTATAAGTGTGGCCCCACCTGTATAATTACATATAGATATTAAATTCATAGAGAGATATTAAGTTCACAGAAAGATGCTAAGAAGTTTAGCAGTACTGTCCATTATCAAGAGAAGTCAAAAAGAAATCTATTATGAACGATAAACATAATTTGTAAGAATAATCCTTCAACAACATAAGCCTTTTTCAACACATTTTATTCTTCCTTCATTTAAAATGCTTATTCTATATACAGTACAGTATATCATATCTATTTATTAATAGTTCCAGTATTGCTGCCTCTATGCCTTAGTCTTAGATACAGTCACCTAAATTGAAAAGGAAATATAGAAAGAAAACTAGTGTAGAATAATAGGTCTCCCTCATACGTGTTTTCAACTTTCACGGGCTTCACACATTCGCAAATTCCCAACCGCCAAATTTCCAGCCGCCAAATCATGTTTAAGTTTCCCGCCACCTGTGAGTCCCTACTACCCTCCCTCCGACCCCGGCAACTGGTAGCCAGCCCTCCCACCACTCAGTGTGGTGAGTGTTTTGTTCATTATTTGCTATTAAACTACAGTATAAATAATGTAAACCCATTCATGACTGCATATTGGAATGGCTATTCGGACAGGTATTGGACGGTGACATCATGTGTTTACTCTTGAACACAGCAAAGAATCAAACATTTCTGCTACTGCTAATAACAACAACAGTAATAATAATACTAATAATAATAATAATAATAATAATAATAACAATAAATACGATAGAATTGAAGAAGGAAATTGTGCAAAAATACGAGGGAGTGGTTGACACATTGCCAGTGTGGCTTTGTTTTTCTGGAGTGAGCATTAGTCTCTGTGCTCTTCCAAACATTTCACAATAATTCATTGTGTTTGGTGCTTGTAGATTGAGTGCGATTGGAGTGGTAGAGGCAGTGGTTGAGGAAGCGGTTGAGGCAGTGGGTGAGGCAGCAGTTGAAACAGCGGTTGAGGCAATGGTAGAGGCAGCGGTTGAGGCAGTGGGTGAGGCAGTGGTTGAGGCAGCGGTTGAGGCAACGGTTGAGGCAATGGTAGAGGCAGCGGTTGAGGCAACGGTTGAGGCAGTGGGTGAGGCAGTGGTTGAGGCAGCGGTTGAGGCAACGGTTGAGGCAATGGTAGAGGCAGCGGTTGAGGCAACGGTTTGAGGCAGTGGGTGAGGCAGTGGTTGAGGCAGCGGTTGAGGCAACGGTTGAGGCAATGGTAGAGGCAGCGGTTGAGGCAACGGTTGAGGCAGTGGGTGAGGCAGTGGTTGAGGCAGCGGTTGAGGCAACGGTTGAGGCAATGGTAGAGGCAGCGGTTGAGGCAACGGTTGAGGCAGTGGGTGAGGCAGTGGTTGAGGCAGCGGTTGAGGCAACGGTTGAGTCAATGGTAGAGGCAGCGGTTGAGGCAACGGTTGAGGCAGTGGGTGAGGCAGTGGTTGAGGCAGCGGTTGAGGCAACGGTTGAGTCAATGGTAGAGGCAGCGGTTGAGGCAACGTTGAGGCAGGGGGTGAGGCAGTGGTTGGGGCAGCGGTTGAGGCAACGGTTGAGTCAATGGTAGAGGCAGCGGTTGAGGCAACGGTTGAGGCAGTGGGTGAGGCAGTGGTTGAGGCAGCGGTTGAGGCAGCGGTTGAGGCAATGGTAGAGGCAGCGGTTGAGGCAATGGTAGAGGCAGCGGTTGAGGCAACGGTTGAGGCAGTGGGTGAGGCAGTGGTTGAGCAGCGGTTGAGGCAATGGTAGAGGCAGCGGTTGAGGCAACGGTTGAGGCAGTGGGTGAGGCATGGTTGAGGCAGGGGTTTGAGGCAGCGGTTGAGGCAATGGTAGAGGCAGCGGTTGAGGCAATGGTAGAGGCAGCGGTTGAGGCAACGGTTGAGGCAGTGGGTGAGGCAGTGGTTGAGGCAGCGGTTGAGGCAATGGTAGAGGCAGCGGTTGAGGCAATGGTTGAGGCAGTGGGTGAGGCAGTGGTTGAGGCAGCGGTTGAGGCAATGGTAGAGGCAGGGGTTGAGGCAAGGGTTGAGGCAGTGGGTGAGGCAGTGGTTGAGGCAATGGTAGAGGCAGCGGTTGAGGCAATGGTAGAGGCAGCGGTTGAGGCAACGGTTGAGGCAGTGGGTGAGGCAGGTTGAGGCAGTGGTTGAGGCAGGGGTTGAGGCAGGTATTTAATAACATACATGTTAATAATAATAATAATAATAATAATAATAATAATAATAATAATAAATGTTATTAATAATAACATGTACTATTATTATTTATAACATATATGTTATTAAATACCGCTGCTTCAACCGCTGCCTCAACCGCTGCCTCAACCGCAGCCTCAACCGCTGCCTCAACCACTGCCTCAACTTCTTCCTCAACCACTGCCTCTACCACTCCAGTCGCACTCAATCTACAAGCACCAAACACAATGAATTATTGTGAAATGTTTGGAAGAGCACAGAGACTAATGCTCACTTAAGCATAAACAAAGCCACACTGACAATGTGTCAACCACTCCCTCGTATTTTTGTACAATTTCCTTCTTCAATTCTATTGTATTTATTATTATTATTATTATTACTAATGTTATTATTAGCAGTAGCAGAAATGTTTGATTCTTTGCTGTGTTCAAGAGTAATCACATGATGTCACCGTCCAATACCTGTCTGAATAGCCATTCCAATATGCAGTCATGAATGGGTTTATATTTATACTGTAGTTTAATAGCAAATAATGAACAAACAAAACACTCACCACACTGATGGGAGGGCTGGCTGCCAGTTGCGGGGGTCGGAGGGAGGGTAGTAGGGACTCGCAGTGGTTGAGGAAGTGGTGGAGGCAGTGGTGGAGGCAGTGGTATTTAATAACATACATGTTATTAACCCTTTGAGGGTCGACAGGCCCTCTCCGAAACTCGTTCTCAGGGTCGGCCAAATTTAAAAAAAAAAATTATTTTCTCTTATGAAAAGATAGAGAATCTTTTCCCGATCATAACGACACCAAAAGTTTGAAATTTGATAGAAAACTTACGGAATTATGCTCTCGCAAAGTTAGCGGTCTCGGCATGTTTACGCATCGGCGATTTTGCCCACTTTGAGCCCCATTTTCGGCCAATTTCACTGTACTAGTCGACAAAAAACATGAATATTTCGCTAGAACTCCATTTTTTCTATCGAATGGGTGCAAGAAACCACCCATTTATAAATTCTACTATCCATACAGTGGTCAGAATTTAGCAATTTTGCCAATTTCACACAAATTTTCAAAAGATGCCAATTTCCGAATAGGGTCCAGAATAAACAAGAAAGACATTCCTGGCACTAAAATGACATTTCCTCTAGTCATTAGTCACGTCTCAAGGCCCCTCTTATATTCTTTTGCTTTCCACTTTGAATTTTTATTTTCACAAAAAATATAAGATTTACTGTTATGCAGACTACTGCATTAGTGTAAAAAATGGTATAAATATTATTGGTGCACTTGTGAAAGAATATTAGACTCACCAGTTGACGTGTATGCACGCTTGGCACGATTTGTTTACTTTTGAAGTTTGCTAAAAATCGAACATTTCTGCTACTTTGAGCTCAATTTCAAGGCACCTTTCATTGTAAAACCAGTCAAAATCATCTCAATTTCAGTAATATGTCTTCCATTCTATAAAATGAGACCAAGAAAACTAGAATACAACAATAAATACCATACGAAAATACACTGCAAAGTCGCTGATTTATTAAAAAAAAAGGGTCAAAGTTTTTTTTCTCTCATTATGCACTGTGTGCTGCAGGATTTTTTTTAGACTGTGCACACTGACCACATAGACCCATTCTTTCATATGAAGGCCTACCAGCTTTCTCCCACTAGATTTGAGGCCGCTAGAATTTATGAGTACTAGTACGTCAAAAACCCCTACGCGTAAGACGTACTAGTACGACGAAAACCCTCAAAGGGTTAAAGCATAACATGTATGTATTTAGTACAATTTACAACGTTTTCATGTATTTTATGATTGTTCATGGTTCAACAAGTTAAGGAAGCAGTACTGTATTATATTTCCCTACAATATACTGGGGCACCAAACATTCGTGATTTTTCAACATTCACGATGCTCTTGATCCCCTAACCCTCGCGAATGTTGAGGGAGACCTAATTCACATTAAGAACTAACCCATGTAAGTCATCCAGCGCAAGACGTGGTGGAGGCTTGATCCTCCATTTGCTGAGCACTAGATGCGCTTCTTATGTGTACTCGCCTACACAGGAAAATAAGGAAAATTACGTATATACTAAAAGTAAAAATTTGTAAGATGCACCTGTCATCTTGTTTTAAATTCCATACATAAAATAATCTGACCTAAAAAAATTTTTACCTCCTAATTATTTTTCAGTATACTTTTTTTTTTTTTTAACTAGTCGGCCGTCTCAAACTGAGGCAGGGTGACCCAAAAAGAAAAAGAAAGAAAATCCCCAAAAAGAAAATACTTTCATCATCATTCAACTCTTTCACCTCACTCACACATAATCACTGTTTTTGCAGATTATTATTATTATAATCAAAAAGAAGCGCTAAGCCACAAGGACTATACAGCTGTTTTTGCAGAGGTGCCCAGAATACAACAGTTAAGAAGTATATACGTATAAAGATACACAATATACCCCTCCAAACTGCCAATATCCCGAACCCCTCCTTAAGAGTCCAGGCATTGTACTTCCCATTTCCAGGACTCAAGTCCGGCTATATAAAAATAACCAGTTTCCCTGAATCCCTTCACTAAATATTACCCTGCTCACACTCCAACAGATCGTCAGGTCCCAAATACCATTCATCTCCATTCACTCCTATCGAACACGCTCACGCACGCCTGCTGGAAGACAAAGCCCCTTGCCCACAAAACCTCCCTTACCCCTTCCTTCCAACCTTTTCAAGGATGACCCCTACCCCGCCTTCCTTCCCCTACAGATTTAAATGCTCTCCATATCATTCTACTTTGATCCATTCTCTCTAAATGACCAAACCACCTCAACAATCCCTCTTCAGCCCTCTGACTAATACTTTTATTAACTCCACACCTTCTCCTAATTTCCACACTCCAAATTTTCTGCATAATATTTACACCACACATTGCCCTTAGACAGGACATCTCCACTGCCTCCAACCACCTCCTCGCTGCTGCATTCACAACCCAAGCTTCACACCCATATAAGAGTGTTGGTACTACTATACTTTCATACATTCCCTTCTTTGCCTCCACAGATAACGTTTTTTGTCTCCACATATACCTCAACGCACCACTCACCTTTTTTCCCTCATCAATTCTATGACTAACCTCATCCTTCATAAATCCATCCGCCGACACGTCAACTCCCATGTATCTGAAAACATTCACTTCTTCCATACTCCTCCTCCCGAATTTGATATCCAGTTTTTCTTTATCTAAATCATTTGATACCCTCATCACCTTACTCTTTTCTATGTTCACTTTCAACTTTCTACCTTTACACACACTCCCAAACTCGTCCACTAACCTTTGCAATTTTTCTTTAGAATCTCCCATAAGCACAGTATCATCAGCAAAAAGCAACTGTGTCACTTCCCATTTTGTATTTGATTCCCCATAATTTAATCCCACCCCTCTCCCAAACACCCTGGCATTTACTTCTTTTACAACCCCATCTATAAATATATTAAACAACCATGGTGACATTACACATCCCTGTCTAAGACCTACTTTTACTGGGAAAATATTCTCCCTCTCTTCTACACACCCTAACCTGAGCCTCACTATCCTCATAAAAACTCTTTACAGCATTTAGTAACTTACCACCTATTCCATATACAGTGGACCCTCGAGTTTCGGCAGCCTCAACTTTCGTGAAATTCGACCTTCGGCGAGTTTTTTTGGCAAAATTTAGCCTCGAGTTTCGTGATTAGACTCGTGTTTCGGCGACCATCTGGTACCCGTCTGCCTGTCACCACGCACACCAAGCCAGTCTCCCACGCCATTCATGCTCAGTGTGCCATTGTTTACCAACATGTGACCATCACCCCATGGGTTCATACAATACATTTCATAATAATCCATTGTTTTTTGTGCTTGGAACTGCTAAATAAGTCATCATGGACCCAAGGAAAGCTAGTGCAAGCCCTTTGGTAAATAAAGTGAGGAACACGATCCAGAGGGATTTTGAAGGGTTTGAGGCAGACCCTGTCCCTGCCGACCCTCTGCCTGTTGTGGAAGGTGTTGTGGCATTGGGGAAGTCCATGGGGTTGGAGGTGAGTGACAGGGATGTGGAAGAGTTGGTGGAGGACCACAGGGAAGAGCTAACCACTGATGAACTGCAAGAGCTTCAACTGGAACAGCATCAGGCCACAGCCGAGGAACTTGCTTCAGAGGAGGAGGAAAAGAGAGTGAAGGAGGTTCTTTCTTCAGTGATTAAGGACATGTGTGGAATGTGGAATGAGTTGCAAAGTTTTGTTGAAAAGTATCACCCTGACCAAGCTGAAACAAGCCATATCTGCAACATGTACAATGACAGTATTGTGTCCCACTTCAGGGAAATCTTAAAGAAACGCCAGAAAAAGACCTCTCTGGACAGATATTGTGTGCGACAGGGGTCCAGTGACTCTCAAGTTGTTCCCAGTGGCATTAAAAGAAGAAGGGAAGTAACCTCAGATAAGGACTTGCTACCTAAAGTCCTAATGGAAGGAAATTCTCCTTCCAAACAATAGTGTACACCTTCCTCCTATCCCCTCCTCCCGTCTTCCATCCACCCGGAAGTCTTCAGTAAAGGTAAGTGTAATGTTATTATTATTTTTTATATGCATGTACTTGATTTTTCATTGATTTCAGTATATAAATCTTTATTTAATTTAAAGAAAAAATATTTTATTTTAATATTTTTGGGTGTCTGGAATGGATTAATTTTATTTCCATTATTTCTTATGGGGAAAATGGTTTCGAGTTTCGTGAATTTCGACTTTCGGCAGGCTCTGTGGAATGGATTAATCACAAAACTCGAGGGTCCACTGTACTTGCAACATCTGCCACATTTCTCCCCTATCCACTCTATCATATGCCTTTTCTAAATCCATAAATGCAATAAAAACTTCCCTACCTTTATCTAAATACTGTTCACATATATGCCTTAATGTAAACACTTGATCTACACATCCCCTACCCACTCTGAAACCTCCTTGCTCATCCGCAATCCTACATTCTGTCTTACCTCTAATTCTTTCAATTATAACCCTACCGTACACTTTTCCTGGTATACTCAGTAAACTAATTCCTCTAAAATTTTTACAATCTCTTTTGTCCCCCTTCCCCTCTTTCATACATTTATTAAACAAAAATACCAACCACTCCAACACTATATCCCCCCTGCTTTTAACATTTCTGTCATGATCCCGTCAGTTCCAGCTGCTTTACCCCCTTTCATTCTACGTAATGCCTCACGCACCTCCCCCACACTCACATCCTGTTCTTCTTCACTCCTAAAAGATGGTATACCTCCCTGGCAAGTGCATGAAATTACCGCCTCCCTTTCTTTGTTGACATTTAAAAGTTCCTCAAAATATTCTCGCCATCTATCCAAAACCTCCTTCTCCCTATCTACTAACTCCCCTACTCTGTTTTTAACTGACAAATCCATTTGTTCCCTAGGCTTTCTTAACTTGTTTAACTCCAAAATTTTTTCTTATTTTCATTAAAATTTCTTGACAGTGTCTCTCCCACTCTATCATCTGCTCTCCTTTTGCACTCTCTCACCACTCTCTTCGCATTTCTTTTACTCTCCATATACTCTACTCTTCTTCTAACACTTCTGCTTTGTAAAAGCCTCTCATAAGCTAACATTTTCTCTTTTATCACACCTTTTACTTCATCATTCCACCAGTCACTCCTCTTTCCTCCTGCACCCACCCTCCTATAACCACAAACTTCTGCCCCACATTCTAATACTACATTTTTAAAACTATTCCAACCCTCCCCACTACTCATACTTGCACCAGTCCACCTTTCTCCACAGATACCTCAAAGTACCACTCAATTCTATGGTTAACCTCATCCTTCATAAACCCATCTGCTGACAAGTCAACTCCCAAATATCTGAAAACATTCACTTCTTCCATACTCTCTCTCTCCAATGTGATATCCAATTTTTCTTTATCTAAATCATTTGATACCCTCATCACCTTACTCTTACCTATGTTCACTTTCAACTTTCCACCTTTATACACCTCCCAAATTTATCTACCCAGATTTAAATGTGTGTGTATATCTATTATACTTTCTGAAAGCATTTACCCTTTTTTGGGTCACTCTGCCAGTGTGTTAAAAAAAATATCTATTACATTACCGTGACTATCTCAGATCTAAATTATCTATTCCCTAACCACTAAGAATAAGTAAATAATGAGACGGTGAATTAAACAATAATGAGGAATTTGGCAGAAAAGGTCAATAGTTGCAGAATTTTCCATGGTGGGTTGAACGTAAAAGTGGCAGAAGTCCAAAAACTGATGAATTAGGGAGGCAAAAAATGAACTGTACCCTAAAGGTTCATCACAACACACAATCTTGATGCTAGTGAAGGACTTTTAATTTGCAGAAATAAAGTTACTCTCCCCTCCTTTGAATCAAACCTCACTACCTCCCAGTCTCCAGGCACTGTAAGAACAATTTATTCTTATTCCTTCTACAATCTTTCTGAAATAATAACTCATTTAATAGTCTAACTCCACCAATTGATTTTTATCATATTACGTAAAATAATGCTAAAATATAATGTAATCCTACTGGAAAAGGAGGGTAGCTCCAGTTTCCTGGATTAAGAGACCTTTTCCAGCCTTAAAGCAATATCCCCCTTGAAGGAACCAGTAACATTACAACGCAACTTTCTCCATGGGGAAGTGGGTTAGAATCCTTTCTCCATAAGTCATGCGTGACTTAGAGGTGATTAGAATGCCGGGAACAAGGGGCTAGTAACCCCTTCTCCTGTATACATTACTAAAGTTAAAAAGAGAAACTTTTGTTTTTCTATTTAGGTCACCCTGCATTGGTGGGAGACAGCCGGTGCATTAAAAAAAAAACAAAAAATGCAACTTACTGTTGATGGAAGGAATGTCTACAGAGGAAGTGCACAGATGGCAGCTCTAGCTCATTGTTGCAGATGTTGCACTTTGTTGCTGTAAACTGGGTGGCACTGTAAGGCATCACAAAATGTCTTGTTACATTTCTAGTAAAATGCTTAAATAATTTTAGGTTGAAAACAAACTTAGACTAACTGATGCTGATGTTTGGAGAGACATCTATCATACACTAACACTCACCGCATAACACCACTCGCCAACATAAGTTGCACAAGTCTGTCCTCCAATTATGACATGCAATTTCACATGAATTCCCATTTGTGAACTTCTGCACCCTTGACATTTTGGTAAAAGCATTAATACTGCATTTCTTATTCTCTATAAATTGATTAGTTATACAGTGGAATCTCTACTTACGAGTTTAATCCGTTCCATGACCTTGCTCGCAACTGGTTTTGCTCGTTTGCAGAGTCAATTTTCCTAATTTAAATGAAATGGAATTAATTCATTCCAGTGGAATTTCAGACACAAGAAAATACTTCAATAATCTGCTCTAATATCAACTCTACAGCTTATTTATCTATCACAATTCATGTAATATGACATAATAAACAATATTAATAACATAGAAACATGATACATACACTAGAATGAATAAAATACATGTCATTAGGTATGTGGCTAGTGGTGGTGACACCAGCCATTGTTGTTGGGGTTTATAGGGCCACCACAGCAGCCATTCCTGCTCCTGACTACATGTGTAGAGAACCTAGGATAACCCAAAAAAGTCAGACAGAGTGACTTATAAGTGCTACACTCTTAATGCTTCACTTAATTGCTACACTTTTAATGCTACACTTAATTGCTACACTCTTAATGCTACATTTAACTGCTACACTCTTAATGCTACACTTTGCCACTGCTGCTTCATGTTGTCAGTCACTGCTGCTTCATGATGTCTGCCACTGCTGTTTCATGTTGTCTGCCCACTGCTACCTCATGATGTCTGCCACTGCTGCTTCATGTTGTCTGCCACTGCTACCTCATGCTGTCTGCCACTGCTGCTTCATGTTGTCTGCCACTTCTACCTCATGTCTGCCACTGCTGCTTCATGTTGTCTGCCACTTCTACCTCATGTCTGCCACTGCTGCTTCATGTTGTCTACCACTGCTACCTCGTGTTGTCAGCCACTGCTGTTCCATGTTGTCTGCCACTGCTACTTCATGTTGTCAGCCACTGCTGCTTCATGTTGTCTGCCACTGTTGCTTCATGTTGTCTGCCACTGCTGCTTCATGTTGTCTACCACTGTTACCTCATGATGTCTACCACTGATGTCGCCAAAAAATCAAACATTTCTGCTATTTTGAGCTCAATTTCAAGGTACTTTTCATCGTGAAACTAATTAAAATCATATTTATTTTTGTAGTATATCTTCCATTCCATCACATGAGACAAAATAAAACCAGAATACAACCATAAAAACCATATGAAAATATACTGCTAAGGGGAGGCTAATGGCTGAGAAGTGAACTCCATTATTTATGGTCCAATTTCTTTCATTTTTGGTATACGTTAAGAAGCATCTTTTCATCATACATTGCCCAAGTTTCAATAAGATAGTCCAACAAACAACTGAGATCCAATTTCCTAGATCAAGAGCAAGAGCCCCCTCACCAGTGTCAATTAACCTCCCTTGAGGCCCGCTCGCATCTGGAAATTTTGCTCGCGTCTGGAAGCAAAAAATCGACCGAGCAGCTGCTCGTATCTGGAAAAACTCGCACATGGATGCACTCGTAAGTAGAGGTTCCACAGCATTAGGTTTGGTTAGGTTACCATGTGTCTGTATAATTACACAAGTAATAACATAATTAACAAAAAGTCAGTGGCTTATGGGTGGCAGTGCAGAGCATACAGTATATTAAAAAAATTTTAGTTAATGTTCAAATGCAAGGTAAGATACATGGAGAATGAGTTTCACCACAATATACTAATAGACACAATCACTGCTCACCGCATGTAACTATCCAGAACAATCACATATATTGTATAAAGAGAAATCTTGCTCAAAGGGGTTGAAGGAATGGGGGATGAGTAATAGAAGGTTACACTTTTAGGTGAGGTGCCAGTGAGTCAGGGCTTTTATCCCCTTCAAAAACATTATATAATTCAAGATGAGTTCCAACTGAAAAATATTCCCCTCAAAATCCGATAAAAGCTTAACATACACATTGTAATAATTATTATTAATTTTTTTTTTTTTCAACAAGTCGGCCATCTCCCACCGAGGCAGGGTGACCCAAAAAAGAAAGAAAATCCCCAAAAAGAAAATACTTTCATCATCATTCAACACTTTCACCACACTCACACATTATCACTGTTTTTGCAGAGATGCTCAGAATACAACAGTTTAGAAGCATATACATATAAAGATACACAACATATCCCTCCAAACTGCCAATATCCCAAACCCCTCCTTTAAAGTGCAGGCATTGTACTTCCCATTTCCAGGACTCAAGTCCAACTATATGAAAATAACCGGTTTCCCTGAATCCCTTCACTAAATATTACCCTGCTCACACTCCAACAGATCATCAGGTCCCAAGTATCATTCGTCTCCATTCACTCCTATCTAACACGCTCATGCACGCTTGCTGGAAGTCCAAGCCCCTCGCCCACAAAACCTCCTTTACCCCCTCTTTCCAACCCTTTCGAGGATGACCCCTACCCCTCCTTCCTTCCCCTATAGATTTATATGCTTTCCATGTCATTCTACTTTGATCCATTCTCTCTAAATGACCAAACCACCTCAACAACCCTCTTCAGCCCTCTGACTAATGCTTTTATTAACTCCACACCTTCTCCTAATTTCCACACTCCGAATTTTCTGCATAATATTTACACCACACATTGCCCTTAGACAGGACATCTCCACTGCCTCCAACCATCTCCTCGCTGCTGCATTTACCACCCAAGCTTCACATCCATATAAGAGTGTTGGTACTACTATACTTTCATACATTCCCTTCTTTGCCTCCATAGATAACGTTTTTTGACTCCACATATACCTCAACGCACCACTCACCTTTTTTCCCTCATCAATTCTATGATTATTAATATTATTACAAAAAGGACTGAATGGCATAGAGGAAAGAGATGGAAGAGAGGGGAAAAAGAGAGAGATGTGTTGATGAAAGGGCATCAGCTGAAAGGACAGTGGTCACAGGCTCCCCATCCTCTTGAAAGGATGACATAACTAGAGTGCACACCTAGTCCTCAGTTCATGAATGGTGTCCCTCATCTTAGTGGTTTCCTGGGAGTACTGTTGAGTGCGGGCAGTCTCGGTGGAGAGAGTGGCAGAGTGCGTTGACACCACCCTCAACAGATAATCTCTTACTTGACCCAAGGTGATGTGTGGGGAGTTGGCAAGCTCATCAACCACCTCCAATGGAGGCAATAATCCCTTCTGTTCTGTAAAAGCAAATTGTATTACTTAATGTTTATTACAAAAGCAGAATTCAAAGATAAATTTACTTTAGAAAAGTTAATTTAGAAAGGTTAAAATTATTTCCTCCAGTTTTCCATAACAGAATAGTTGGAATTTGTCCTCATTGAACATTATATTTTTTTTCCATTGCCCACTGGAAAACTTGGTTTATATCAGCTTGGAGATTTACCATGTCCTCAGTGGATGACAGTCTCATGCAGATTCTGGTATCATCTGCAAAGGATGACATAATGCTATGGTTTACATCTGTCTGTGTCTGATATGAGGAAGAGGAACAGGATGAGGGTGAGTTCTTACCTATGTTGGTGAGACAAGTCATGAGGTGTTGTGGGTCTGGAGCAGAAACAGACGTAGAAGATGTCAGAAGCTTCAGGGCTGAGCACCAGAGGCGAGGATACTGCTGTGACTTCCGAGCACATACGGCCAACAAGCTCTCCATGTCCCCGCGTTCGGCATACCAAGACAGCAACTCCTCGTACCTTCCAACACAAACAAATTGAATTCCCAACATAAACTTATATTTTCCAAAATGCACACACAAATTTCATTCCCAACACAAACAATGTTAATTCCCAACACAAACATAACGTTAATTTCCAACACAAACAAATTTAATTCCAAACCATGCCACATATAAATGAAAAGGATTTAGGAGTTCTGGTTAGCAGTAATCTGAAACCAAGACAGCAGTACATAAGTGTCCGCAATAAAGCTAACAGAATCCTTGGTTTCATATCAAGAAGTATAAATAATAGAAGTCCTCAAGTTGTTCTTCAACTCTATATATCTTTGGTTAGACCTCATTTAGATTGTACTGCACAGTTCTGGTCACCATATTACAAAATGGATATAAATGCACTGGAAAACGTACAGAGGAGGATGACAAAGTTGATCCCATGTATCAGAAATCTTCCCTATGAGGATACACTGAGAGGCCCTGAATCTGCACTCTCTAGAAAGGTGTAGAATTAGGGGGGGATATGATTGAGGTGTATAAATGGAAAACAGGAATAAATAAAGGGGATGTAAATAGTGTGCTGAAAATATCCAGCCAAGACAGGACTTGCAGCAATGGTTTCAAGTTGGAAAAGTTCAGAGTCAGGAAGGATATAGGAAAGCACTGGTTCAGTAACAGAGTTGTGGATGAGTGGAACAAACTCCCGAGAACCGTCATAGAAGCTAAGACATTGTGTAGTTTTAAAAATAGGTTAGATAAATACATGAGTGGGTGTGGGTGGGTGTGAGTTGGACCTGACTAGCTTGTGCTACTAGGCCTTATGCCATGCTCCTTCCTTAAGTGGAAGTGACCTGACTAGGTGGGTCATTGATCTAAGCCAAGGAGTGACATGAACCTGCCTCGCATGGGTCAGTAGGCCTTCTGCAGTGTTCCTTCTTTCTTATGTAAGTTATCAATGTCATGAAAATAAGTTACAACCCTTCAAGGGGATTGCCTTGATGCTAGTGAAGGGATCTGGGTGCAAGGAAAAGGAGCCACATTTCCCTTCCTCGGATCAAACCTGATCACCTGCCATTCCCTGGGTAATGGAAAGGAAGGGGAGCTTGAATTCACTGGATTAAGAGCAGGTGAGTTTACAGTTCAACATGTAGTACTTACATTCCAGCTTGCTCCCACAATAGAAGCTTGCCATCATAAAACTTGAGCTTGTCACAGAGTAAGAGTGCGTGGTCCCGGCAGTACTCATTATCAGAGCTGCGTAAAAGCTCCATCACTTTCTCGCCGAGCGCCACTTGCTCCTGACCTGAATCAAAGGAACATATTGCATCAAAAACTTCAACAGTCTTGGTGTATATCTACAGCTCCTGCAATTTTACACAATTTTTAATATGAAACAGGGAAACTGTAGCACATGTATTAACAATAATATCACACCTAAAATAAGTTTTTTCTCAACAAACCGATCGTATGAAACTGAGGCAGGGTGACAAAAAAAGAATAACAAAAGTTTTTCTTTTTAAATTTAGTAATTTATACAGGAGAAGGGGTTACTCGCCCCTTGCTCCCAGCATTTTAGTTGACTCTTATGACACAGGAAGAATTCTTTTCCCATGGAGACTGGCGAAGGTATCAAAGGAAAAAATAAGACTAATAATTCACCTTCAGGAGCAAGACTGTACTGGTGAAGGTATTCAGCTAGCAAGGTGGTGTATAACTTGACAGAAAGCTTGCCAGGTATAGTGGCCATCTTCTCCAGGAATGTGATAGCTTGCTCACTGTGGCCCACCAGCAGATACTCAAAATCTTCGGGATCAGCATACACTGGCTCCTCTGGGGTGAGGTACCCATCCAAAGAGCCCTAAAAACAAGATTATGAAGTCATATTAATAATTTCACAATGATGTATAAATAAAGCACAGAAAAACCACTGTTACAGACTGCAAATTTGTGTTTGAAGGTAAATATTATGCTCAAAAACAAGACATGGCCATGGGAAATCCCCTCAGTCCCTTACTTAACATTTTATATATAGAATTCTAAGAGACTGGACTCCTTAAAGATATTCTCTCAAATAAAGCTATAACCACTAATTTTTTTGTTTTTAACAAGTCAGCCGTCTCCCACTGAGGCAGGGTGACCCAAAAAAGAAAGAAAATCCCCAAAAAGAAAATACTTTCATCATCATTCAACACTTTCACCTCACACATAATCACTGTTTTTGCAGAGGTGCTCAGAACACAACAGCATAGAAGCATATACCTATAAAGATACACAACATATCCCTTCAAACTGCCAATATCCCGAGCCCCTCCTTTAGAGTGCAGGCATTGTACTTCCCATTTCCAGGACTCAAGTCCAGCTATATAAAAATAACTGTTTTCCCTGAATCCCTTCACTAAATATTAGCCTGCTCGCACTCCAACAGATCGTCAGGTCCCAAATACCATTCGTCTCCATTCACTCCTATCTAACTCGCTCACGCACACTTGCTGGAAGTCCAAGCCCCTTGCCCACAAAACCTCCTTTACCCCCTCCCTCCAACCTTTTCGAGGATGACCCCTACCCAGCCTTCCTTCCCGTACAGATTTATACGCTTTCCACATCATTCTACTTTGATCCATTCTCTCTAAATGACCAAACCACCTCAACAACCCCTCTTCAGCCCTCTGACTAATACTTTTATTAACTCCACGCCTTCTCCTAATTCCCACACTCTGAATTTTCTGCATAATATTTACACCACACATTGCCCTTAGATAGGACATCTCCACTGCCTCCAACCGCCTCCTCGCTGCTGCATTCACAACCCAAGCTTCACACCCATATAAGAGTGTTGGTACTACTATACTTTCATACATTCCCTTCTTTGCCTCCATAGATAACGTTTTTTGTCTCCGCATATACCTCAACGCACCACTCACCTTTTTTCCTTCATCAATTCTATGATTAACCTCATCCTTCATAAATCCTTCCGCCGACACGTCAACTCCCAAATATCTGAAAGCATTCACTTCTTCCATACTCCTCCTCCTGAATTTGATATCCAATTTTTCTTTATCTAAATCATTTGATACCCTCATCACCTTACTCTTTTCTATGTTCACTTTCAACTTTCTACCTTTACACACACTCCCAAGCTCATCCACTAACCTTTGCAATTTTTCTTTAGAATCTCCCATGAGCACAGTATCATCAGCAAAAAGCAACTGTGTCAATTCCCATTTTGTATTTGATTCCCCAAAATTTAATACCATCCCTCTCCCAAACACCCTAGCATTTACTTCTTTTACAACCCCATCTATAAATATATTAAACAACCATGGTGACATTACACATCCCTGTCTAAGACCTACTTTTACTGGGAAGTAGTCTCCCTCTCTTCTACACACCCTAACCTGAGCCTCACTATCCTCATAAAAACTCTTTACAGCATTTAGTAACTTAGCACCTATTCCATATACTTGCAACATCTGCCACATTGCTTCCCTATCCACTCTATCACATGCCTTTTCTAAATCCATAAATGCAATAAAAACTTCCCTACCTTTATCTAAATACTGTTCACATATATACTTCAATGTAAACACTTGATCTACACATCCCCTACCCACTCTGAAACCTCCTTGCTCATCCGCAATCCTACATTCTATCTTACCTCTAATTCTTTCAATTATAACCCTACCGTACACTTTTCTTGGTATACTCAGTAAACTTATTCTCTATAATTTTTACAATCTCTTTTGTTCCCCTTCCTTTATATAAAGAGACTATACATGCTCTCTGCCAATCCCTAGGTACCTTCCCCTCTTTCATACATTTATTAAACAAAAATACCAACCACTCCAACACTATATCCCCCCTGCTTTTAACATTTCTGTCATGATCCCATCAGTTCCAGCTGCTTTACCCCCTTTCATTCTACGTAATGCCTCATGTACCTCCACCACACTCACATTCCTGTTCTTCTTCACTCCTAAAAGATGGTATACCTCCCAGGCCAGTGCATGAAATTACCGCTTCCCTTTCTTCGTCGACATTTAAAAGTTCCTCAAAATATTCTCGCCATCTACCCAAAACCTCCATCTCCCCATCTACTAACTCCCCACTAAAAATATTTTGACTAAAATCCATTATTTTAGAGTTATATACCTAATCTATTGAATTTTATTGTACTCTTCATATGATTTTTGTACAATATATGAAAAATATAAAATTAAGAAATGTGTTCTAAAATGTCATTTTATTGCACTGATTTACAAAGACAAAGATCTAGTATCATAAAGAATAAAAAGGCACAATACCATGACTGGAACAATACATAAATAACCTGCTCATAGGAGAATGAAGCTAATGACATTTTGGTCCAACTTGGTCCACCGACTAGTCTATGGTCCAAGTTGGACCAAATCATCGTCATAAGCTTCTCTCTCCTGTGTGCATTATTTGTGTATTGTAACCTCTGCCCCCTTTTAACATGAAGGGTTCTAGTAAAGAAAAATTAGAGCAAATATTTCAAATACCATAGACAAAAAAGAAATGGAAATGGGACTTGATGATCTGCTGGAGTGTGAGCAGGGTAATATTTTGTGAAGTGATTCAGGGAAACCAGTTATCTGGAGGTGGGAAGTACAATGCCTGCACCACTCTAAAGGAGGGGTTTAGGATATTTGCTGCCTAAGAGTGACATTTAAACTGTTATAGCATGCCTCTGGTATGACAGTGATAGTGTGAACGATGGCGAAAGTGTTTATTGGGTCACCTTGCCTCGGTAAGAGACAGCCATTACGTAGGATTATACAGTGCATGTGGGGGGAAGGATGAAAGGTATTCAGGCTCAATTCAGGGAACTGGAGCACAGATCCAATTCCCCAGATCAAGAGCTCCTCACCAGCATCAAGGAACCTCCCTTGAGGGAGACAGCCAGCATGTTAAAAAAAGAAGAGAAAAAGACACACCTCTCTAATAATTGGAGTATTACTGGGCTTGTAGTCTGTACAGAGTCTGATGAGCAGCTCTGTGGTGTCATCTGCCACATGACTCAGTAGAACCGACCCATAACGCAGCACATTTGCTTTGGCTTCTTCTAGCTCCAAAGTGGAAATATATCTGGATATATAAAGAACAAAGAGGCACAATACCGTGGCTGCAACAATACACAAATAACCTGCACATAGGAGAAACTTATGATGATTTGGACCATTAATAACACTGTGTGTGTGTGTGTGTGTGTGTGTGTGTGTGTGTGTGTGTGTGTGTGTGTGTGTGTGGTGGTTGTTGTGTGGTGTGTTGTGTTGCGTGCGTGTGCGTGTGCGTGTGCGTGTGACTAGTTAATGGTCCAAGTTGAACTGAAATGCCATCATAAGTTTCTTTCTCCTATGTGCAGGTTATCTTTGCATCCTATGATATATAATAATATTACTGAAACATATATGATACTGACCATTTCTTTCTACCAAGCTGCACACTAACTATGCCACAGGAATTATACTATACAGGGTAAGAGACACCCAACTTATCAACATTCACACTTATGAATGAGGCCCCAGAGAAATATTAATTAAGAAATAATAAATTTATATACACAAATCAACACCTGTGAACATGCTTTACACACAATAACCTTGGTACTATTCTTTTCTCTAAGAAAATGGTTTGAGTTACAAACAACCCGTACGTAAGTTGGAGTACTACGAACACAACTTGTAATACACTACTTGATCCAACTACATTTTTAAATTCAGGCCTTACTAGTGCTCAAAATGAATTTAAATCCTGCACAAAAATTAGATAAAGAAAAATTGGATATCAAATTGAGGAGGAGGAGTATGAAAGAAGTGAATGTTTTCAGATACTTGGCATGTCGGTGGATGGATTTATGAAGGATGAGGTTAATCATAGAATTGATGAGGGAAAAAAGGCGAGTGGTGCGTTGAGGTATATGTGGAGACAAAAAACGTTATCTATGGAGACAAAGAAGGGAATGTATGAAAGTACAGTAGTATCAACACTCTTATATGGGTGTGAAGCTTGGGTTGTGAATGAAGCAGCGAGGAAGTGGTTGGAGGCAGTGGAAATGTCCTGTCAAAGGGCAATGTGTGGTGTAAATATTATGCAGAAAATTCAGAGTGTGGAAATTAGGAGGTGTGGAGTTAATAAAAGTATTAGTCAGAGGGCTGAAGAGGGGTTGTTGAGGTGGTTTGGTCATTTAGAGAGAATGGATCAAAGTAGAATGACATGGAGAGCGTATAAATCTGTAGGGGAAGGAAGGCAGGGTAGGGGTCGTCCTCGAAAAGGTTGGAGGGAGGGGGTAAAGGAGGTTTTGTGGGCGAGGGGCTTGAACTTCCAGCAAGCATGCGTGAGCGTGTTAGACAGGAGTGAATGGAGACGAATGGTATTTGGGACCTGACAATCTGTTGGAGTATGAGCAGGGTAATATTTAGTGAAGGAATTTGGGGAAACCGGTTATTTTTATATAGCTAGACTTGAGTCCTGGAAATGGGAAGTACAATGCCTGCACTCTAAAGGAGGGGTTTGGGATATTAGCAGTTTGGAGAGATATGTTGTGTATCTTTATAGGTATATGCTTCTAAGCTGTTGTGTTCTGAGCACCTCTGCAAAAACAGTGATTATGTGTGAGTGACGTGAAAGTGTTGAATGATGATGAAAGTATTTTCTTTTTGGGGATTTTCTTTCTTTTTTTGGGTCACCCTGCCTCGGTGGGAGACGACCGACTTGTTAAAAAAAAATTTTACCTTAAAGCAGCAACATAATCTTTCTTGTCATCGATGAGAATTGCCAGATGATGGTGATGAAGCTTATGTTTGGCTGCCAAAGCAAGAGCATGATCGAAGTAGCCTGCGCTGCGGCACACACGCACACCCAGCTCCACATCACAGTCAACAGCACCATCCTTGCTCTGAGTAACAGTGATTAAATCAAAGAACCTCAAATTAAAATGTCAAATAGAAGGTCTGTTGTGAATGTTTTTCCCTACATGTATTAACCCTTTCAGGGTTGGTGCCGTACTAATACGGCTTGCACGTCAGGGTTGGTGCCGTACTTGTACGCATAAATTCTAGCGCCTTCAAATCTAGCAAGAGAAAGCTGGTAGGCCTACATATGAAAGAATGGGTCTATGTGGTCAGTGTGCGCAGTATAAAAAAAATCCTGCAGCACACAATGCATGAGAAAAAAAAACTCCGACCATGTTTTTGGTTTAAAACAGCGACTTTGCAGTGTATTTTCGTATGCTATTTATGGTTGTATTCTAGTTGTCTTGGTCTCATTTTATAGAATGAAAAACATATTATGGAAATTGAGATGATTTTGATTGGTTTCATAATGAAAAGTACCTTGAAACTGAGCTCAAAGTAGCAGAAATGTTCGCTTTTTGCCAAAGTTCAAAGGTAAACAAATCATGCCACGCGTCCAATACACATCAACTGGTGAGTGTAATATTCTTTTACAAGTGCCCTGATATTATTTATACCATTTCTACGCTATTTCTACACGAATGCAGTCATCTGCATAACATAAATCTTCTAGTTTTTGAGAATAAAAATTCAAAGCGGAGAGCAAAAGAAATGTAACAGAGGCCTGGGGACATGAGTAATGAACAGAGGAAATGTTATTTTAGTGTTAGAAATGTCTGTCTTGTTTATTCTGGACCCTATTTGGAAATTGGCATCTTTTGAAGTTTGTGCGAAATTGGTAAAATTGCCTTCTGACCACGTTATTGGATAGTTGAAATTGGTAAATGGGTGGTTTCTTGTGCTCATTCGATAGAAAAAATGGAGTTCTAGCGAAATAGGTATGATTTTTGTTGACTGGTGCATTGGAATTGGCTGAAAATAGGGCTGCTCAAAGTGGGCGAAATCACTGATGCGTAAACATCATCGAGACTGCTAACTTCGCGAGAGCATAATTCCGTAAGTTTTCCATCAAATTTCATACTTCTGGTGTCATTATGATTGGGAAAAGATTCTCTATCATTTCATAAGAAAAAATTATTATTTTTTTCGAAAAATTTCCGACCCTGAGAACAAATTTAGGAGAGTTCCTGCCAACCCTTAAAGGGTTAAAAAAAACACAGAAGACGGTGAGTGATTCATTTCGTGGTTTGCTTACAATCGCATTAATACATTTTTGTGAATCGTGATCTAGCCATTGCTGCATCATTTTAGATACAAAACATGCAGTAAATATGAATGTGAATTTCACTGCATCTTTAAAGTAACAAATAATGCAATGATTACTGAGGATTAAACCATGACCATATTGGCTTTAGTGAACCGTGTTTTCAAGAGAATTCTTCATGAGGAGCCCCAACTGTTGTTTAACCCATTTTAGTAAACAGCTTCCAACACCATACAGGCCTTTTAGATAAATAGCCAAGTCAAGAAAGTTGCACTGTTATTTTTGTAGTGGGGCAGTGTAGAACATTCAATAGTGTAACTTGTGTAAAATAAGTGAGTTGAACTTAGTGAAAGGCAAACACAAAGATTAGGAGTGGGCTGGATTAACTATAAGGTCAGTCATGAATATTAAAAGTAGGCTGGACTAACTATAAGGTCAAACATGAAGATTAGGAGTGGGCCGAACTTACTGTACTATGATTAGGAATGGCCTGGGCTTACTATAAGGCCCAACACAAAGATTAGGAATGGGCTGGACTTACTCTAAGGTCAAACACAAAGATTAGGAGTGGGCTGGACTTACTATAAGGCCAAATACAAAGATTAGGAGTGGGTTAATTAATGGAAGGTGAAACTAATTTATGAAAAACCGAGTTTGAGGCACTACTGTATGATGCTGCAGAAATAAAAAGCAACACATCAATATTATGTTACATGGATAACCAGAATCCAGCATCTAAGTAGACATTTCCAATTAAACATATTTTACAAAAAGAACAAAAAGGCACAATGTTGTGACCGGAACAATATACAAATAACCTACACATAAGAGAGAGAGAAGCTTAAGGTGATGTTTCAATCCAACTTGGACCATTTACAAAGTCACACTGACTTTGTAATTAGTCCAAGTCTGATTGAAATGTTGGCATAAGCTTCTCTCTCTTATGTGCGGGTTAATTATGTATACTTTACAATAGCTCAAAAATGGATATGCAATGCATCATATATGCACACTATAAAATATTTCTTTGGTATCCATATTGCTCCAAATCTCTAAATCCAGTACAATATTTAGTACATATTAAAATGTTACATAAGTAGAGCATTCCCAATGAATTTACTCATTTTAATCTTTTTACAACAACCTCCTAAAAATTAAGAAAATTCACTATCTTATATACATGTACAGTGGACCCTCGGGTAAAGGCTTCACTGGTTAGCGCCAAAGTTGGCTAACGGCTCGCTTTGGCATAAAAATATTGGCTCGGCTAACGCCAAATAACTTGGCTAAGGGCTTTCGTCCCGAATGTGTCCGTGCGGACTGAGTGGGCCCGGCCACTCCATGACCCCATGTACAACCAGTGTGCCATTGTTTACAAGCCAGGGAGGGCAATTCCACGCATACAAGCGATATATTTAATATTATTCCATTGTTTTTAGTGCTTGTAACTGCTAAATAAGCCACCATGGGCCCAAAGAAAGCTTCTAGTGACAGCCCTGTGATAAAGAAGGAAAGAAACACAATAAAATTCAAGAAAAAACTCGTAGCAAAGTACCAAAATGGAGGAGGAAGAGAGAGGGGAGAATGTGCCTTCTGCAGTGATTCTATGATATGTACGATACAAAAGCAGCAGGTATCGATAAAGGCTATAGTGCCAGCCAGCAATAAAGTGTAGAATTAACAGTGTAGCAAGTATGTTAAGTGAGTAAGCGATAAAAAAATGACACGAAAGTAACTCTCCAGTGTTGTTGGATGTGTGTAGGGCTGCTGAACATATGCCACCCTGCTATCTTCCACCACCCTAAACCTCTGCCAGCATCTCCTCCATCAAGCTAACTAATTAAACTAACATCTCTTCCAAGGTAAGTGTAAATATAAAAGTGTAAGTATAAAAGTAATTTTTTTTTTTCAACAAACCGGCTGTATCCCACCAAGGCAGGGTGGCCTAAAAAGAAAAACGAAAGTTTCTCTTTTTAAATTTAGTAATTTATACAGGAGAAGGGGTTACTAGGCCCTTGCTCCCGGCATTTTAGTCGCCTCTTACAACACGCATGGCTTACGGAGGAAGAATTCTGTTCCACTTCCCCATGGAGATAAGAGGAAATAAACAAGAACAAGAACTAGAAAGAAAACAGAAGAAAACCCAGAGGAGTGTGTATATATATGCTTGTACATGTATGTGTAGCGTGACCTAAGTGTAAGTAGAAGTAGCAAGACGTACCTGAAATCTTGCATGTTTAAGACAGAAAAAAAGACACCAGCAATCCTACCATCATGTAAAACAATTACAGAATTCCGTTTTACACACACCTGGCAGGACAGTAGTACCTCTCTGGGCGGTTGCTGTCTACCAACCTACTACCTACATAAAAGTAAATATAAGTAGAAATATAAAAGGACCCCTATAGAAATACGTACATAAGTCACTCTGACTTTTTTCGGTGATCCTAGGTACTTTACACATAAGCAACGTATGATAATCTATGTACATAACTGCATTTGTGTATAACCGAATAAACTTACTTATTTATAAATTAAAATGTAAATATTACTTATTTATAAATTAAAATGTATATATTTCTTATTTATAAATTAAATATATTGTTTAAGTGTGATAGTGGTGGTGGGTTCTGCTGGTGAATCACACACCACCACTATGTACAGCTTCTCTCAGAGGCCCTTATAAACACAACACCACCACTTACTCCTCTCATACATTGACATATTTTATTCATTCTAGAGCATATATCATGTTTTTATGTTATTAATATTGTTTATAATGTCATATTCGATGAATTGTGATGGATAAATAAGCCATAGAGATGATATTAGTGTCATATTGAAGCATAATAAATTTGCCTTCCTCTTGCCTCCTACGTGTCTACCATACACCAACAAGTCAAGTCAATAAAGAAAAGTCAATAAAGGTAAGTGTGATGTTAAATGTTCATTTATCCATTTTATTAGTGCTTTATATTTATTTGTCATTGTTTTCTGTATGTATATTTATATTTAATCTTTAAAAAAATATTTTTTGTTAATACTTTTGGCTGTCTGAAATGGATTAATTGGATTTCCATTATTTCTTATGGGGAAAATTAATTCGGCTAAAGGCTAAATCAGCTAAAGGCTAGCTCTCTGGAATGAATTAAATGCGTTACCCGAGAGTCCACTGTACTTTATACTTATACAGCATAGTTTGTCAAATACACTTGACATCTGACGGATAAAAATCAGTCCCATCGATGATTACCATAATGAATTCATCAAGTTGCTTCGTGTCACGCAGACGTGTGTAGCAGTTGAGGAGGAGACTGGTGTGGTCAGCCGTCGCCGATCCTGACCGATGTAATGCTTGCAGGTATGTTGTCAGGTTGTGGATGTGCTGGGTGTCCAGATACTGTGGAAAAAAAGATAGAATTTAGCATTAGGCTTTCACTATGGTCTGAATGAAGTCCTAGCTTTATGCTTTCACTATAATAATAATAATAATTGTCCTAGGTAGTAGGTTGGTTGGCAGCAACCACCCAGGGAGGTACTACCATCCTGCCAAGTGAGTGTAAAACTGAAGCCTGTAATTGTTTTACATGATGGTAGGATTGCTGGTGTCTTTTTTTTTTTGTCTCATACACATGCAAGATTTCAAGTACATCTTGCTACTTCTACTTACACTTAGGTCACACTACACATACATGTACAAGCATATATATACACACCCCTCTGGGTTTTCTTCTACTATTTTCTTTCTAGTTCTTGGTTGGTAGATAAGACACATAAGCAACATTTAGGCAACTTTATTTCGAAACGTTTCGCCTACACAGTAGGCTTCTTCAGTCGAGTACAGAGTACTCGACTGAAGAAGCCTACTGTGTAGGCGAAACGTTTCGAAATAAAGTTGCCTAAATGTTGCTTATGTGTCTTATCTACCAACCTGTCGGTATTGTATACCATTTGATAATTTCTAGTTCTTGTTCTTGTTTATTTCCTCTTATCTCCATGGGGAAGTGGAACAGAATTCTTCCTCCGTAAGCCATGCGTGTTGTAAGAGGCGACTAAAATGCTGGGAGCAAGGGGCTAGTAACCCCTTCTCCCGTATAAATTACTAAATTTAAAAAGAGAAACTTTCGTTTTTCTTTTTGGGCCACCCTGCCTTGGTGGGATACGGCCGGTTTGTTGGAAAAAAAAAAAAAAGAATAATAATAATTGTAGGTAGTAGGTTGGTAGACAGCAACCACCCAGGGAGGTACTACCATCCTGCCAAGTGAGTGTAAAACGAAAGCCTGTAATTGTTTTACATGATGGTAGGATTGCTGGTGTCTTTTGTCTGTCTCATAAACATGCAAGATTTCAGGTACGTCTTGCTACTTCTACTTACACTTTGGTCACACTACACATACATGTACAAGCATATATATACACACCCCTCTGGGTTTTCTTCTATTTTCTTTCTAGTTCTTGTTCTTGTTTATTTCCTCTTATCTCCATGGGGAAGTGGAACAGAATTCTTCCTCCGTAAGTCATGCATGTTGTAAAAGGCGACTAAAATGCCGGGAGCAAGGGGCTAGTAACCCCTTCTCCTGAATAAATTACTAAATTTAAAAAGAGAAACTTTCGTTTTTTTCTTTTTTGGGTCACCCTGCCTTGGTGGGATATGGTCGGTTTGTTGAAAGAAGAAGAATAATAATAATATCTTTATTTACTACAAGAACATGTACATGGTATACAGGCCATAGCTGACATCAATGACATACAACTATATAGAAAGCCCCTTGTTATGCTGAACATTTCAGACAAATTAGGTCAGTGTCCCAGGATGCGACCCACACCAGCCGACTAACACCCAGGTACCCATTTTACTGATGGGGAACATAGACAACAGGTAAAAAGAAACACACCCAATGTTTCTACTCTGGCTGGGAATCGAACCCTGACCCTCACCATGTGAAGTGAGAGCATTAACCACCAGGCCACCACACCTGAATGAAGTCCTAGATTTATGCTTTCACTATGATCTGAATAAACTCTTAGCTTTATATTTTCACTATGACCTATATCAACTCTGAACATTCATTATTCTTCAGACCAGTCTTATATTTGAACATGATGATATATTGACTGATTCCTTACCTCTCTGACATCCTTGATGTTAGTCTGAGCATTTCTAAAAATTCTACTTTCATCCATATTGCCTAACATTTTTGCACCATACAAATACAGTATTGTGTGAGTGCAAGAGGTCAGCAACGATAACAAAAAAATAATTCAGTCTCCCAAACTTCATAAGTGAAAGGGAATCCCTTTCCACAGGGGCATTCATTTACCTTCCGAATGACATACGAGGGTTCGAGATGGGGGATGGTCTTGATGTACTGGTCCATAGCAACCGGATGGTTGCCCTTACTGTACAGCCAATCTCCGTACTGACGTAAAATTTCCGCGACTTCTTCCTGGTCGCAGCATTGTGTCTTGGCCAGACTGAACGCAGGTTAGAAACAATTAATAAATCTCAGTGAAATACTACATATTGCCATGCTTTACAAAATGATTATTAAATTATTATTACAGGGGAACCATTATTATTATTATTACAAGTATTATTATTATTATTATTATTACATGTTCTTTCTTTGTTTCAACACACCGGCCGTATCCCACCGAGGCGGGGTGGCCAAAAAGAAAAAACGAAAGTTTCTCCTTTTACATTTAGTAATATATACAGGAGAAGGGGTTACTAGCCCCCTTGCTCCCGGCATTTTAATTGCCTCTTACAACATGCATGGCTTACGGAGGAAGAATTCTATTCCACTTCCCCAAGGAGATAAGAGGAAATAAACAAGAACAAGAACTAGAAAGAAAATAGAAGAAAACCCAGAGGGGTGTGTATATACTACATGTATATGCTTGTACATGTATGTGTAGTGTGACCTAAGTGTAAGTAGAAGTAGCAAGACATACCTGAAATCTTGCATGTTTATGAGACAGACAAAAGACACCAGCAATCCTATCATAATGTAAAACAATTACAGGTCTTCGTTTTACACTCTCTTGGCAGGACGGTAGTACCTCCCTGGGCGGTTGCTGTCTACCAACCTACTTCTTCTTTCTTTCAACACACCGGCCGTATCCTACCGAGGCGGGGTGGCCCAAAAGGAAAAACGAAAGTTTCTCCTTTTACATTTAGTAATATATACAGGAGAAGAGGTTACTAGCCCCTTGCTCAGGGCATTTTAGTCGCCTCTTACAACACGCATGGCTTACGAAGGAAGAATTCTGTTCCACTTCCCCATGGAGATAAGAGGAAATAAACAAGAATAAGAACTAGAAAGAAAATAGAAGAAAACCCAGAGGGGTGTGTATATATGTGCTTGTACATGCATGTGTAGTGTGACCTAAGTGTAAGTAGAAGTAGCAAGACGTACCTGAAATCTTGCATGTTTATGAGACAGACAAAAGACACCAGCAATCCTACCATCAAGTAAAACAATTACAGGCTTTTGTTTTACACTCATTTGGCAGGACGGTAGTACCTCCCTGGGTGGTTGCTGTCTACCAACCTACTTTCTTTCTTTCAACACACTGGCCGTATCCCACCGAGGCGGGGGTGGCCCAAAAGGAAAAACGAAAGTTTCTCCTTTTACATTTAGTAATATATACAGGAGAAGGGGTTACTAGCCCCTTGCTCCCAGCATTTTAGTCGCCTCTTACAACACGCATGGCTTACGGAGGAATAATTCTGTTCCACTTCCCCATGGAGGTAAGAGGAAATAAACAAGAATAAGAACCAGTAAGAAAAACAGAAGAAAACCCAGAGGGGTGTGTATATATATGCTTGTACTACATGCATGTGTAGTGTGACCTAAGTATTAAGTATAAGTAGCAAGTCGTACGTGAAATCTTGCATGATTATGAGACAGAAAAAAAGACACCAGCAATCCTACCATCATGTAAAACAATTAGAGGTTTTCATTTTACACTCACTTGGCAGGACGGTAGTACCTCCCTGGGCGGTTGCTGTCTACCAACCTACTACCTACATTTATTACATGTATTATTATTATAATACAGCCTCTCCTTACTTAGTGACATACTTGTTTACCAATGCCTTGGACTTATGACGGGCTCTCTGACCAGTATTTATACCTAATTTATACATGATTTCCTCTATTCTGTTTATTTCAATATACAGTAAACTACTGTATAAACATTTAAAAATATGTACAGCCATACCCCGAGTTTTGGCCATAATTCGCTCCAGAAAGCTGTTCAAGTGCCATTACCAAATGAATTTGTTCCTATAAGGAATAATGTAAATTAGATTAGTCCATTTCAGACCCCCAAAAATACACTTACAAAAGCACTTACAATTAATACACTTACATAATTGTTGGGAGCTGTACGAAACTTGGGGTACCTCTGTATACCAGAAATATTATAAATGGTGCAAAGGTGACATTAAAACAATATCAAAGATGGTTTACACAAACTCACTGCCATTATAGTATGCGCCCCACTTAGTGATGAATTCATTTAACGACACGGTCTCGGGAACAGAACTCTGTCATTAAGTGAGAAGCTGTACAGTATTATCATTATCATAATTAGGTGGATTAATTTTATTACATTTATGGGAAGCACCAAACTCATAAGGGTCATGCAGTGCCTGAGGAAGGGGAGGTAATCTGGCTTGATCCAAGGAAGGGGAGAGCAGCTCAAATTCCTTGGATCAAGAGCCCTTTATGAGCCCTAGGGTACTCTCCCTCCACCCCCATTGAAAGGTATGTAGACCAAGGCAACTGACATGAATTACATTGACATGAGCTACACTGACATGAACTACACTGACATGAACTTCATTGCTGAAAGGATTCGGTATAAGCATTAATCTTTCTAACACAGGTCAAACATATTACATTTACCAAGTCCCAACGTTAAAATTTCTTAGTACAGTTGCTCCTCGACATACGATGGTTCGACTTACTATACTTCAACTTTACGATGGTGCAAAAGCAATTACTTTGGAGATAAAGCTTGAGATAATTACCCAACATGAAGTTATTAACTTGTATTCATTTATTTACTTCTTAATGCTTGTATTTAGTTACGGTAATTATTTATTTACTTATTCAGTGACAGTTATTTATTTACTTAATTTATATATTTAACATAGCATATTCACATCCAACTTACGATGTTTTCGACTTCCGATGGGTTTGTCAGAACTTAACCCCATCGAATGTCAAGGAGCTCCTGTACAAATAACTCATTACAATTGTAACCAGATATAAACGACGTGTAAATAGTTCATTACCACTATAACTTGTTCAGCTATCACAACTTTGGGGCCCAGTCCCTGGACCCATTATGTACCTCTGTAATCTTTTGACTACCACCCACAGGATGGGTATGGGGTGCATAATAAACATGTTAAACTAACTTATACAGTAGAACCCCTGTATCTGTGGATTCGGTTTTTGCGGTTTCAGTTATCCATGGTTTACTGTGGCCCCAAAATAACCCTTATTTTTGCTTAAAAATGGCCCAAAAGCACAAAAGTAGCAATGGTGGCCATTCTTCAGAGCCTAAGAGGAGCTGTAAAATGCTTCCCATCAGCGAAAAGGTACCATTTCTAGACTTATTTTGCATAAAATATCACAGTAGGTCTTGAAACATATCCCCTGCAGATATGGGGGGACTACTCTGTATTATAAACTTACCTAATAGCAATATCAAACTGATTCTTCTTGAAAAGAAGTTGAAATTTGCTGTGGAGATCTTTCTCAGACATGTGTATGAGGGCGGGTTGTGCGGTGACCAGATACAGTCCTCCCCATTCACTCACAACACCAGCCAATCCCTGTACCTTGGTGCTCAAGGCCACTAGCTTGTTCGTCAGATCATATATAGTGATGTTTTGGTCGCTGACCCTGAAAATGTGAGAATAATGCAGGCGATGTTAAAAAGAAATACTGTAAATCTCTCTCCACTGGAAAATATATTTTAGTATTATCCATAATGTTATTAATACGATTGAACTTGAAAACAAATTCTGTATATTATTTAAAAGGACTGAAGTGGAAAATAAATTTTGGTATTAGCCATAATGTTATTTAGTAAGATTGTAGTGGAAGGAAATTTACCAAGAAAGGACAGGTAGAAAGAAAAACCACAATGTGTGAGTGGTTATTAACCCTTTCAGGGTCCGTGCCGTAGATCTACGGCTTTACGTTCAGGGTCCAAACCGTAGATCTACGCCATGAGCTCATCTCACTTTGATAAGCTGTGAGCAGTAAATTTATGCCTAGATATGAGAGAATATATCTACGTGGTATGTGTGCACCACATAAAACAAATCCTGCAGCACACAGTGCATAATGAGAGAAAAAAAAACGAGACCGTAATTTTCGATTAACCCTTTCAGGGTCCAAGGCCAAAATCTGAAGTCAAGCACCAGTGTCCAAGAATTTTCCAAAAAAAAATTTGTTATTTTTTCTTATGAAATGGTAGAGAATCTTTTTGTGAAGGTAATAAAACAAAAAGTACGAAATTTGATGGAAAATTGACGAAATTATGCTCTCGCGAATTTTGATGTGTCAGCGATATTTACGAATCGGCGATTTTGCCGACTTTGACTTCCATTTTAGGCCAATTACATCATTCCAGTCGACCAAATTCTTAGCTATTTTACTAGTATTACTTCTATTCTATCGATTGAGCACAAGAAATCGCCAAGTCAACTGTTTCAACTACAAAATAAAGTGATCGGAAATTGGTAATTTGGCCAATTTAACACAAAGTTCAAAATATTCCAATTTCAAAATAGCATCCAGAATAAACAATGTAGGCATTCCTGGCACTAAACTAACATTTCCTCGGTTCATTAGTTACGTTTTGAGGCTTTACAAATAAATCCCATTTTTTATTTTTTATTTACATAATGAATTTTTATTCACGCCAAAAAATAGAAGATTTACTGTTATGCAATATTGTAATAATTGTATAAATATCATCACCACATTTGTGAATGTATATTAGACCCACCAGCTGGCATGTATTAGACGTGTGAGGTCGTTTGTTTACTCTTGAACATCGACAAAAATTTAACATTTCCGCTAATTTGAGCTCAGTTTCAAGCCATTTCCGGTGCTAAAACCAATCAAAATCATCTCTATTTCTGTAATATGTCTTCCATTCTATCAAATGAGACCAAGAAATTGCAAATACAACTATAAAAAACATACGAAAAAACACTGCAAAGTTGCTGTTTTAATCGAAAATCTTGGTTTCATTTTTTTTCTCTCATTATACACAGTGTGCTGCAGGATTTGTTTTATGTGGTGCACACATACCACACAGATGTATTCTCTCATATCTAGGCCCAAGTGTACCACTCACAGTTTATCAGAGTGAGCTGAGCTCATGACGTAGATCTACGTTTGGACACTGAACGCAAAGCCGTAGATCTACGGGACGGACCCTGAAAGGGTTAAAACAGCGATTTTGCAGTGTTTTTTTGTATGTTTTTTATAGTTGTATTTGCAATTTCTTGGTCTCATTTGACAGAATGGAAGATATTTTATGGAAATAGAGATGATTTTGATTGGTTTTATTACTGGAAATGGCTTGAAACTGAGCTCCAAATAGCAGAAATGTTAAATTTTTGCCAATGTTCAAGAGTAAACAAATGACCTCACAAGTCTAATACATGACAGTTGGTGGGTCTAATATACATTCACAAATGTGGTGATATTATTTATACAATTATTACAATATTGCATAACAGTAAATCTTCTATTTTTTGGTTTGAATAAAAATTCATTATGTGAATAAAAAATCAAAATAGAATTCATTTGTAAAGCCTGAAAACATAACTAATGAACAGAGGAAATGTTAGTTTAGTGCCAGGAATGCCTGCACTGTTTATTTTAGATCCTATTTTGAAATTGAAATATTTTGAACTTTGCATTGAATTGGCCAAATTACCAATTTCCGGTCACTTTATTTTGTTGTTGAAATAGTTGACTTGGCTATTTCTTGTGCTCAATCGATAGAATAGAAGCAATACTAGTAAAATAGCTAAGAATTTGGTTGACTGGAATACTGTAATTGCCCTAAAATGGGAGTCAAAGACGGCAAAATTGCCGATGCGTAAATATCGCCAACACATCAAAATTCGCGAGAACATAATTTCATCAATTTTCCAGCAAGTTTCATACTTTTTGTTTTATTACCTTCAGAAAACGATTCTCTACCATTTCATAAGAAAAAAATAACAAAATTATTTTTTGAAAATTCTTGGACCCTGGTGCACACTTTGAAATTTGGCCTCTGGATTATAGTTGGCACGCCTCTGGCAAGACAAGTTTTTTTGGTCACTCTGCCTCTGTGGGAAACAACTGATGTGTTAATAAAAAAAATACATATACAGTGGACCCCCGCCTTATGATATAATTTCATTCCAGAAGTATGTTCAGGTGCCGTTACCGAACGAATTTATTCCCATAAGGAATATTGTGAATTAGATTAGTCCGTTTCAGACCCCCAAACATACACGTACAAAAGCACTTACATAAATACACTTACATAATTGGTCGCATTGGAAGCTGATCGTAAGGCGGGGGTCCACTGTATATGGGGAGGTGTAAAACCCAAGAGGGTCATACAGCACCTATGAATGGGTGGGGTAGGGAGAAATCAGGTTTGATATGAGGAAGAGGAGGGCAGTTCTAACTGCTTAATTCAAGAGCCCTTCAACAGCAGTACTAAAGAACTAGAAGTGACACACACACACACACACACACACACTATGAAATGGGTGATTCTCGTTAACCACCACAGGTAGGTTCCAAACACCTGCTACTGTATAGGTAGATAGGTACTTACCTGGAGTACACCTGAAGAGGGTTTCAGGGGTCAACACCCCAGCGGCCCAGTCTGGGACCAGGCCTCGTGGTGGATTAGGGTCTGATCAGCCAGGCTGTTACTGCAAGTTGACGTAAGAGCCACAGCCCGGCTGCTCAGGTACTGATTTCAGGTGCCTGTCCAGCGCATTCTTATTCTCTGCTACTGTATAGGTAGTTAAGTACTAATTCTCTGCTACTTTATACTGTATAGATAGGTAGGTACTGATTCTCAGCTACTGTATACAACATACTGAAATTATGCAGTTAACATTGTTCTGCATAATTATGTATTGTACATTATACAGAGCACTGTAGAGATTTGTGTGTGTCTGGATGAAGACTACTATTACTATTACTACTACTACAAAAAGTGACATTACTTTTTATTTATATTTTCATATGATACAGTACAAGAGAGTTCTTGTAATTTTTTTTAACACAATGGCCATCTTCCAAAAAAAGAAGAAGCAAAGTTTTTCTTTTTACATTTAGTAATTTATACAGAAGGGGTTACTAGTCCCTTGCTCCCAGCATTTTGGTAGCCTTTCAAGACACACATGGTTTACAGAGGAAGGGTTCTTCTCCATTTCCTTAGGCCATACAACAATAATTTTTTTTTTAACAAACTAGCCATATTTCACCCAGGCAGGGTGACCTAAAAAGAAAAGAGAAAGTTTCTCTTTTAAAATTTAGTAATGTATACAGGAGTTACTAGCCCCTTGCTCCTGTCATTTTGGTCACCTCTTACGGCATGCATGGCTTATGAAGGAAGAAACAACAATAATTATAAACGACAAATAACAGCACAAACTACGTTACAACAATTCTGATGGAAATTAGTAATTTCACAACCAACCTGCCGACTGGTCCTCCCTTGTCTGTGGAGGCAACGATGAGGTATCCCCTGAACCAGGCCACCAGTGATTTCTCTCCCTCAAACACATAACATGATCCTCGACTGTCACTTGTATAGCTGTAGATGGCCTGAAAGATTTTTTTTATTATTATTAACACACTGGCCGATTCCCACCAAGGCAGGGTGGCCCGAAATAGAAAAAACTTTCACCATCATTCACTCCATCACTGTCTTGCCAGAAGGGTGCTTTACACTACAGTTTTTAAACTGCAACATTAACACCCCTCCTTCAGAGGGGTGTTAATGAAAGATATACATACTTAAGATGTGCAATGGGAGTGGAATCCTTAACACTGCTACTGTGTTGATAAAGTACTGAATACTTTGGTGCAGTGTGTGCAGGTTTGAATCCTGCTGTGGATTGAGACATAATGCCTGTAAATAATTTTGCCCATTTGTAAATTGTTAAGCACAACTACTAACATGTAATGAAAGGAAATATAACTGCATTCCCATTTTCTGTCAAACCACTGTCTCCCACTGAGGTAGGGTGACCCCAAAAAAAAGAACACTTTCACCATCACTCACTCCATCACTGTCTTACTAGAGGGGCACCAATACTACAGTTCAAAACTGCAAACGTTCCCACCCCACCTTCAAAGTGCAGACACTGTACTTCCCACCTCCAGGACTCCCTGAATACCTTCATAAATGTACTGTATATAAAACAACTGAAATGTATTAAGACAATCATTATAGTATTGTGTCACATCACATATTCTTTTTCAACAGATGAAACCTTCCTCAATGATGTACTGGTTCTGTCTCTTCTTAATAGTATTGTAGTTTTCTATTACAGTGGTACCCTGAGTTTCGTAGAACTCCCAACTCGAACAATTATGTAAGTGTATTATTGTAAGTGCTTTTGTAAGTGTATTTTTGGGGGACTGAAATGGACTAATCGAATTTACATTATTCCTTATGGGAACAAATTCATTCGGTAACAGTACTCGAACAGCTTTCTGGAACAAATTATGGCCAAAACTCGGGGTACCACTGTATTTATTTTCACCCCACTGTAAAATTACTTAAATACATGTACTTTTATTGTAAAAATTAAATAATATTGTACTGCAATTCATTAATCTCATACACAAGCCCATCAATGGATACTCTCTCATCTCTCTTAAGAGATGAGAATTTCCCAATCTGAACATCAAGAACTTTCTTCCCTCTACTCCCAGGAGCATCATGGGCTGGAGAAATGCTTACACAATGATTTGAGATTGGCATCCTTGGTACAACAGTACAGACAGTATGTTAAGTACAGCAAAAACAATAGCACAACAGGTGGACTGGGTCTTAAAACCAGCCCGGGCATCCGTCACTTATCAGGTGGGCTCATTAACTGCTGAGGGCCACAGGGTTGTTTTCACTGCTCAACTAAGGCACACTCCATTTTTATTTCAGTGTTTCAGTTTTTCATGACTTTTCTCAGCTTTTTTTTTTATCCAGCCCAGCAGCCCACCGGGCATTGCCCAAATGCCCGTATGGCCAGTCTGCTGCTGGGTACAGTTGCTGTACCCAAGAAAGATGATAATCTGGGGCATGATGAAGTGCCTACATCCATCAAAAGATGTAGAAATTGAGGTGTCCCATGGCTTAGTTGGTAGCACGCTTGGCTCACACACTGAGTGTCTGGGGTTCAATCCCAGGTACAAGTGGAAACCTTAGGCATATTTCCTTACGCCTGCAGTCCCTGTTCACCTAGCAGTCAGTAGGTACCTGGGTGTTACTCGACTGTTGTGGGTGGCATCCTGGGGGGTGGTAGTATACCTTAGATAGGGCTGCATCTTGAAATTATCTGAGGTAACATAACATTTAATCTGTAAAACTGAATGTGTAAAAAAAAAGTGTTTTAGTTAAGAACTATCACACAGTGAGCCATAAAAAAAAAAAAAGATATCCACTCCCAACTAGGGCCAGTCCCTGACTTTCACAGACTAATAAGATAGTGTTTGGGTAGCAGTGCCTAATACAGTACAGCACATTATTATACTTAAAACTAAGCACTAAACCAGCAGGGCCATTCAGCACTGCACAGTACAGTATGGTCCCGCTTTATGGTGTTTCGCTTTACAGCATTTCACTAATGCTGCGGTTTTTTAATTATACCCATTCTTCATTTATTCTGACTTCCTACAATAAACACATTCACACTCACTATAAGCTAAGGACTGTATATGTATTTTTTAGGCCTACCTCTCTTGCTCACTTAATACAGTGGAACCTCTACTTATGAGTACATCCACGTGTGAGTTTTTCCAGATACAAGCAGTTGCTCAGTCGATTTTTTGCTTCCAGAAGCGAGCGAAATTTCCAGATACGAGAGGGCCTCAAGGGAGGTTCCTTGACGCTGGTGAAGGGCTCTTGTTCTTTATCTAGGGAATTGGATCTCAGTTGTTTGTTGGACTATCTTATTGAAACTTGGGCAATGTATGATGGAAAGATGCTTCTTAACGTATACCAAAAATGAAAGAAACCGGACCATAAATAATGGAGTTCACTTCTCAACCATTAGCCTCCCCTGAGCGGTATATTTTCGTATGGTTTTTATGGTTGTATTTCTGATTTTTTGGTCTCATTTGACAGAATGGAAGATATACTACAGAAAAAGATACCATTTTGATTGGTTTCATGACAGAAAGTACCTTGAAGTTGACCTCAAAGTAGCAGAAATATTCGATTCTTTGGCGATGTTCAAAACCTGTCTGACTGGCACTGCCCCTCAACCTTCACATATTGGAAAACTCTTCAACATGCTAGCAAAAGTGGGAGCAGATATCATGAGGTAGCAGTGGCAGACAACATGAAGCAGCAATGGCAGAAACGAGAGGTAGCATGGCGACACATGAAGCAGACAATGGGCAGGACAGAGTACAGAACAGACAACATGAAGCAGCAGTGGCAGAACAGAAGCAGCAATGGTAAGACATGAACAGCTGGCAACATCATGAAGCAGCAGTGGCAGACAACATGAAGCAGCAATGCAACATGAGAGCATGACAGACATGAGCAGCATGGGTAACATGAAGCACATGAGACATGAGTAACATGAAGCAAACAGAAGCAAGCGTGCAGACAACATGAGACTGATAGGTCAGACATTCTGAAGTTTTTCGCGTGCAGACATCATGAGTAACAGTGGCAGACAACATGAAGGGCCCGGTGGCCCAAACACAAACACATGGCGGATCACAAGTAGCAGAGAACAAGACAGCAGTTTGCAGCATTCATAGGTAATGCAGACTAATAAGCATGCAGTTATAATTTATAGCATAAAGAGTGTAGATTAAGTGTAGCTAGAGTTGATTAGGACATATAAGAAGTTACTTTTTTGGTTTCCCTGGATTCACGAAGTATAATTCATGCAATGACTATTGTGGCATAAACTCCCAACAAAAATGGGCCCCGTGCAACAACTCCCAACGTATGACATGTATTTTATATAGTTCACTGTTCATTTATAAATATTAATAGTTTATACGTCATATTACATGAACTTGATAGAAATAACCGTAGAGATGAGTTAGGAAATTATGAACATTTTGCTCGTCCAGGTACCACTGGTTGAATTCAATTTCTCCAATAATTTAATGAGGAAAACTGACCTTTTGCAATGAGCAAATCCATTGCGAACAAGGTCATGGAACGGATTAAACTTGTAAGTAGAGGTTCCACGGTTATATGAATAAAAAAAAGCACTACGTGTTGACGTTACACAATAACCTTCATTAAGAGAGAGCTACGACGAGTTACGCCGATTGAAACAGGCCCTCCTATCAAGGCTAAAGTCAATGACAATAGGTCCAATGACCACAAAATGATCCGTAAGCTTCTTCTTCTATGTGCGGGTTATTTGTTAATTCCAAATATAATATGAAACATGTATCGTTTTAATGCATTTGCAAAGAAGTGGTTTTCCTCCGCCTTACAGGTGCAAGCCTGTGAATCGCTTACGCAGTTTACAAGTACTAAACTTGCCATTAAAGCCTTTATCAAGTTTAAAAAATCTAAACCTTATTGATCTCAGACATTCACTTTAAACCAATTAGATAACTAGGGATGAAAAGTAAATTAAAAGCAATAAATATTATTATAAACATTCAATCTGGCCCAAGAGGGTGTTCCGTCCACAGCAGCACGGTGGAAGTGAGGGCATGGCACCCCTCATTGCCTGAGTGCTAAAACCCATCGTCTTAAATTTAGGTTTTTAAAACTACCTTATTTTTAAGCTTATTTGTAATGTTCAGAAAACCTGGAGTATTTGTGAAAAATGTGAACCTGCTCCTTTTAGAAAATCCATTATTAAAGTACATTTTCCCTAGGTTCATCACCTTTCAGAGAAACATGGTACAGTGATGGAATCCTTGAGTCATTCAGCCAATCACTCTGAGTTATGACTTCGTTATCCAATCTTGAGAATGACTTCTCAAACTCCTATTCACCATTATTTCTAGTAACTAATCTAAGAAGATTACTGTCAAAATCTATATGCTCTTCCTTTTATACTGATCAAGACTTTTTGTCAAAGTATTTATACATCAACTGCCTGATACAAGGTACAGTGACCCAAGATTTAAATAATCAATAACTTTTCAATACCTTCCATTCAAATATTAAACATCAAATACTAATCAAATGTTATTATAACTAATGACCTTTTCTGCCTATAAATGTCCCCACACTGTAAAAACATTGTATTAATGTTTGCTTTATTTCTATAAATTTTACATTACATTAAGGTCAAAAATACAGGTAAGAGCAGTATGCCAAAGCCACTTATATGCATGCATTAGGGTTGGCTTAATTAACTTAGATATTAACTAGCAATGATGAAATCTGATAAAACATTATGTAAACAGATAACTTAAAGTACAATGAGTATTACCAAAGACAGTCATTTGTTGCATGCATTCTGTGTTAGTGTATTTAAAAAAATAATAAATTAGATGGGTCCAGGTTTAACATTGTGTATTATAATTTGAGTTAACATATAGGATATACAATTTATAGGTTCAGTTATTCAGTATTTATATTTGGTTTTAGTGAGTAAGTATCTTTGAGAAGAGAC